TATTCCAGCAAAGTCAAAAAAGTTATGTGTTTTTGTCCCTCAGAGATGGAAAGGAACTTTATTCTTCCAACTGCTGATCCTGTGATAATTTCCAAGTATCCGGGGGCCCAACAAAGCTTATAGAAGCATTGGAAAATATATAATGCCAGATCGTTTGTGACTTGAAACAGTACTGAAGAGTGATTTCTCCTGAACAGCACCCGTTCTTTCCTCCATCTTGCCTAGTGGAGCAATTTTTATGCATTTTCAGAAATCTGAAAGCATGGTTTCATTGGTTTGCTTACTGTTTTCTTAGTTTATAAAATTTACAAATATGGTTCATATTCAAGCCAAATTCCTGGTACACTGATTACATCCGGTTGTGCTCTATGGGTCTTCTCAGTGGGCAGAAATCTCAAGATAGATTACTGTGGGTTCTTTTAAACACTGCAGTCATTAACAATACTAGGTTTTTTGTTGATATTGTTGTTTAGACCTCAAAAATGTATATTCATATGAGATAGTATCATATTTCTTTGTTTTTTTTTATTCTTTGAACCCCTGAAATATAAATCTGTTCTCTAATTTATTCACCATAAATATTCACTGTACTGTATGAAATTATAAATTGCATTTTTCATGACTAAAAGAGTAGCAAGACCTTCCTTGAAGCTAACTCGGAGATTTCCGGAGGAGTGTGTGCCTAGGGCTTCTAACCCACAGGTCTTTTCTCTGTGCCTTCTTTGTCAGTTCCATATACTTTTCTCATATTGTATGAAGGATCTTGGGCGACGTTAATCAGCAGTAAACTTGTAGTCAGTAGGGATCGCAACAGAAGCTTGTGCAAGTGGCTGAGAAGATTGGAGTCCTGCAAACTGCTGTCTGTGTTTTCAAATGCTGAGGAAATTCCAGAGATAAGCAGAGTCCTGGTGTGGAAGCAGTGGTTAAAAAGGCAGGTAGTGATAGCCTTGTCAAATGTCGGCCTTTTAGTCTGACCTACACCTCCTGAGTAGAATAATGAGAAAGTATTTGGGGAATTTCAGTAATGCAGAGCATAAAAGTCACACTCATCAGCGTGGCACTGTGAACAAGAGCTTTAGGTTAAAATGAATTCCATTTCCTCAAAACGAATCTGTAGTTTCAATTAGCAGAAAGCATCGGTTTTGATTTGCTCTTGTAATCCACTGAAGCGGTGGTTTCAGAACATCACCACTCTGCCAAGTACTCCGCAGGCACAAGGCTTCTGAGGAATTTTCAGTACTGAGGTAATATAGTCCCACCCCTGTTTTTAATTTTTTACTGCCAAGTATCCCAATGGAGGGAAAAAAAAAGAAAAAATTCTACATCATATTGAAATACATAAATACTGTCCTGGGGATAAAATGCCAGGTGCCAAGGTGAAACGCTTTTTTCTGGTGTAGAATTGTACAGAAGAAACTCTGCTGGACAGAAGCCTGGCAAATCAAGCAAAATTAGTAGTTTCAGTTGTTGATGAGGTTCATTGTTACAACAACTGTAAAGAGAAATAGAATCTATTTTTGATGTTATGTACCCATTAAAATGATCCTGTTGTGGAAGGCACGCTTTTGTAGGATGTGTTGTTGGGTCCTTGGCATTGGGAACTTCTGTGAAACTTAACAGTCTGTAGGACAAGATGATTCTAGTAGTCTTGTGTGTCTTTAAAACACTATGAATGCTGAATCATTAAAGATGACACTTCATCTCACTGAAACCGTTGGTTTTTTTGTTTTGTGTTGTTTTTTTCAGGAGTTTATTTTGAGAAGGTTGTAAAGAGTTCAGATACTTCCTTGTGGGTGAGGAACATTCAGATGTACTTGTCTGGGATTGTGGTGACTTTATTCGGTGTGTACATGTCAGACGGAGCCCAAGTTCATGAGAAAGGGTTTTTCTATGGTTATACATACTACGTCTGGTTTGTCATCTGTAAGTATTTTGTGGTTTTAGGGTCTTGTTACATTGTTTTGCTTTTTTAACTATGATAGAACTGATGGCATGAAGCTACAAATTCAGTCTGACACACTGGTTTTTTTACTGTGTTTTGAGGGATTTTATTTAAAAGTATTTTCTTGGAAATTATTCACTTGTTCAGTTTAAAATTGTGCTGAAACAGCAGTCTAAATAACTGAGTAGTGAGCAGATCCACTTTAAGTGAGTCATATCTGATCTACTAGATGCCACGTAGACATCCTATTTTGCTGAATGTTAAATCACCAATTAGGACGACGTAGCCCAAACAGGGAATACACCGGTGGAGTAAAATGCATCATTTCAAGAGTAACCTACTGCACCTTTTCTAATAGAAATATGCCATCTGCTTTCCAGTTCTTGCCAGCGTCGGTGGCCTCTACACTTCGGTCGTTGTTAAGTACACAGATAACATTATGAAAGGCTTTTCTGCAGCGGCAGCCATTGTTCTTTCTACTGTGGCATCCTACATCCTCTTTGGCCTCCAGATAAGTAAGTGCCTTTTTGCCTTTGATTTGATGGTATGTGCATGTTTCCTCCCTGGCCAGCAGGCTGCACACAGTTCATACCAAAGCGATCACTTTGAATTATTTCTGGTTTTAACTTCTCCAGGACTCCTATGCACTAACATATCATTCCTGTTGCGTTATGCAAGGTGCCTGGTGATCCTGTGCTTTCAAAGGCATTCACGGTTTGCTCTTTCAGAGGCATCCTACAACCTCAGGCAGAAAGGTTCTTTCTGATTTTAAAGAGCTTACAAGTTTATACAGCTTTATTCATGAATCACTTTCTGATGCAGTTTAGTTTGTGAAACAGCCATTTACCTGAGACTGCTGTTGATAGTTATCATTTCTTGTTGGTTTTAGTAGAGCCAGTGCCAAATTAATTCCTCAACTATTTCTGCAAGGGTTTTACACATCCTGGTTAAGTTATACCTGCTACTGCATTAACTTTTATCTTCCCTGTGCGCTCTGGACACCACCACCTGAGAGCGAGTCAAACAGCAGCTGGGGTCATGACTGACATGGTGAATATTTCTGAGAGGAAATGGCAGATTTGGGCTGTCCTGCAACTACAATGGATTTTCTCCCTGATCAAGTCTGTGTCTGATGCTGTACCCAGTAGCTCCTGCGCAGTCATTCACTGTTCAGTTTTGGGTATTTTTTACTTTCCTACCATAATCCAAAGATGGTATGGTGTAATGGTGGAAAAACTAGCTTTCTGATGTGGCATTAGTGAGATGAGACTTAAGGAAAGCTTGCATAAGGGGAAAATCATTGGTGTTTGGCTGAAAAAATTGCACCTTAAAGCAAGTGGTGAAAAACACAACTAGTTTTAAAAATTCACTTGCGCAGAACATATTCTTCATGGCTGACACAAATCAAACCTGGACTGGCGATTGTCGTGGTTTAACCCCAGCCAGCAACTAAGCACCATGCAGCTGCTCACTCACCCCCCCCCCCCCCCCCCAGTGGAAGGGGGACGAAAATCAGGGAAAAAAGAAGTAAAACTTCTGGGTTGAGATAGGAACAGTTTAATAGAATATAAAAAGAAGAAACTAATAATGATAGTGATAACACTAGTAAAGTGACAGCAGTAATGAGAAAAAGATTGGAATGCACAAATGATACACAATGCAATTGCTCACCACCCACCAATCGAAGCCCAGTTAGTCCCTGAGCGGTGATCGCCCTGCCCCCACTCCCCCCCAGTTTATATACTGGATTTGGCATCACATGGTGTGGAATACCCTGTTGGCCAGTTGGGGTCAGCTGCCCTGGCTGTGTCCTGTGCCAATTTCTTGTGCCCCTCCAGCTTTCTTGCTGGCTGGGCATGAGAAGCTGAAAAATCCTTGACTTTAGACTAAACATTACTTGGCAAAAACTGAAAACATCAGTGTGTTATCAACATTCTTCTCATACCTAACCCAAAACATAGCACTGTACCAGCTACTAGGAAGACAATTAACTCTACCCCAGCTGAAACCAGGACAGTGATCTTTCTGTGAAAGCCTCATCAATAGTGTTTGTTAACCCTGCTTAGAAGTGGAAAGACAAACCAAATGTGTTATCACAGGCTACTTACTTTGTCACATCCACTGTGTCTTTAAGTTTATTGTAACATGCCTGTTGGATGGCGTCTGGAACTGCAGATGTTTCACACTTGCTTTTCTGACCATCGCCGTGTTCTTGCTGATATGAGACTAACTGAAATGGTGTGGGAATTGTAAACAATCAAGAGTTCTCGGTGACAGAGGACAAGTCTAGATTCTGTGAATTATTAACAACTTGTTGTCCTGCTTAGTTTTGAATAACTTCCATACTGTCATTCAGATATCAGAATTTATATAGCTTACTTTTCTGAAGATTTCTTCTTATACAGCGGTGTTTATTTAAACTATTTTGTCTCCTTCCAGCTCTTACCTTCTCCGTGGGTGCTTTCCTGGTGTGTATTTCTATTTACCTCTATGGATTACCTCGACAAGACACCACAAAAATCCAGCCATCAGAGACTAAGAGCTCAAAAGAGAGACTTGCTACTGTGTGACATTGTCCATAAAAATGGGACAGATAGACAAGAGAAAAAATGGACTCTAAAAAAAAAACCTACATTTTTTTAAAATGAGCCTTAAGCTAGTCATGAAACTGTTTCAGTGGGATACACTAAAAGCAGAAGTTAGTTCTGTTTTACATGTGAGGTTGCCAGTGGCTGATGCTGAGGCTACATTACAGCCGAGGAGCTGGATGGGTGTTTTATTGAAGGTATTCTTCATTCACATCGGACAATGAAGAGTCCCATTTACAAGGAAAGCAGAATGAAGGAACTGAACACTCAATTGTATATAATGTATATAACGGGGGGAAATTGGTTCTTTGTGTATTTGATAAACTGTCTTGCCCTCTGAAGGCAGAAATGCCCAAAAGCTTCATAAAAATTATTAAAAAGAGCAACTACTGCCAGCATTTTCTCTTAAACTAGTTGGCAATTGCAGTTTGATTAATGACAGGAAAGTTGTCTCCTAGGTGATACAGATGAGATGACACAACCCCACCAGAATAACAATTCTTCAAGCATCACTTACCTAGAAGTGTTTAGAAGTAGCACTTGCTGTTTGGTTTAAAAAGTCAGAATGAGACAGGTGTTTCTCTTACATTGCAGATTTTCTTTCACCTTTCAAATGTTTTTTATACCTGCTGTAGCTGGTAGAGAGATCTCTCTTCTCCTCCTCGTTTTATCAACCCCCAGCTGTACAGGGGAAGGTTCACATGTGTTCTTGTGTCTCTGGCTTAAGTATGAATGAGTCAACTCAGTGTCAGACTAGATTTCTATCTGTATGTTTTCTCTCTAAGCCTTTTTGTGCACACAGAGTGATGCCTGAAAAGAGTTCCTGTAAGGCATGTTAGGCTTTGATTTAATTTATGAGTGCCGACTGTATAATTTCAACCTCCTCCCTCATTTTCTGAGGCCTTCCAGAAACTGCAACTCTGCATTGAGGGAAAACTGACTTTGGTGCATTTGGGCAACTCATTTACATTCAAAGTGGAGTCAGAAAGGTGACCAAGTTTACGTCCTGGTTAGATTCCTTCAGACATGAGTCAACCAGCTGTGTTTTCCTTGGAAGTGGGACGTGTTAAACACAAACATACTTAAATTCTGTTCCGGTGGGAGGGGATGCTCCTCTCTGCCTTTCACCAGCTGTTCTGTGCATCTAGAACAGTGTGCCACCAGAGTGTGGCTCTGGTGAGTCAAGGCTTCGGTGGTGGTAGACATTGTCAGGCATTTCAGAGGCTGGAACAGCCACCTGCACCTCTCCTCAGCGGTGTGGTGGCTCAGGGGTGCCAAGCAGCAGCTGCCATGTCTGACTGCGTGTATGGTGCTGACGGAGCACTGCAGTTCCTCTTCCACCAGCTGGGCAGCAACCCCCCTTTTCCCTGGTCATCACGTTGGCATGACAGAGGAATGGGTGAGGAACAGGATGTGACAGAGTTGGCAGTTGGTCCTGGCTAATGTTACCGAAGGGTGAGTGCAGTACAACACACAGGAAAAAAATTCCCTGGCAGGGTCTGACTAACCCGGTTTGTTATAGGGCAGCTGTAACACTAGGCCTAAGTACACAATGGCAACTGCAGACAGGGAGAACTTTGATCACTTGGGGCAGTGCAGTTAATACCAGTTCCTCTACCAAAAGGATGTTATATTTACAAGGGTAAATGCAGAGCAGTTCTCTTTTATGGGAAATACCAGGAAGACTGGTATCTTAAAAGTACACTATTCCTACCAAGTGCCTGGGAGAAAGCAACTGTGACAGCCCTGGCCCCCCCCAAATGGCTGTGCCACGCAACCCTTCTGCAGTCGGTGTGTTGGGCTGTACAAACCTCCAAGAGCAGGCAGGGTTTCCACACTGCATTAGCAATGACACGCAGGAGAGTATTATGCTGAAAAAAATGCTTTTACTAAAGGATGTGACTTCACATTGCATACAGCCTCATTACATTTGAGTTACAGGTGTAATTCCAAGAAGTTTCATTCCACTGGCTAGAACCAAGCGTGCAGCTTGAAAGAGACAGAGCCTTGCCTGCAAAACAAGAACAGCTGTCAGCTTAGCGATATCACTGCAGAACAGGGCATAGTTCTCAGGACAGCAGTTAGGAGCAGCCTGTCAGAGGTGAGAACACTGCCCATGCAGGGTGCTGGGATTCAGACGTACACATAACTGGAGTACTGACTAACACCAGAGCTGGCAGAATTCGCATCAGCTGTGGATAGCCCATTGCAACGTCAACAGAGGGACACTTTTGTCAACCAAGGGAAGCTGGAAAGGGGTGTCCAGCCCAGTCTAATACCCTCAGGGCAGAGCGACCAGAGGCAATGCCTGCAAAAGAGCTAGCAATGACTAAAAAGTGAAAATCTTTCATGCGCCACAAGCTGTAACAGCCTGAGGATACTGCTGGAATCCCTCCTCTCACTGTGCCTGGGTTAGAGGTCGTCAAGCAACTATGGGATTCTTTGAAAATTTCGCTCATCCTTGTCAATGTCTTAGCTGTTACACAGCTGGCTGTTTGGGAAGGGCTCTATCATCAGCCTTGCTCCAAAAAAATTGTTCTTGAAAGCTGTCACACTGTAAGGGTTTTTTTTACAGGATAAGGAACTGAAATTTTCCTTGTAGCTTGGATTGTCTTAGTCCATCTTCAAAGGCAGGAGTACCTGCAGCATCTAAGCTCAAATACAGAGTGCAGCTCCATCAATTTGACTGAATTTTTTTCCCCCACAATACAGCTCAACACTTGGATGTGACTTCCTACCAAAGTCAGCTAGGTAATTGCTTTTGAAATAGATGAAAGAGAAAATAAGAAAGGCAGCGTAATTAGTATATCATTCACTGAGCAGTTAATGGGTCAAACATTGCCTGGGAGATCAGTAGAAAATAATTTGCATCTATGTGGAACTGCATATTAACAGTTGTCAGCCTCTGTGCTTTAGCTGGAAAGGCAATACAGACAACTTGGAATATGTAGGTGGCAAGAGGGAGGAGACAGATTCAGTTATCTCCTAATTCTCTGTCTTCCCACATAACCACTAAAGGAAACCACCAGAAATTAACCAGCAAGACAAACACTCAAATGTTTACTTTTTAAAAGTTCAGAAGGAAAGGCGATAAGGAAAGGGGTTTGACTGGGTTTGGAGCAGTTGTCCTTTTTTGGGAAGGTCAGGCAGAGCAGCCCTCTCCAGCAGGCACAGCCGTGAACAGCAACCCTTGCCTTCCCAAAGCAGTGCCACCCACAGGAGAGCCTGACTGTTGGCTCATGAGCCTGCAGGTGCATATTCACCCCAGTGGTTACACAGCTGGGCTGGCAAAGCTTTAGTGGATCATTCCTTGGGACGCCCTACACAGGCTCCAGCCACCGCCTAACAATCTGCTGCCATACCTGGGCTAATTCAGGGGCGCTGCCTTTCACAGGAAGAGTTTTATGTGCCACGGCTGCAAGATGGCTGAAATGGAAAGCATGGCGAGGAACGGTGAGAACAAGCAAGTCTCTTGACAAGAACAGTGCTACGGGCTACAGAAAGCAGCAGAACTGGAACAGCCGCAACTGCAGCACGCCAGAGACTTATTTCCAACAGCCTCTTTCACCTGGCTGAGGGAGGGTATGGTTTTCTGTAGCCTGCATGCCATCAACAACATACGGCTCATAAAATAAGCCCAAAACATTCTCTCCACCCCCGCAATCAACAAACCCCAAAAGTGGTCTGGAAAGGTCCTTGAGAGCCTGCCCTGTCATTCCCAAGGGGCAGGATTCCTTAGACAAGTTTCCTTAACTTGTTAAAGCCTTCCCCATACACAGGCTCTACAGCTTCCTCCAGCAAGTCTACTCCCGTATTCCACTGTGCTGTCAAATCAGACGGGACCTGTCTATGGGGACCCTCCCTATGGAGGTCACATATGCAGTATGACTTACTTACAATAATAATATGCTTTGTCCATCTCAACACATAGGCTGAGATCAGTGGTTAAAAGGGGTTTAGACAAAATTTCCTAGCTGAAATTTTGAGATTTGAGAGCATATTATCAGCTCAGATCTGCTCTTTGAGATATGATTAGTCCAGCATGATTCTGGGTTCAGACACTGGGTTACAGCCAAGTGATTCTTTTTTCTTGAAAGCAGTTAGTTTCTGAGGAGGCTCCTGGCTCCTTTGTTTCCTGGTTCCAACCTCGATCTCTGCTATAGTATTTGCTATCCTACTTATACCTTTCCTGCTCTAGAGAAACTGCCCCATAAATTTACATCTTCCCACTATTATTACTCTTCAAAGCAGTGCAGATGTGAGGGCTGCAGAGCCAGCTCAGGAAGACCTGTCCTTACCAGAGATGGACGCCAGTATCGGCAATCACCTTACCTGAGTGTGAGGAGGTAGCTGACAATGTGCTTGGGTTGCAGATCCTGAGAAGATCTATATAGGACCTCATCATACCTGTGAAGAAAGAAAAGGGTTGTGTAGTGTTGAAGTGGTAGGAAGGTGTACTCAGATATAAGGCTGATCAGACTTGCTTAAGTCAGAACAAACACACAACCACAACTGCAGAATTAACCAAAATAATCTTCTGAACCAGACCTAAGCCATGTAATTAGCACACAATTGATTGTTTCTTTCTCATTCACTTATTATTGAAGGAGATGATTGCTTCTGCTCCTCTTCATGCAAACACTGTAGATGGCAGAGCTCAGAGAGGCAGGCTATAGCAAATAGAACACAAGAGCTATATTTGCTCCTGGAACATTATGTCTGGATTTACATTTCAACACTAATTGTAAGTTCCTAGGAGCAAAAAATGTATTAAATAACCAAGGCAGTCAAAATAGTCCCTTAGAGGATGTTGCCTTTAGTAAATGCAGCTTAGAATTTTAAGTAGCTAAAGGAAATATTGTAACATTAGAAAAGACAAAAACAAAGTGGGTTTACATAATCCTGGAATAAAATTGACTTATGTAAGACAGTATTAAACTGGATAGTACAGGCAGAGTCATGGAGATCCATGTTTTTTCTTCGTGTGTTCTGCTGTCCACTTGTGCACATCCTCTTTTTCACAGCCTGCAAGAAGTTACCAGCACTTCTGGGGCCGAATATATTTCAAATTCAAAGAAGTGGGGAGTGGACTACTCCTGGTCTTTACTCCCAGGCCCATCCCCTCCAGCATGCCCAAGCCAAACTTCCCTGAGATCCTGCTCCTTCAAAGGCAAGCTGCGGGAGAACTGGGGAGTGATGTCTGATAATGGTGGCTCAGTGGTCACGTAAGAGCTATAGCACCAGGGAGGGAGTGTTCCCCATTCCCTTGGCGGGTAAGCTACAAAAACATCTCTTACACATGCATTCAGCAGCTCATCTCAGCCAGCATGCCACAGGTGGCCACTGTTCAAACAGGGAGGGTCACTGCCTTCATACCACTGTGCAACAGATGTGAAAGAGACAAAATTAGGGGAAGCTCTGCATTGTCTCAGGGACCACATAGACACCAGCAGCTGTTGGCTCCTCAGAGACAGCAATGTAGGTATAGAAAAATTACTATTAACTTAACAAGCACCATCAGACAGCCATTAATAAAGCTTTATGAAGCAACAAAGTTGGTATCAAATGAAAGGGCCCTCTTTGGATACCAATTTTGCTGATTCATGAAGCTGCTGCTTCAGTGTTGGCCTACAACAACTGGTTAGATTATTTTATCAGTTAAATAAGTCCACTTTTGCAGGGATATACACACTACCTTCAATCTACTATTCATTAGTCTACAAAGTTAATGGCATTCAGAACTAGTCAGCTAATTTTAAGGGCAAATGTTTGGTAGCTTTTCAAACAGCAAAGCAGAGCCATGAGAAGTGAGCTTCTGACAAGTCAGGATTGTTTATCATAGAAACTTTTCAAGAAGAATCTACTCATGGTGACTCACAAGAAGGACTGAACACTAATTGTTACTCCTGAAATCATGGGATATCTAAATGTGAGTTTGTTAGCCACTGAGTGCCTGGTCTAGTGGATAACCTAAATACTGCTTTCTACTGAAAGTAAAGGCGCCTGGAGATGTTTCATACAGATTCCATATGGTGCCTGGCCAGACTCAAAAGCCTTTGCAATAAGGAGACCTGAAGCTCTATAAAAACAAGAGCCCTGCAGTGGAGCAACAACTTCTGTTTGGAAATGGACACATGTCTGGGATGCAGTGATCCCTGCAAATCATACCTAAATACATTAACCCCGTCAGTTTTCGCACATAAGACAGGCAGCTATACACTAATTGATAAAACCAAGAATTTAACGAATTTTCTGTGAAATATAATTGCACCAGATAAATAAGACACTGCTGGCTGGTCTTGCTGTTGCTCAAGAGAACATGCAGCATACAATAAACTGCAGGCAGACCTCTTGAGGCAATTACAGTTAACGGTAGGACTCTGCAACCTACGCTTGCAGGCTGAAAGGTGCCACCTGGAACTCTGGCATGGCTTTTGGAAGTCTGAATTTTAAACAGATGCCCTCAAGAAGGCCTTAGCGTGGCCAAAGAAGTTAACTCTCTGGCACTGTGCAGTGCGCAATGCAGTATACAGGACCTCTCACTAGGAATTCTGAAAGCCTCAATTACTTCCAACTCCATTACAGGCTGCGCAACATGGACAACTCCCTTGTCTCCGTATTTTAATTACACACCTGTGAAATAATGAAAACAGAAACTGTTCAGCTTTAAGACTGATTAATGAAGAACACTACTTCTATTAAAAGGTATTAGTTGTGCACGTTCAGTAGTTCTGAAGGATGTTGAGCTACTGAATGTGCATGCACATACCCCATTTCACATCACCCAGGAGCACTTCCTCTCACCTTTCCCACATGACGAAAACAGAACAAGAGGAACCAAGCAAATCTGCAGCTAGTATTTATATAGAGCTTAGCATATTTTTCTGAAGACAAGAAGTAATTAAGAGGCTCATGTGCACGGAGTATGTTCCAAATACTGCTTTTTCCCTCGTGTGGTTTCTAAAGTCCACAAAGATTTCAAGTAAGGGCTACTGTTGGCAATCAGTATGACCCAACAGACAAGCCATTGCCTGAAACAGCCATTTTTCTCTTGTGATCGTGCAGTCTGTGCCTGCTCAGCAGGCTGGCAACAAATTCAGAATTTTATTTTAAGGGAACTGGTATTTTGAAAGAAAACTAGACAAACCTGAGAAGATGCTGAAGAACAGAGATGGCATCTGGCTCTTGCAAGCATGCCACATTAACGTCCGTTAGCTGCTCATTCCCATGCATCTGTTCTAAACTAAAATGTAAGAATGAAAAACAAACAAATGTTGGGATGAAAAACTCTTATTAGCAAAGCTGAACAAGAGAAACAGTAATTTGTGGTTTTAAGAAAAAAAGGGTAGGCATCTTCTGCTCAAGCTGAATGGAACATTGAGACAGACTAGCTGACTTCAACCCAAGATAAAAGAATTAAAATTTGTGATAGCTATTCAATATGAACAGGATTAGAGATATGCATGGAAAACAGGCCCAGAAGCTGATGCTAATAGGACTAGGGAGGTAGTCAATACCCTAGTAATGGTACCATAATACCATCAATACCTAGATGATAAGGGAGTACACGAAGAACAGACTACAGAAAGGGATCAGGCTTGCATGCTCTCCCTGAATACCATCTCCTATTACCATTGCCTTAGACAGAATAGCAGGTTGTATGGGCTTTTGGCCTGATGCAGGAAGGTCTCTTACTTGCTTTTATGAAAATACATATCTATGTCTGCATTAAAAATGATCTGAAATATCACTATAATTGCTAAAACTGTTCAAATTCTTTTGAAATTCTTTTTAGAAAATAACCAGACATGTCAGGTCTTTGACCTGAGTCAACAGGAAGGGGTCTGCTTTTAAGCTTGGTTACCAACAGTGGGAAATAATAGAATGTTTAAAAAACTCCACTAGCTACAGTGGTAGCTAAAAACATCTAAGTTCTGTGATTTGGTATATTTTACAAGTACTGGCATTTTGGTTTTGACATCATTTTCTTTAATCCTAGGGCCACCATTCTTCGTCACTGACACCAAGCACACAGAGAGACTGTTCCTAGAACTGGGCAAGTACATGGACAGTTAGCTCAGACCTGTGGAAATGAGGTGGAAATTTCATTTTAATTGGCTTGCTCTTCCGAGAGGTCTCAGTGAATCCTATCATAAACTTCACACCTCTGCTGAAAAAGTGAACGTGTGTCATATTTAGGGAAGGAGTTAACACTACTACTTAACAAAGCAGTAAGTTAATAAGGTTAAAATACATGTCAAACTGTACTTCTGCATACAAACGGTCCTCTTACCTATGGAGTCTGGCATGGGTGTACTGCAAGAACACGCCTGTATCTCCACGACTTTGAAGAGCTCGATCCCAGCTAAACTGATAATCAGATGACAGAAGGCCCCGGAAGTCCTGGAACAATAAATTAATGTCACCTAGATACAGCTCTCCATCTCAATTTTTAACTTTTCACAGAAGATGCAAACACCTCTGGAGGCAGCTCAGACTCACCTGAATTATTAGTGCTGCAAGACCAACTTTCTCTGCTGTCTCCATAGGGTCTTCTACCTCTTTGGTTGCTGACAAGAAACAGAAAAAGAAATTGTAACTCTGTAGTAGCATAATGTCACCCTTGGTCAGACTTGGAAATGCCAATAAAACAGCAGATCTTCCATAACTGTGAACAAGCAATATGGAAATTGTCAGGATGCAATTCCAGGATAAAAATCTTTCTTAAAAGTTGAGATACAGCTGTTTCAGATGTGCTTTTCCCCCACTTCCCCTAGTATGTGTAATGCAGATTTTAAGGTCAAAAGCATTCATTACAACAGACTGGATAGACTACACTGAATTCCTCTTCACAATTCAGACAGCCAATCTCTAAGATCAGGAAGAGAGCGACAGGGCAATTCAGATTTTGTTTAAAAACTCCAAGTGATAGGGAGGCATAAAGAGCCAAAGAAAAATTGTTCCAATGACTAATGGCGCACTTGGATGTACATTTAGGGAGTATTCACACCATCCACTGTAGATATCTAAACTGACTGTATTCAGAGAACCCGAGCTGTGAGAATTATAGAATGGTTTGGGTTGGCACAGACCTTTAAAGATCAACTAGTCCAACCCCCCTGGCCATCGGCAGGGACATCTTTCACTAGATCAGGTTACTATCCTCATGCAACCTGACCTTCAACATTTCCAGGGATGGGGCATCCGCAACTTCTCTAGACAACCTGTTCCAGTGTCTCACCACTCTCATTGTAAAAAATTTCTTCCTTCCAATCTAAACCTACTCTCTTTCAGTTTAAAACTGTTGTCCCTTGTCCTGTCACTACAAGCCCTGGTAAAAAAGTCTTTCTCCATCTTTCTTATAAGCTCCCTTTATATAATGAAAGGCCACAATAACATCTCCCCAGAGCCTTCTCTTCTCCAGGCTGAACAACCCCAACTCTCTCAGCCTTTCTTCATAGGAGAGGTGTTCCAGCCCTGACCATTTTCGTTACACTCCTCCGGACCCACTTGAACAGGTCTAAGTCTTTCTTGTACCAGGGACCCCAGAGCTGGACACAGTACTCCACGTGGGGTCTCAAGACAGCAGAGTAGAGGGGGAGAATCACCTCCCTTGACCTGCTGGCCATGCTTCTTTTTATGCAGCCCAGGATACAATTAGCTTTCAGGGCTGCCACCAGTACCCCCAAGTCCTTCTCAGCAGGGCTGCTCTCAATCCATTCATCCCCCAGTCTGTACTGATACTGGTGATTGCCTCAACCCAGGTGCAGGACCTTGCATTTGGCCTTGTTGAACCTCATAAGGTTTGCATGGGCCCACTCCTCAAGCATCCCTTTGGATGGCATCCCTTCCCTCAAGCGAATCAACTGCACCACTCAGCGTGATGTCACCTGCAAACTTGCTGAGGGTGGATTCAATCCCACTGTCTATGTCATTGACGAAGATATTAAGCAGTATTGGTCCCAGTATAGACCCTTGAGGGACACTACTTGTTACTGATTTCCACTTGGACATTGAGCCACTGACTCACATAACTCTTCGGACACGATCATTCAGCCAATTCCTTATCCATCTAACAGTCCATGCACCAAACCTGTATCTCTCCAATCTAGAGATAAGAATGTTGTGGGGGACTGTATCAAAAGCCTTACAGAAGTCCAGGTAGATGACATCCATAGCTCTTCCCTTGTTCACTAATGCAGTCACTCCATCATAGAAGGCCACTAGATAAGTTAGGCATGATTTGCCCTTCTTCCTGGGTAGACATGACAAGAGCCTCTCCAAAGCACTTCTGACTAACTTAACTCTTATCATTACAAAAGTCTTAAGTCATTACAAAAGAACTTAAGTCTATCATTACAAAACCTAATTAATCTAGGAGAGTCTAAGAGAGAATGTCCTCGCAACAGCTGCAGAGACATGTGTGCAAAGCTATTTCCAGCTTTTTCACAACTCGAGTGATATTCTTTAGCAGATAAGCAGCATGCTGTTGTGTACAGAAATTCACCAAAGGGCCTGTCTCATTCCCCGTCTCACAGGGAAATTCACAGGGCCAAGCTGGTGCTCCCGTTCATCAGAAGAACAGTAAGATTGCCTAGATAACAGCACTTTAGAAACTGGATCTTCTGGGAAATCAGTTACTTCTGTTTGGACCCACAACCTTGCCTAGTGAAAAGGTGATGCTTTTGACATATATAATGCTTTCTATTTTTAAACTCAGATCACAGCGTGCTCTACCAGGGTCTACTCTTCCTGTTTTGTCGCTACCGGAGAGAAAGGAGGATTCTAATCATAGTCTTTTACAAGGCAAATCTGTTCCACTTTAGGAAAGGCCAAGTGCTTTTTTTATTGTGGTATATGTAACCTATTAAATTTGCAGAGTTCAGCTTACGATTTGCTGTCCCAGCTGATTTCCCACTAACAGCAGAATATGGAGAATTGCACTGTTCTCTTACAGCACTACTTAAGCTGAAACAGTTTTGCAGTACAATTTTAGTATACTTAGATTTCTGTCTTTTGCTTTTCTTTGTGCCAGGTCAGCAAAGCCAACTGAGACAACTTTGAGTAGTTTGTACTACTCATACCTTTGCTATTTACAAAATTCAGAAAGGACTAAGCTTGAAAAATGTGGGGATAGTTCATAGCCCTAAGAAGTCTCAGACTGGCTATTCATTCACAAAGACAAATATATTTAGATTACATTATTATATTTCATAACCGAGATTTGTTTCAAAACAGAAAAACTGTCTCAGAATTCAGGCTTTTGTTTAGGTGCTTGATAAGACACAGACAAAACTATCTAGGAGAAAGTAAAGCGGCAAAGGAAATTGGCATTGTAGAGAGGATTTACATGGACAGAGGATTCATTGAGATTAGTAGAAAGAAAAAGGATGCCAATAATGGAAACTTAAAGAACAGAACTGTGTACAGCTAATAGCAAAGAGTTTATACAAAGGTATTTAACTAACCAACTCCACGCAAGTATGATTTTTAAAGCTAGCATTGGCTGTTAGATGCCCAGCTCTCAAAATCTTTTCCATGACAGTGAGGCATTTTGATGCCACACGAGTTTGTAGTATCTTTCACTGTGTATCCAAACACTTTTCAAACATTGAAGACATTGCTATGAGTCAGGGATTTACAATTTCTTATTTAGGAAAGGGGAAGTTAGGCAGAAATTCAAACGTAAGGAGGAAAATTTCTACAAGCACAAGTAGGATTTAGGATCTAACGGATAAACTCTGGGTAATGCTGCAGTGCCTTCTGAACATATTAATTCTTTTAGCTGTTCTTCAGCTTGCTGCTTGTGCAATGGAACATGGGGTCTGTACTTCTGCCGTGTCAGTTCAGTCCAGCATAAAAATAAGTTTGCTTTGCACTCAGCTATGATACTAACCTTTAAACTGAAGCTCTAAGCTCCGTTCCTCTCTGCAGTAAAACTGGTTTGAATCCAGGATCACCCTTCTATCATCCTGCCTGCCCCCGCTTCTCCTTGTCCACTCTACAAGCAAAATTATCTGGATTAAAAAAGCTGAGAAGGCAGAGTGAGGAAGATGGACACTACCTAACCTCATCAGTTCATTGATTCAATTCAGCAGCTGACACCAGAAAGCACAAGAGGGGGCAGCATTTCACTGGGAACTACTTGAATCTTTTCTGCGTCAAGAGGAAAAGGCTCTAGAGCCACAGTCTGAGGTGCAGGCAAACATCCCCTTCAGCAGATTCTGAGCAGCGACCTCCCGGGGACTCCGGAAACAGTCAGGAGGCTGGGAGGATGACAAGGCAGTTGTTGCAGAAAAGCTACGGTCAATCTTGCCAGAGAAAACTGTCAGACCTACAAATCCTTTGGATGAAATCTGACTGTTCCTTGAACTCCAGCCCCAACCCCACTATTGACTAGTTTGTCCCTCCAGAAAAAAGCCACTGTTGTCCCCCAAAGGCAGGTACTTCCTTCCCAGTGCAAAAGCATGATGAAATTTCACTGAATGTTAAAATTTGCAAATCTGTAATTTAGGGAAGTTCACAGAGTTGCAAAGGATTATTTTAACATTGTTTATATTATGGGAGATATAAAAAGTGCAGAGATCAGGGCATATCACTGTGATTGATAAGTCTGATGCAGGGAAAAGTGAAAGGTACAAAAGACGACACGTTTTTGATCCACACAGAATATCAAAAGAAATTAATAAGACCTGAAATAGCTAACTTTTTGCAGAAGCCATGTTTTGCAACATCCTTGAGCGAACTTCATTTAAAACATCTTCCAGGAAAATTACTTCTCCTCTCCGAGTCTTCATGCCTTGAACTAGACCAAAAGACACATGCTGGCACCTGTGTTGAAAAGCAGCAGGACCTAAAATTACATTTTAATCAAGAGAAATGTTTGCAGTGTTTGTTCAGAGCTGAATTCTTACCAGGAAACAGCAGTAACAGCTGAATAAATAGCGCTCCAACGTGGGAAGCTTGGTGATATAATCAGTAACTCTCATTTCAGCAACCAAAGCTCCATACTTATTATATAATGGGAAAATTATGATCAGAATTATGATAACCTGGTCATTTGCGTGCTCGTGGGAACCTCTCTTGCTACTAGCTTTGGTACAGGGGACTCAATGCAATAAATTGCAATAAATTGAGGAGAGGCAGGATGTAGACAGATCAAATTACTGTGGCAACACAGATCTGTTAATAAGATTAGAAAGGGAGTCATAATAATTCTATTGTGGCCACATTAAACTAAAAGTGTAATTAATCATTGCTAATAATAAAACATTCATTGCTTCTGCTCAGAATAATCCCAAGTATTATTCTGGATCCATAACCTAAGGTAATTTTAGTGCGACTTTAGGCACTGTGAAAGGAGACAGACTAACATTCCTGAAGGCTAAAATCCTATATTTAACCACAAAAACCATGCAGTCTGTCAGAGAGGAATATGATTTAGTCTGCAGATCCCTTACTGACCTTTGCTCAGATTGCTAACAAGATTGGTAATTACAATGAATAACAGCAGGGATACATTTCCCTACAATAGATACTTCAAGCCTGAAGCATGATTCAAACTCAGATGCAGATTCTGCTAAAACATCATACTTCAACAAGTAATCGTTTAACATGTGATCACACAATATCCCAGAAGCTAGGCCATAAAGTCTCTGAAAGATTGTTTCCCTTTTTCACATCAAGCAGTTACAAAAGACTGTTAAATGAGAGACAGGACTGTTTTTCACATCCTGAACACATGGCGATGTCGCCCTTCACAAATAAAGCGGACCAGTAGGAGCGGACATATAGAATGAAAAGGCTGGTGCCAAGGCCCTGAGGCCCACATTGCACACAATTCTGAGGGTTTGTTTTCTTATTTTTCCCTCCTTATTGGACTAGCATTAGTTGGGTCCTACAGGTCAAATGTCTGCTTGCACTCTGGAGTTCATTAGTTGCATGCCAGCAGCATATCTTGTAGCTTAGTTTGATCCAAAATGCCTACATGAGGTGTGCTACAGCATGGTGGAAAGTGGACACAATCAGGAGACTTTCTTCAAAAGAGCACTCCGCTGAAATTCCAATGTACATATTACCCATTCTTAAAAAAATAAAAAAAAAAAGGTATATAATTAAGATTCATAAATACATACCTTTCTGCCCAGTCATAACCCATGAGCTTCAGTATTTGGAACAAATGTTGAAAGTGATTACTTTGACTTTTATCTGTCTAAGGAATAGAATTGGTGCATATCAGAAAACACTCCAAGTTTGATAAGGATTAGCTTTTAACACAGAAACACAACACACCACAGTACTGTGCCAGTAAGCCACTGCAAGCAGAATTAAGACCTATGAAGACAGACACTGAAAAATGTAAGTAACAGCTGGAATCTATGGCAATGGGACTTTGCATCTTGTTAGAAAAAGCAATCTACCTTTTCAAAAATGATTATTCCTAGGTCATGAAGGCAAAGCCATGAAGTGAAATGAAACCTTGATGTTCTTTAGTTTCGCGTAATCTGTGAGGTGCCCATCAAACAGAATGCCTCCATTTTCACTTCAGAACCTTGCTGCTTTTGTTATATTCCCATGTTTTACATCACCAAACTTTAAGGTTCCTTTGGCTTAGAAACAGAACACCTCTTTAAGCTGTCTCTCTCCAAACCCACTAGTTTATGTTGTCTCCAGCATGATTTGTGGAGTTTTACATCACAAGTCAGATGCATAATTTAAAAAAAAAAGTATAAATTATCACATTTTCATATTAATTACACCTTGTCCTTTCTTCCAATTACTCTCTCCTATGTCTTAAAGCAGTTTCCAGTGGCAGTTTATGTCTAACAACGATCTTTGTGTTTCTAGCTACAGCTGTTGCTATGAAGTTCACTTTCCTACCTAGTTGCTTTGACTACACTGCTTAAATACTCCTTTATCCCTCCTTAAAAAACACTGCAGTGATAACCAAATAACCATTGTTTCCTTATTTGTTTGGTATTCCAAGACAGGGAGTGAGCAGTGAGTGAAGTGCTTATTCCATTTTTTCTCAACTCTACCATTGTATCAAGCCTCCAGCACCTGCCTCCTCCTTCACAATTCCTCGTAACCTGCTCCACTCCTATGTGCCACCTCTCTCTGTGCTGATTCACAACCAAGGTTGATAAATGGATAGCAGTGGTCGGCATTTCAAACAAGGCCTTCTAAGCTCTTTTCTACGCACCTTGCATATGGGAGAAGCTCTCTGTACCTGTAACAAAGCCAGATCTCCCTCGCTTAAAGACCTCACAATAAACTTTACAAAGTTTAGATAAAGGCCAGCTCACTGTACTGGCCAGTGCTGCCTCGCTGTTTCCTCTGCTTCTCTCCAAGTCTAAATTTATCTCCATTCTCCTGCTTTACAAGAGATTATACATTCCATGACAGAAACTGATTTGGTTTTGTATGCACAGCAGCATATCCCTCACCACCTGGACTACAATCACCTCTTTGAAGGACTGCAGTCTTTTGTGAGTAGATATTGTGACAAATCATGACAATACTCACTGACAAAAGACTCCAATCCTTCTTACTTAATTGCTTCTTCATGACTGTTCACAGAGCAGAATTTTCAGCTAAAACTAAACTAAAAACCAACTTAAGTTTCCAATTACTTGTCTTGACCAATATATATAGAAATAGCGTACAGAAGAATATTTAAAATCATTAATAGGAAATAATCTAATAATAATCTAATAGTTGGTTTTTTTTATAATCCTTTAAACTCCCATGGAAATAAGAACATGAAAAGTGAGGCCAAGATAAGAATACCTATCTGGCAGTACAAGCTGAATTTCAGGTTTCAGCTGGCCACCTGAAAACTAAGCATCAACTCCTGTGTTTTTGGGATGCTGTGTGATACTGCAAGAAGCATAACAATGAGTGTTTATTATGCTTGAACAATCCACATAATTAAAATTGCATGAAAACCAAATTTGTTAAGAAGGATGGAAATAAATACTAGGAATACCACAGAACTTAATCTCTGCCTAAAAGTAATATTCAAAACATGGATATGTAAGTAGGCTAAAAAAGATGAACCTGCAGACACTACCATTTCATACAGCTACTTTTTTTTTCATAGCTTCATAGCATGGCAAAAATAACACAAATGCCCCAAAAGAAGATTCGTATTATGAAGAATGGCAATTTTTTTTTCTTACAGGCCCCAAAATTATACATGTCCAAATGTAGTCTAAGTGGTTAGCTTTAAGGGAGAAGTCCGCAGTCTGACAGTGTGGATTACATTTAATTCTTCATATATAAAAGTGTTTTCATCTCCTGTTTTGAGTGCAACATTCAACGGAATCTTAATACCTCTTTAATAATACATGTCACACATTTTAAAATGTTTTGAATATTTTGCTCATATCACTGCATTTTTATGAAATAATTAGGATTTTTAAAAAATATAAATTGGTGAATACAGCATTACAACTAATAAACCAATTTAATGTTTTTTAAGCAAGTTGATGTGACGAAAATAAGATGATCATATGAAATAAGAATCAAGAGCCTCTAAATAATTTTCTTGTAACAAGACCAGGATTCTGAAATACATTTGTATTTAATAATTAAAGACTAAAATCATCGGTGTTCTCACTTAAACCCATGAAGTCCTCCTGCCTCTGGTAACACTGAGTAAAGTCCTAACCCACTAAAAAGTACTGCCACAAAACAGCACCAAACCTCAGGAAGGCTGGCAGCTCCCTCATCAGGCCGTCTGTCCCACAAACTCTCCCAATAGTTTATGTTATTGCCCTCTCATTTAATGACCCACTTTCTTGGCTCTCAGAAAGTCAGAAGTGATAAAAATACTAACCATGTCATCCAGAAACGATGCAACCTTAACAAGGTTGAGAGAACCAGACTAGACAGGCTAATCTGTCATTTCCAACTTGAACGAGACATTGATTATAACGGACACACTGATCACATCACAGTCTGGTTTTGCTGTATACCTGTTTGGACTAGGAGTAGATCAAAGAGGCCCAGGCAAGGAAGTAGTTACTAGAGTTCAGCTATGAGCAGCCAGTCAACTCAAGACTATTGCTTCCACGCTTGCTCACTCCATGAGGTTAACATTCAGCCCATATCCTAATCTGTGCAAAATACCCATCCAACTATTTTCTTTCTTTCTAACTGTTCCTTCTCCCTTGGTCCCTACTACCTCATGGTGTAACAAATACAAATAATTACTTACCCATGCGAACTAGACAAGAAACTTCCTTAACTCCTAATGAATTACACTTTCACAGCCACACTGCTCTTCGATGCCAGTGAACCTACTATGTTCCAGTCAGTAGAGGCACAAAAACTCCCACCAAAACCAAGCAGTTCCCCCCCGCCAAAAACACAACCAAAAAAATCCCTGTTCTATGACCACATGTCGGAATGGCAAGCTACTGGAAATTTCCTGAAGACTGAAAATAAAAGGAGGAACGTGACTTAACTAAAAGTCGCACTTTAAACTATCTGTGTATTTAGTTTTATGCTTACTGATCTCTCCCCCTCCCCTGAATCATAGTATTTGTAATATTATATTGACTTTTGAAAAAGCTGTACCAGAGAAGATATACGGGCTTTACCAAACGGATCACAAACGACATGCAGAGTTTTTCAATACGCTATTAATTGACTTCACATAAAAGAACATGGTTTTCAAAATTATTTTTTTCTAAATCTGGGAAAAAGAAGATCTAAAAGCATCATTTGATATGTCATTGGTAATATTAAAGCAAAAAAGAGTTTCACACAAGTGAGGAGATAATCCTGCTATTCATTACTGATAGTGTTGGAATTATTAAAAAGCCAAATAATCAAACCAAGAAATATAAAAAGATTCCCTGTCTACAACTGCTTTGTTCAGATTGATTAAGCAGTACTTTATGTGCAATTTCTACATAATGAAACCAACGCACTGTTCAAAGCCATAAAAATTTACATTTCAGATAAGATATCAGGACTTTAGAGTAGATTTAGATTCATTTTAGGCCATTAATTTCTAAATTAACATTTTACAACCCTTTATAAGACTAACAGCTTTTTCTGACTTGTTTAAATATTAATTACAACATTTATATAGAAAATACAATGTCAATTGAGTAAAAGTTCCTTTAAAACGAATTGTAATGGATTTTTATAACAGAGAATAACTCCAGAGCTGATTTTTCAACCATTTTGTGGGTCATGAACTGAAACAGAACCAAGAAACACTGCCACACTGAGGCACAGCTGCTGGGCAGTAAGGGCATCTATTTTACTGACAAAAATACCATGTATCAAAGTCATATCGCGAGCAAGAGGCCCCCTGAATTATTGGGGAGAGTCAGGCTCAAAAGTGTTTGGTGAATCTAGAATTACTTACCACATAAATCATAGTATCACAGCTATGCTTATTCATTCGGTCTATAGCAGCAGCAAGATCTCTGAAAGAGACAATGAGAAACTATTTGAACTTTCATTCAAACGTACCTCATTATTTGCCTCTTAGGAAAATAATCTATTCTTATGGAGGGGAGAAGACTGCCTGATTAGAGGGATCCATGTATGCCTTACACAAAAAAGAGGACATGTATACTCTGTTTACAATGTGTTTGAAATGTTTTTTTTTAAACCACTAGCTATGAAAATTACTGAGGAAACCAGTCTTAAGCACAGAGTAAGTGGTCCCTCTCTGCCTACTGGAGCAACCAATCAACTGGGACTTGAGAGAAACACCCCTCTCCTGGAAAACTAACCCAGTGCTCTCAGCGTTAGGTTATACGATAAAAAGCTCATCTCCACACACACTAAGTAGTACCGAGAAACAACTTGCTCGAGCCCCTCCCAGGGCTGTCACAGGAGAGCCATCAGCCCCATGTCCCAGTGTGAAACCCACCTCAGGGGTCACCAGGAGCAGCTCTCCAGACCACCTTCCGAGTGAGGGAGGTTACTGCCTACGGGATATGGGACACATGGGATGCAAAGGAAAAGCATTTTGCAATTGCACAAGACTTATTATGGGATGCTTAGGGGAGGAATCAAAGATGGGAAGAGAGGGAGAAGATGATAAAAGGGACAGGTGGCTTGTAAACTGATTGCTGGTTAGTATGTTTGCCTGATCGTGCCCTGCACCTGATCAGCACAGTCTGTCCTGTCTTCTCGTTAAACTCCATTTCAAACTTTTCCTGGGTGAGGGGGTCTCTCTTCTGTGTGCACATGTGTTTGGAGGTCTAAGTATCTGTAAATGGAGTTGGGGACTACAGCTCATATAGGCCATGCACCTGTGGTGCCCACAATTGAAGGGAGTGGAGTTAAGTGAAATTAAGTGATAGCAACTGGAGTCTGACCATGGGTCACCAGGGCCAAGGTGTCTCTGCTGCCAACAACTGGAGTGATGGCAGACACATCGACATGTGACTGACAGCAAATATCAAGCTGAACTAGCCAGCAAGTAGGTTAAATGCCCTGGAAGCCAGGCAAGTGTGTGCCTTCAAAGATGAGGCACCCAGAGGAGTCTGTACTGTTGGCATCAGGGGGTCCAGGCCAACTGCCGGAGAGACCATGGGGCCTGTGGGTTGACTGAGAGACCTGCCTGTGTATATGTGTGTCTCTGTGTAGGAGGCAACAGGGGAGAGTGAGGTCCACTGAGTCAATGAAGACATGGCTGAACAAGTAATTTTTTTATGCATCACACTGTCAAGAAACATTTTAAGCAAATGTCTTTATCAAACCTTTGTTATTTGGCAAGTGTTTATTAGATGAAGAGATCCCAGCTTTGTTGTCAAAGGCAGTAGCTGGAGAAAGTATTATGATTTATCGAAAGAGGAGATCTACTGACATACTGCTTAAGGGGAAGAAAAGTATTTAAAAGCAGTTGTTTTTCTTGAGCCATTTTTATCCCATCATAGTTACATTGCTAGTTCCAGTTATGATTACTCATTAGTGAAGGTATTCCATCCCAGAAAGAAAAAGCTTCAAAATCTGTACTATCGGTTACAAATGTACTCATGTACAAAAGTTTACTGGCAAAATAAATGGCAATAAACACAGATGGGTTACTTGCCTTGTTATATAAAGAGATGTCCCATCACTACGCATGACGGTGGAAAACGATGAGAGGTCTTTCTTTTCCGAAAGATCCACAATTCCTGTCCCTTTTCTATAAGTTGAGAGAAAACACTGAAGTAACTGCAAGGCAGAGCCAATATACAGGTAAGTTCAGATAACATACAGGTCAGAACCAAAACAAAAGCCTCTTGCCATGGAACCCACCTTGCTCTAGACAATGTCATTCTTTTCTTTGAATGACTGTATCCTTTAAGTCTTTTTTAATACTGTTCCTCTAAGCTTTTTGTCACCACTGCTGATGCCAGGGAGCCACCTGCCCGCATTCTGGTGCATTCCACGACTACAGCTTCCGTTCCAGTTCAGCCAGGCAGCTCCTTCATCAAGGCGAGGATCTCATCTAACTCTGCTTGTTAAATGGCATATGCAGCTACCAGACTAATTAACAGCCTAAAAGGCCGTTCGGAGTTGAACGCTATCATTGTACGTAATTTGTCACGGCCAGGCTTCTGTGCTAGGCACAGAAAAGGCAAACTTAATTTTTAGCTGCGGCTGCACAAATCCTCTTGGTCTTCTACCATAACAGCTATCAAAAACATCTAAAGAAAACTCTTCCTCTTAGATTACATACAAACCTCACTCATCATATGTCATTTGAAATGCAACTGAAATGTTAAATAAACTACACCAATAGATTGAATAATGAGTTCATACATTGTTTTCTGAAGGAGTCCTTTATCCTCCAATGTCTTTAGAATTTCCTGGGACTTTTCGTGGTAAAATGATTCTCCAGAATATTCATCAAAGTGCACTCCTAGACGCTGAAAAGTTCCAAGAATATCAAAGAAGGGTAACATTGTTAAGATTGAGGCTAATCATTTCTTCAAATTAAGTCAGATGATAGGTCTGTGTCACAGGTCAGATAGAGTGCAAAGATTAATTTTATTCCAGGAAATGTCACTTCACTGTTACAAGGAAAGGATGTTTGAATTTTGATTTAATTGATCTTTGCATTTGAATTAATCTCCCTGAGTGGAATACAGTGTTGGATATAACATTCATGAGAAATTAGGCATTAACTGGATAGAGCAATTAGTACAAAAACTCTGGGGTAGGTCTCTAATGTGCTGTGCTGGAGGCAAAACCAGTGGACTGCAGAGAAGTTACTTGGACATGAAACCAATCCTATTTTAAAAGGATGCTAAAAGAAATTTAAAAAAGCAGGAGCTAGTCACAGACATTGCTGAGCATACAGAAATCACCATTACTAGGAAGGCTGAGGGTATACCTAGGAGAGATAGGATGACCTTAACTGTCATAACTGGGTGAAATGTAATAGTACAAAAGACAAGGTTTTTAACTGAGGGCAACAAAGCTGTCAGCCCATCAGCTTGATACTTGTTAGTTTGAATGGAATTGGGAGAGAAAGATCTAGCTGTACCAGTCATCATGTGATCAATGATGAATGACCATCACGATGCAGCTGCATACACAGCCCAATACCCACTTACCCTAACAGGTCAGCCTTCCACTAGAATTATCTAGGTTGTGTCTCACTTAGGAGATCTTAACTTAGAGTACTTGGCATGAATCCAGTGATACGTTTCAGGGAAGAAATTAAAGCACAGCCAGGCTGTCTGGATTATTGAGAAAGGGGCAGGCCACTTCCCTTTTAACTTTGCAATCAACAATGAAAGAAGACATAACCAATTTCTACAAATACATCAAGAGGAAGGAGGTGGAAAAGTGCAAGTTTAAGTAAAGAATAATACTAGAAGAAGGAAGTAGTATAAAATGAGTCACAGGTTCTTTGGAGCTGTGAGTTAGAAAAAAATGTCTAAGCCCATCAAAACTGGGCACCCATTCCAGAATTTCATTGCAAGGAATGTGGGAAAGAAAAACGCTAGCTGGTTTTCAGATGGACTCAGTTGATTCTTGAGTAAGATTACATAGTATTAATACCAAGAGACTGGATTCAGTGACAGAAGGTGTATCTCATTCCTGTTTTCCAAATTCATAAGATTCACTTTGTGGTCAATGGCACAAACACCTCCCATGAAACAGCGGACACCCAGCTCCATTCTTGAGATTACAGTATGCAACAGATGGCTGTATATTAGCTCAACTCAACCTGCAGGTGACTTATGTACTGATTACTACTGTAAACTCCTGCTACTATAATTACTTACACTCAATTTAATATGCAACATACACAGCTCTGCATTATAACATTAGATCAGAAATGTGAAAACAGAGTTATCTCCTGATAAAATTTATTACATGGAAACTGTTAAATTTAGCAGGTTGTTGCTGACTTCAAAGATAGAGCAAAACTGAACAATATTTATCTAACACTGATTTGCTTTGTTGCTTAGCACCATACTCCTAGCTTCAGGGCTTCTGAGAAGGGAGAATTAGTCTAAGGACCAATTACATGGACTCCATTAAATAAAATGTATCTAGGTTGTCAGCAACTGAAGTGGCAGTCTGCGTGGATGTTAAATCAACTACCATGCCTTTTCCAAGCAGAATGGGGCATAACCTGGCATATTGAGAAACATCTTCCCCACAACACTGTAAAGTTTACTGGAAAGGCAATGAATTGACAACGCTACAGCAACGTCTGTACCATTTTTCCAACAACACAGAAAAAGCAGTGCATAAGTTGTACCTTATAAATTCGGCTGTATTCCTCAATACTGAAGTCTCTAAATTGTTTCCAAAGCGACAATGTCTGCTCATCATGTTCCTCCAGTTTTCTAAAGAAATCCTTAGCCAGCTTTTTTGTGTTTTCATCTTCTGCTGCTTTGTTAATCTGCACATACACCTAAAATATAACAGCACTGAAAATATTGAAGTATAATCCTCTCCTCCAATAAAAATAAGCTAAGTTCTACAAGAACAATACAAATACATTTAAAGATGACATCTGTAACATCAAAATTTTGAAGACGTGTTAAAGGAACACATTTCCTATTTAAAGGATGAATGAGTAGTCCAAATTCCAATAGGAAAATGTACAGCTTATCTTGAAACAAGACTAATGCTGTAATTCCTTACTGCTGTCACTATCATCCTCTTTATAACCTTGAAACAACTGCAGCAGCAGAATATGGAAAAACTAATTTATGCACGAAAGGGAAACCATCACAGACTTTTAAACCAGAGACTTTTCTTCAGAGGACCACAAAGTTGATATTTATAACAACTGCACTGCCTAAAAATAAGATGACAGTTGAAGCAGCAAAATCCTACATAGCCTCGATGTTTTACAAGCTCAAAAAAACCCCAACCCCAAAACAGTTCTAATCCAAACCACCTTACTTATAGTACTCTGCACCCATATTAACACATGTTGTCTCTCTGTGGCTGAAGTCAAGCATAAGAATGTCAACATCTGACTAGACACACACATATGCACTGTCAGTTTGCTAAAAGCATTACAAACTCTTGTATTAGCCAACTTTACCTATGTACAGCAAATTTGGCTCTCCTGTTCATTAACATATTCCTTTATATCTATAGGACAAATATTCACCCAGACAATGATTCCTTGCTTTCTACATGTAGTATCTTGAAAGCCCACGGAAGATGGTTTTTAAAAAGTTGAAGTACTATGTAAAAATATCTAAATTAACTAGTGGTTACATTATGTATTTAGACCCAAATAGTTCAATGCTGTTTAACTTTTTCCCCAAATCATCGTGATCTTGATAAAAAGAAAAAAATTATAAAAACTTCACTCCTGCAATGTTCAGACAATGAGTTTCCCAACAATACCTTGCTCGAATGGGTTCCTCCTATTAAAACAAAAAAAGCTTCCACAGCAAAACTCTTGAACTTTTCCCCTTCCTTTTATGTCCCAAGATTTTTAGAGATTTTAACAGGCAGTACTGCTGACAAGCCTCCAAGATTATTGTTTGCTTAGTTCTGCCACAAAAAAGAAATTTAACGTAGTGGGAAAATTCAACCCTTTCCAAGAAAAATGCTCCCTCTCCCCCATCAGTAGCTTCACACATTCTAACCCCCAACCCCAATCTTTGATATTATAAAGCAAAAATAATGCAAAAGGCATATTTGCATCTGACTCTTGACCAAAATGGAAGGTGCAAAGATGTTTGGAAATGTACATTTGTCTATACATTTATTTATATAGAAACTGTGCTATGGAAGTTTTCTTTTTAAATGAACTATAGGAAAGACTAGTTTCACAACAGTAAAAGAAACACCACTTTGAAACACATCTTAATTTTTTATATAAACCAGGAATACAGCTGAACAAACAGTTAAAAACTGGGAATATTTGAGAAACTAATTTGGTCTCCAGCAACTACTGTTTTAGAACTTTTTGCAGCTTGACTGAATACTGTTCTCTACAATTGAAGGTAATTTTTTTAAGGTCATAAAGCCTACATGCTACTGTAATAGATGATATTTTAAAGCCGTAGTGCAAAATTCAAGTATTCAAAATTTAAATCCTAAGAATGGACTGAAATTGTAACTAAAAATTAAATAATATGCAGCAATGCACAACCACAAGAATATGACTACTTCTTGTCGTCTCTTTAAATGAGTCCTACACCTCTAAGACACCTTCATGATAAGAATCTGTCAATTTTATTGAGCAGGCCTTGGGGATGAGGGAACGAGTGAACAAAATTTATCTATGTCGAAGCTGGCAAACTCAGAGGGAGATACTCTGGCACATAACAATTTGCCTAATATGTGTTCAGCTGTAGAGTATCTAAGTATTCAAACACAGTTTGTTCCTTTGCCAGTAAACAGATTTATGCAAAAGTTACCCTGTGACATATTGTCCAGACACTGGCATTAGCAATAGTTCCCATACCCAGCTCAGGGTGAAGCACAGCTCAGCTTTGTAATAAGAGAACACTTGATAGTGCTATACAAGAACCCTGACAAAGCCCCATTAACACATAAGATCTTTCTTTCAAAGGATGAAGACTTAAACATTAGTGTCCTCGGTTCAGCTGGGATAGAGTTAATTTTTTACAGAAACCTGGGAGGTGGGGGGCATAGCCGGGGCAGCTGACCTGAACTAGCCAAGGAGCTATTCCATACCATGTGACATCATGCTCAGTATATAAATGGGGAGCGGGCCGGGGGTGGTCTCTACTTTCGGTGGGGGAAGTGGCGGAGCGTCGGGTCCCGGGTGGTGAGCAGTTGCACTGTGCATCACTCTTTTTGTATACTCTTTCATTAGGACCGTTGTTGTTGTTGCAATTTCTTTGTGTTGTTCCAGTAAACTGCCTTTATCTCAACCCTCGAGGTTCCAGTTTTGTTTTTTTTTCTCTCCTCCGTCTTCCCCCCCTATCCCACCGGAGGGGGGCGGGAGGAGTGAGCGAGCGGCCGCGTGGTCCTTTGTTACCGGCTGGGCTGAAACCACGACAATTAGCCATTCAGAAAATTTTGTCCACTTATCCTCATGGCTGTTGGATTTGCACAGGTAAGTACGTAACTCACGTTCTGTTATTATGTACAGCACGGTTGTCAACCAAAGATCATTTACAAGTATCAAAAGATAGACGGAAACCTTTTTTGCTCATTGCACTGTATGAAACAAGGAGTGACAGAGGAATTGCTAAAGAGGAAGAAATAAATAATAACTCAGATGATATTAGGCATATTTGGATGGAGCAAACCAACAATCAAAACCATATCAGTCCTAGAAACACAAGACTTGTTAAACTACCTCAATTGTTATGGCTAACCTGGACAGTCCACTGAGTCAATTTTGTCCCTGACACACAGAAATGCAATCTATAGCACTTCCATCATGCTGGTGGGCACCCGAGAGGGTAACCTCCTGCAACAAAACAGCCTCTCCTACTGTTGAAAGGCATTTCCTGAATGCCTGTCAGCAGAAACTGCACCTCCTAATGCTCCTGGCTCTTTCACACTCTTGGAAAAAGGAAGAGCATTCTGCAGAGTCAAAACAGTATTCTGGAAAGTGACGGTCACTCCTCCTTACCTATATATGTTAAGCCTCCATATTAGATACAAAACACTTTAAAGATCCTTTTCACCAACCACAGTGATCTGTGTATTGAGCAATGTGAATTAAATATCACTTATTCTAAAAATACTAGCAACAAAAGGATTTTTACACCATACATGCCACTTCCTTTTCACAACTTTGGTAACCAATGTGCTACAGCATTAGATGCAAGACACCATTTCCACTGCAGTTACCACAGTGAGCTCAGTGGTCACCTATGCCCAGTTAAGATAGTTGCTATTGGCTGTGGTGGTAGCAGCAATCAATGCAACCTAAGTATCCATATGATTACCTCCCTTATGAGGCGTATTTTTCAGCCTAATGAAACCTGTTTCTGCTGCCATTGCTTCGTGAGAACTGTCTCCACTGCCGTGGCCCAGGCTAGCACTGGTCCTTCAGGCAAGGTCATTTAAATCCAAAATGAGTCTCATCATGACCCTGCAGACATACCATTCTGTACAAAATTGACAGCTAAGTTAAATGGACTGTCCTCTGAAGTCTGCAGTTGGTCTTCTATGAACTTACCTCAAAAAGGTGTTGTAAAGGACTGGATTTTAGCTTTTCTTTGTTGCCAAAATGTTGGAAACCAACACCCAACAAGCCTTGAATAACAATTAAATACAGAGTTAGACAACAACCCAGAGTATATTGTTTTGTTGATTAAGTTGTTTTCATAAGCGAGTCTAGTCTTAACATTGTATGTAATAAAAGAAATGCCTTACATTTTTAAACAATATAATGGTGTATGCTACAAAAACAAATCAAAAGTATAACCTATTATTCCACTGCATGAAAATTACCAAAACTATAATAGCTAGAAACTAGTAAGAAATAGTATGTTGGTTTTTCAATTCCTCATGAAACGGAATTCGTGTTTCTGGACTTGTAGAGAAAATTACCTTTTACACAGCAACCAGCTGTAAATGAGAAGCCACACAGTGGAAACTATCCAGTAAAAGAACATGCTCAAAACTCCTTGTTTTGCTTCTTCCTTTAACAGTATTATTATTTCAAGGACAATAGAAACTGGGACACAATACGGTATTCCACATAGCACTCATGTAATATTTTCAAGGGAATTTTTTGTTGCATGCTGAGAATGTGCAGCTTTTTTCACGTATTCAGTTTGGCTTCAGCACTTTCCAAAGGCCATCTGAAAGGGCAAGATCCAAACCCCAATCCTTTTGTCTAAATCAAAAGAGCCCATTAACTCATTCAGTAATCTAGCGGTATTAACCCTGCAGCCTCTTAGATTTTCTGAGACTGCTTTTAAGGCCATCTTATTCTTCTGAGCTGACGAGGACCAGGACTGATGTGAAGACAGTATCTGAAGAATAGGTATGCAGGTATCCCTTTGAAAAGCCCTCTGCAACTAAACAAATAGCACTGTCTCAATAACTTCCCTCTTGGAAACACTGACTGCAGTAGAAGCCATGGCAGATTTTGGTAAGAAAAACAAGTTAGAGTTTAGGAAGTAAAATGAGTCTAAGTCTATTGAAAGTGAGATGCTTTAAGGAAGCTTGTTCTATGAGCAATCGGAGCTTGATTTCCTAATGATCTCTCTATTAGTGTACCTACACATTCCACTTTTCAATGCTGGCACCCCCAGCAAGACTGCCAGTTTTTATTCAACCTGAACATATCCTTTCACATGTTTCTGTCTTCCCCAAACCATCCCCAGCCTTTGTTACACTCACCAATTATTGGCAAGATGGAGCATGTGTTGGGACTGATTCCAATTTAGATGTGCTGACTGGTTAGCTGGCAGGGTAAACACAGAAGTTAACTTTCTCTCCCAGAGGGCACTACATTGTATTTCTATCCCTACTCAGCTGCCAACTGTCAAAATACCAAAAGAAATTTGTTCTCTTGGAGGCATTTTTCTTTGTCAGATCTGGCTGAAGTTGGCCAATGGGTTCAAAATTGATTAGGAGCAGAGTGACAGGAAGACAGATGGACAGTGTGACTGCATAAGCTTTGTTACCTTAAGAAACCTGCCCCAAAACTGCCTAGAGGTTGACGACTTCTCTGCCATGTTTCAGCAAAGTATGTTTTCAATTATTACATTTTAAAGCCTCTGACAATAGCAGTTATAACAGAAATGCTGACAGATTGTTAATTATAGCACTGCTTCTGGAAAAGGACCATTATAGTAATATTCCTATGCTATAATTTTATGAAGCATGATTGTATTATTTGTTATAAAACCTGTCATATACTTGAGCTGAGCCAGCCCAAATAAAGAGGGGAGCACCCATTTTGAAAGAAACAGAATTGCTAGGTCAAAAGCATGATTCTAACAGTTGTGTGCTGGACAACAGGTACACATGTAAGTAACAGGCATGGTGATTCTCGTACTTGCAGGAAACTTTGTATTAAAACACATAAAATTCCTGATATTCAGACTTAGGAGTACAATTTAGTATCTTCAAAGACAGAGTGAATGAGGTCAGCTGAGAAGCCCCTTAACCACATTGCATTTCATTGCTTAACTGTCATTGCCACATTCATTATACAATAGCATAGCAGCAAAATTATGTCTAAGGGGCAAAAATGAATTAAATATGCAATGATGAAATTTATTGAATTTTAGGTGAACTCAGTCGATATTCAATTCCTATGAAACAAATCCTAAGTGAAGCAAAGCTCTGCTATAAACTGTTTCATCAGAAACAGGGTCAGGAAAGATAAGCTGCAAAGGAAATAATTTAAGAAAGGAAAAAAATATTCTATTACTGCTCTCACAGTCATAAGAATATTTTATTCAACTGCCTAAGCCCCAGGAATTTACTCTATAAGGAGAAGGGGCAGAACTGAATATATTTTAGTTATCTACACTGCTGTATCTGAATACATAAATGGAGTAGAAGTAGGGTATTTATGCTAAGTTTTTAATCCAGCTCTGTTCGTAAAGTTGATTCATTGATATTCCCATAAATAGCAGTACCAGTGCCACTGAAGGGGGCAGCATAAGGGCTGGAATGAGCAAAAGTGACTGCTTAATAGACATTGCACTTTGTGTTTGCCATTTAAAAATAAATATACAGACACTGTTTTTAGAACCTACTGCAAAAGATGTGGAGGAGTTTTATAGTTTTCACAGGTGTACCAGCTTTCAAGAACAAGGAAGTGGGCATGACTGCATTTTTTTAAATGCCTAAAAATATGTGAAAAACAGCTTTTGGGGGGAAATTAAAAAAGGAGAGGTGAATATGGATCAATTTCAAATGCAAGATTAACAACAGAAATCAACAAAGTTGTGAATCCTATGGATGGGTCAACTGCCATATAAGAGGGATATTTACAGATCCAGCAACTGGACATAAATGATCTCTGGTCAAGGAATAAATACCAAGCCATGCTAGGCTGCACACGAGAGGATTTTTCAGTCCTGACTTATCTGATGGACATTTCAGAAGAGGTAGGAGTGTGTATGTGTGTGCATGCAAACACGCGTGCAAGATTGGTAAGTCTTCTAGGGCCTATTCACTTGCACATTCTCCACCTATACAACTTTCTTTTGCTACATTTTAAAGGAAAACAGTTTTTTGGGGGAAGCATTGGTATATCTTTGAAGATGCAAACTCTCTGGTCCTCACCCTGCCAAAACACAGTTGCTGTGGAAGTTATTTATGCTCTATGAATAATGAACTAGCTTCCAGAGGGAACAAACACACAGATAAAGAAAACATACAAACACACACAAAGACAACCAAATATAAAATATACATTTTGTTACAATTATTCTATTGTTGTGTGTACAGGTGTGGCATAGGTAAGTTAGCAAGCTTACTCTCCCACAACTGTTACACATGCAAAATCGGAATAAGGAAGACAGTATCACAGTAGAAATGCAACAGCTATGGAAATATGTATGCATTTTGTCTGGAGGCAGCAACAGAAGTTTGTTGAGCTATGAGAGCTCCAAATGTGTAACCAGCACACTCAGAAAATATTGATACTGCCCTTTAAAAATAAACCCCAGATTACACATACGTAATCTGAGAGAGGAGCTACTGAGGGACAGAGGGACTGTTGTTTCTTTTACAGCAGTATATGTCAAACTGCTGATGAATCAGTCTGGATTGTTTTGTTCATATTTTAAGGAGATTAACTACACATTACATGCATGGAAACACAATATTACTCTTTGTGAGCCCAGAGTGAATCCAATGGGCCTGCAAAAACTGAAGCTGGAAACCTAGACCATATTATACAGTAGAAAAGGGAACAAGAGAAACAAATATTAAAACATACCAAACTGCATGCCCCAGTCACCAAGGTAATTTATTCTTATTACTTCATGTCCCAGTGCAACTTTGAGATTTGCTATAAAATTCCCTGGAAAGGAAACAAAATTGGTATTATTATTCAGTTGTAGGTAGTCTCTCATCCCAATGTAACAGTTTTCTGGTTTTGTATGATCTGTGTTCATAATGAAGAGGAAAAGCAATCAGATTAACTATTCCATAGAATTTGCTAAAATACTTCACAACTAAAAGCAGTAGTATTCTGAGCAGGAAAAGAAAGGCCATGCATTTGACAGGTGCCCTAAAGTGTCTCATACAACAGTGATAAAAACACACGCGTGTATGTGCATGCACATACTGTAAAGTATTGGAACATGAAAAACACTTTTTAAAGTCTTCTTGTATTCTCACAAATATGTGGCAGTATACATAATTCCTGTCACAGTCAGGCAACCTCACATCAGGAGGTTATGCAAGTACTCAAAATTCACGGCTGTTACTGTGATGTTAAATTGAGAACATAAAGTCCTGAATCTCTATATACTGCTGGAGCAGTACTGAGCTGTGCACTTAACACACTGTGTCTGATATGCTCCAAATTTACCATATCATATAAGCATGTCTTGGTTCTAACTGTTATTAAAAAAAGAACCCTTCATCTTTCTCCTGAGCTTAGCTACAACCAGAGAATTACAAAGAAGAAATACCCGCATCCCTTTCTCTATTTTCCTGTGCTTCAAGGGTACCTTTGGATTACAAAACTGATGTAAAAGGATGCAGAAAGCTTCCTCTTCTTCTGTTACTACAACACCATATTATAGCTTGCTATTACTTTCAATTCCATTCTCCGCAGTCAAGTCATTCTCTTGCTATTGGAAAACACTGATCTACAGAACTATTTTTGAAAGTGTTTTTTTTTCTATAGCAAAGGGTCCAGAAATGGAACATAAAGACCCCAAAATACATAATTTCATTCAACTATCAGTCCATGAAGAGGCAGAATTTTTAACTTTATGTAATTAATAATTATAGATGACACACTAAATATAATTAAAACCTAATACATTATTAGCTGCACAGATGCTGTAGGATCTTCTGGTAATAACCTACTAGTTTTTATTGTGAGAGAGGGAAAGGAGGGAGAAATAATGTTTTCCATATGCCATTAGAGTACTGCACAATAAACTTATTAATTATTCCATTACAAATTACAGCAACTATGTTAGTAATACTGGCATAAAGTAATTAACATATAAAAGCAAGCTTTTTGCAAGACAGCCACCAAGACATAATTATCTGACTGCTGTGCAGTCCAGTGCAAATTGGAAATTTAAAATTCAAAGGACTCTCATAACACCTCAATGAAAACTGCCCTGGGTGTCTCTGTAGAACAATTTTAAACTACTTCATTTAATGTTCACAGTCATAAAACTATATTACGTGTGACTTAATAAATCTGCCAGCAACACACCATGCTCTTTTCTTCACTGCATAATGAGCAAAAGGTTTTTAATTAGCAAGTCGAGCCTGACACGGCCACTCCACTAGAAGAGTGAAGGGTTAGCAGTGTTCCCCTGTCAAGTGAAACAGGAAGACAAAGAAGCCCTTTTAGGAAGCAGTTAAATGCATACTTACCTACTATTGTGGAACGCAAATGTCCTACGTGAAACTTTTTGGCAATATTAGGGGAGCTGTAACAAAATTTCACAAATAATCTTTGTTCAATGTACAAAACTGCCAGATCACTAAGTCAAAAGAATTCAACTCATGCATATAGCAGAACTGAAATAAAACCACCACTTTAAATTTTTCCTTAAAATTCCCTGATTAGCTTCTGTTCTAGTCAGCAAATTTTTCTATCCAACCAGCTTTTCTTCCAGTATCAGTTAACAGCCAGTGTTACAGGGAAAAAGAAGCCACAAACAACACCACAACAAAGAATCCCCCAAAACCCAACTACACAAGTGACAAAGGACTTAAACCACCTTCTCACTTTTTACATGTTTTGGACATATGGATCATTCTCCTCATACCTTTAATAGAGATAAATCTGATACCAGGACAGGGGACCTTGTGTACAAGAATCAGTAACTAAAATCACATCTTATTCTGCCAACCATGTCCCCCCCCAAAAAACCCCCGTACCCAGAATTTTTTTGCCTCTGATAATAAAATGGAAGTTCAGCTATGAAAATTTATCCTCCAAATTAAAGCCAAATGCTTACTTTCCATGACTCTGGAAGCCTGCAGAGGGAGTATAAGTGAACAAAAATAATTATACATGAAGAGATCTCAGTCAGCCACTTTTCATTCCATGAGCAGGTGACCATAACCAAAAATTGCACTGGACAGAAATTTTAGGGCCAGCAATTGAGAAGATTTAGCAAGACAAATGCCTGGCTGCTTTAGCAAGTCAGGGAGGAAGGTATTAAGGTAAAAAAAGAAATGGGTTAGTGGCTGAAAATTCAGATCATGTTTCTTGATAACAAAATAAAAGAAGCCTACTTAAAAACTGAATGCTATTATGCACTAAATGAGAATATTCTTAGTGGAGGGCAGTATGAGGCATGAACTCTTTAAATACCAAGAATATATTCTGGGAAAAAGCCTCAATTCCCTAAATAGAACTTATATTCTACTTGGCAAATATATCAGAGTATCAAATACAGCTGAATATAATACCATAAATATGGTTTAACTTCACAGGCATCATACATTGCAGCAACGAATATCAATCAGCAAAATATCAATCAGCATACAAGGCTATTTTCTCAAAGGACTCATCACATGTGCTTACCTGAACTCAATCACTGCCTTTTGTCTAGGCACTGTAGAGAAAAGTTCACTTTTTACTCCATACTGTGACCCATCTTTCAACACCTGCTGCAACACAGTCTAAACCACAAGGAGGACAAAAAATAAAATTTAAAAAAAAGGAAAATATGTTTCAAAACCAGAAAGCATGATCAGCAAAACTGTTTACCAATCACACAAGAGACTGATCCCATAGCCTTTATTCACATTAGCAATTAGATGTCTGGTCTGCCAAGCAAACAAGATTTCACATACAGACAAAAATGCTATTAACTTTTGAAAGCTGTATCTGATCAATTTAAAAAGTTAGAGAAATTATAGGCAGATTTTTTTGTGAAAATCAAGGCTGAATTTGGTGACAACTTAAAAGGAAGTGGAAAGCCTAGTTTTTCACTGAAATCATTGTTTAGATACATAAAATGAAACAGCAAGAGAGTAAACTGGAGGTAACTGGTAGACGGGAAAGGAAACTCAGTCTAAGCACATGGGTAGAACAGTGACCTCATGTAAAATGAGGGAGTTCTCAAGTAAATAGGGGTGTTACCTTACGCTAACCAGGACCCTCATCCATCCTAATTCAGGTAACATTTTAAAATAAAAAGTACCTTGTAGAACTAGACCATAGATTGGGATGAAAAAGTGGGAGAGCTTATGAGCAGTAGACTTCACTAGAGAATTTACCTTATTGTGCAGTTACATGTTCTCAGCAGGTTTTTTATTATTTATAATTAATAAAAAAAAGCTACACAGCATACCTCTGAGCTTCCTCAAAAGCATCCTCTTCCCATGAATACATCTTATCTAGGCACACTTTGAGGTGCTTGGCCATTTCTCTGAAATTCCTAGGAGTTCTGTCCTATATCCAAGAGTTTTGCGAAGGTATAATACACAGGGGACGGACACCCACTGTGCACGGCACAGCCAGATCACGTAGGTCCAACCCTTTGGGACACAGCAGACCTCCCACACACTACTTGTGACTGAGAGCCTACAAAAAATCCAATGAGCTCCAACTGCATGAGCATTACCACATATATGCAGGTTACCCGAATAGCACATGAACCCATTTCGTTCGCTTCAGGAAATCTCACACAAAAGTACAGGAGTTCTAGTCTTCATGATTATAACTAAAGCCAATTTAAGAGACAAAACTACTACTACTACTACAGAATCCTCTCCATCAGTTCACTGCAGGTAGACTGCAACAGCAGCTCATGGAAGGTTTGGTCACTCATAACTCTAACAGTATATTTAAACATCAGCCAGTGGTTTTAAGTGACAGAGACAAAAGAGGCTTAGCTATTTCTAATTTTGGTTGTATAAATTTAAACTGCTTTCATTGTTAACCCTAGAACATGAGGCAGATTAATGTTTCTACCTTCTTCCAGTTACTTTACATCACTGTCCATTGTATTTCTTCATTAATCCTTTTTAGGAATAGTATCTGCCTAATGTTCTTTTCCTTTGCTGTTGGAAGACAGCATGTATATACAATGGGGAAGCAGAAAAACAGGAGATTTCTGCAAGAATTTAAGCCTCCTCAGAACTACCGAGTCACTTCAACTTAAGTCTGTAACAGAAAAGGAACAACTAATACATTCATGTTCTACTAAAACTGCTAGATTTTTCTAGGCACCAAAAGTCAGCCTGCTTTGTACTCCTTTAGTGCCAAAGAAACCCAACTATTCAATCCTCATGTGTCCAAACACCCCCTCTCTTTTTCTCTTCCCCCACCTGCAACTCTGTTAAGGACACTGTGAATGGTCCCTACAAAAGTGTGTCTAGTTTGAAAGTATGGAGACTGTGTAAAACGCTTTAAAATATTTACTCAACAGCTTGAACACAGTTTGTGGGAAGAGGAATCCTATGCTGACTATATTATCAGTAATGCATTCATACGGCAAGGTAAGTCCCTGTACATACCCTACATACTTCCATTTGCCACTCAGATGCCAATACACTACAAAACCTAATATATGAAGCTGTATGTATTGAACAAACTTCCTGAAGATAAGAGGCCTTTAACAATGTGAATGAAAGTGGACATCTCGCTTAATTCAATGGAAACTTTTCTTTTTTTCCTCTCCAAAAATCACTTTAAAATTCTTCTGCAATAGATATTCAATAAATTAAAAAAAAAAAAAAAAAAGGAACGGCACCTGTAGAAAAAACATTAATTCTGTTCTTATTATGGCACCTAAGAAGGGAAGCTAGACATATACACAAATTGTCAAATTTACCCATAGACCTAGTCTCCTTATCGTGAAAGTTACAGCTAGGTTTTCTCTCCTCCGCTCTCCTCAGTGACATAATGCAAAATTACATGTCCTAATTCCACATTTTTTCCAGCAAAACTCTACTAGGCCAGACACATAGTTTTGCTTGAATCATTAAACTCACTAGAATCCCTACAAATAAAGCATCTTGTGAAATCCTGTCCATAAATAAAACTTACCACTGAAACTACTCTTTCAGTGAATAGTCAGCTGCTATGTTCTTATCAACATAGATTGATTATAAATAGCTAATGAAAAATGAAAGGGATAAAACAACTGATTGATAGGCATGCCTAAGCATTAGCAATTCACAAGAAGAAAGGGTCTAACCATTCAGCAAAAGAGGATTACAAGCCTAAGTGACTCAGTGGAAGTCCTGATGGGAAGAGGGCTTCACCAGTATTAGGTAAGACCTGATTTCTCGCCCCTAATTCACATGTAGTTTATTTTCTAAGACCACAATATCATTTTCCACAAGAGTTGCTAAGCCTATAGATTAAGGACATGAACAACACCACAATGTAGCTCGCTCCACAAGTTAGTTGAACTGGCTTAGAAAAGCTTTCATTCAGTCCCCAGTCTAACAGTGCCAGCCATCCACTTATCTTTATGAAGCTCTTGCAAATAATCCAGAGTACAACTGAGACACTACTCTTATAGACTGAGCAGTATCTTCCTCTCATTAAGTTACTGGTTTAACAAACAAAGCTTTCAATTTCAGTCAGGCATTGGACTTTGAAGAATACATTTTCCTTTTTTTTTTTTTTTAAGCAAAGTATGTAATGATATATCTGCTATCAAATACTTTTATTTCAGTTATCTCTTCACCATCCTTTTCCATTTTAAACAAGGGTCTTTATACGCAAGATCAAAACTTTTGAGTTTTATACTGTAGAAGCTCAAAGCAGATGCCAAACCTGCCTTTTAAAGCAGAAAGAAAAAAAGAGGAGTTACGATTATCAGTGAATACATGTTGAGGATTTCTTGGCTGGGCAAAGGCATGGGAGCAATCCAGCCTTTAGCTGGGAACGAAGCATAAGTTTACAAAGTGCGGAAGCGGACAAGGACGCTGTGTCCTTGTACGCTGGGGAAAAAGGAAGATAAGAAGAGCTTGACAAACAACACCTGGATGCTGAAGAATGAGATAAGTAACTGCTGGACACCTCATGAAGAAGCTTGCACAGCCAATAGAGAATAAGATAGTGTCGCGTGAAATGGAGTATTGTACCAATTAGAGTATTGTATAAGGCGCGTGGACAAGTCAGTCTTGTATAAATGTCAAGACGTCTGAACAGTAAACGAGCAAGATGTTAACTCATATTGAGTGTGATTCTTGACTCAGGCGCTCTTCCCGACAGATACATTGTTTCCTCATAAGGATAAACATTTGTGAGCCTCATTCCAAATTCTAGGCCTACATAACAAATCAGCAACAGGGATCCTCGAGGAGAATAAAAGACAAGTTTTACACAGAAAATACCTTTCTAGGACAACAGTAAGTATTCTATGGCTTTATATTGAGGAATTTATTTTTACCTTAATGCACCTGAAACATAATGCTCACCTTTGCTAATAATTCCCTGTTTATGGTAAAGTTCACTGTTCCTGGACCAGCGCTGATTTCTCTCACTACAGCATCACACTTCAGCTAAAAAACCAAAACAGAACAGAAACTACATGAAAACAGGTAAACTGGAAAACTCGAATTCAATCCACTATAAACATTAAATACTATTTATTGGTTTGAAGCAATCACAAATGGATCATTGTCGTGGTTTAACCCCAGCCAGCAACTAAGCACCACGCAGCCGCTCACTCACTCCCCCCACCCAAGGGAATGGGGGAGAAAATCAGGAAAAGAAGTAAAACTCGTGGGTTGAGATAAGAACAGTTTAATAGAACAGAAAAGAAGAAACTAATAATGATAATGATAACACTAATAAAATGACAACAGCAATAATGAAAGGATTGGAATGTACAAATAATGCGCAGTGTAATTGCTCACCACCCGTCAATGGACACCCAGCTAGTCCCTGAGGAGCGATCACCTGCCCCCACTCCCCCCCAGTTTATATACTGGATGTGGCATCACATGGTATGGAATACCCCATTGGCCAGTTTGGGTCAGCTGCCCTGGCTGTGTCCTGTGCCAACTTCTTGTGCCCCTCCAGCTTTCTCGCTGGCTTAGCACGAGAAGCTGAAAAATCCTTGACTTTAGACTAAACATTACTTGGCAACAACTGAAAACATCAGTGTGTTATCAACATTCTTCTCATACTGAACTCAAAACACAGCACTGTACCAGCTACTAGGAAGACAATTAACTCTACCCCAGCTGAAACCAGGACAATCATTTAATCAATCCTGTTGGAAAAGGGATGATTTTATTATTTCCAATCCATGCTTAATAGCTCTGAATGTAACTCAGCCTGAAATGAACTTCCATAAGGCACATGTTTTGAAAATTCTGAACCCACAAAGAATATTTGGGCACCCAACCCCTAAAGTCAATGTCCTCTTTACACAAATTTTGGTCTCTTCACAGGCTGAGAGTTTTGGATCTCAACCTGTCAGGTCTGAGAGTTTCTTATTAAACTAGCTGTCTTCCATAGCCAAGAAATTGTCTTAAAAAAAAAAAAAAAAAAGGATGGATAGAAAGCATATAAAAGATGACACAATCACTTTATCACTTGGTTAATATCTTTGAGAGAGGCAAGCTATACATTTCTACTGAAGCTCATCAGCATGAAGAAGAAATCTACCCCCATGCTAGGTCTCCAGCTTAGACACTAACTTAACCAGGAGATGAAATCATGGTTAACCTTGAAGTTCTTTAAACTTCACAAGCTCTGGTAAAAACAAATTCCAATGTTTATTCACAAGCTACATGAAAAAATATTTCTTGTATTGACTCTGAATTTCCCACCTTACCATTTTACGAAAGGTCCCTTTTACTTATGGGGCAGAGACAAAACAGAAATTCCCACCAGACTTTCTCCATACCATTTGTTCTGCTAAACATTTTCTACATAATCTGTCATTTGTAATCTCAGGGGTTTTTATCTCTCTTTAATATGAGCGCTCATCTGGCCTCTCCATAGCTTTAACAACCTCTCTTCCAAGTGCCTTGTGGTTCTTTAGTAACCAGATCTCCCCATGCCTAAGGCTTGGACCAGAATGCCATTATGCTGTACAGAGGCATAAAACCCCCATAACACAATGCCCCCTCTGCAAAGAACTAACAGTCTGAAGATGAAACAAGCATCAGCCAGCCACATGAAATCAAAAGCCCGTGGAAACAAGACAGTTCTGACCTTTCTGACAGACAATTCTCAGCACATCAGAGCACATTATGTTTCATTTAGTATCACATTGCCTTATTATTTAGGCTATTTTAGTCAATGAGAAAAATTTCCATCTCTTCTGCCTAACCTAAATATCTGTATTTCAAATACTGTGACCTATTTCCTCAGAAGTGACTAGGAACATGCTGTTGAACCTTGAAGCACTCCATCAACAGTTTATCATGACAAAAACTGATAACTGCCTACATTTTTCTGTGTCTCTGCTAGTTTTTGATATGTGGTCATATTTTGCTAATTTCTACACTGCTTACCTTCTTTGTGGATGACATGACCAGTCTAAACAAATTATACTAAATGCATCTCCTTTATTCACTAGCCAACAAAAACCATTCCTAAGAGATTAATGGATTTTTTTTTCCTTTGTCTAACTAGCACGGTCCATTCAGTTTTGGGGCTTATGTTGATGGTCTGTTCTTCGCTACTGTTACAATTGCTCTTCTACATAAACATGTAGGGCTAAGTGTCCCCGGAGTATTTAATGAGCCACAAACAATAAAGGAGAGAGACAATTTGCAGCTTTCTAAACCCTGGGAACAGCAGCTGTTTTTAAAGTGACAGACTAGACACAAGGAAAAGAACTGTTACTATGATGTTACAGTCATTGAAACAGATTGCCCAGGGAGGCTGTCAAATCCTTGGAGGCTTTCAAGGATTTCAAATGACCTCAGCAACCTCATCCGAAACCCCTCAACAACCTGCACTGAGGAGGAGATGGGAACAGATGACTTCCTGAGGTCCTTTCCAACCTGAATTATTTTATGGTTCTAGATCGTCTTTAAGTTGTTTCAGAACTTTTGGTTGTACATCTGTGCACTATCAGTTATTCTTTCACCTAAGTCAGAATATTCATCCATTACAAGAACGGGTCCAAGATATGGATCTCTTCAAGATCTCAGCAATGAAGAATGACATGGAGAAATAGTTTAGCTTCTCAATAGTATTACAACTTTTTATTTGTCATTTTTAATGCCTGATCATAATAGCAGCCCAACTGATTCCTTCTCAGGCTTGCTCCTTCTGATGCAGATCAAGAATTGTTTCCACTTTCATTATTCGATCTCCTCTTTGCAACTAACTTTGCCACAATTTCCTAGTTTATACTCCTCTGTATTGGCATCAGCAACACATTTTTAGATTGTAAATTATTTTTTTCAGCTCAAATGATCCCTCAAACCTCAGCATCACCTTTCTGATCCCACTTTTATTCAACTTTATGCATGCCAACTTCTCCAAATTTTTATTTCCTTCCCTTCCTTCAAGATTTGTGTCACTTCTGTAGACATTGTTTTGCATGCTGCTTTGTTTTTATACTGTAGTTAGTCTTAACACCTCAGCTACTGCCATTTCCCAGACTAACACACCTGAAAAAATTGCTGTTCTAAGAAACTTCAATTTCGAGTAGTTAGGGATTTGAAAGTCTGGCCTGTTAGTCCCGCAGGCTAAGTTTATCCATTGCCATTCTAGTATTGGATTTTGCAGTCTTTGGTTTTCCAAGCCACTGCATACTCAATTTCTTCCTCAAGTGTTGGGCAACAGTACAGACCATGGCATACCCTTCAGATACCCTCCTAACTTCACAAATATTATTTACTCTCAAACTATTTGAAAACAATAATTTCACACGAACCTTAACTAAAACTGCTTCTCCAATCCCCTGTGAAGATTCTGTGTACAATTACACTGGGTGCAGTCACTACTGCTCTGACCCAAGCAGATGCTTGGAGAAAGAATACTATTTACCTTATGATGCCTGTTACATCTCTAGTCTGTAAGTTTGTTATTGCATAAACATACGATTAATGCATAAGCATACCCTTTCAGCTAGCTTCTGAGCTTGAAGATGAAGGTCTTGTGCTAAGCAATCACTAGAACTGTCTTCTGTTACAGAAGCAATGGAAAGCTGGAAATCAGCAACATGCCTGAAAAAAAGAACACACGAAAATCAGGAAAAAAACCCTGTTGAAACTACGGGTGGATTTGGCAGATCCAAGCTGACTCTGCACATGACAAGTCTAATTGCCAAGCGTAACCCAGTCACAGATACCTGAAAGTTCACTATGTTTAGAAAGCTGCAATAGAAGGCCAAATATTACCATTGCTCTAATACAATCAGAAAGTAGATATGGCGAGAACACCATTTCAGAATATACAAAAACTGTGCTCATGAATAAATGTAATTTACTTGTTAACATCATTACTACTCTTGAGCAGGACACTGAAAAAAAATCCATGATAACTTAATATTGGTTCTAAGCAGTTTCACATTCAGATCATTAATGCAGAAACATTTGCCACTCAAGCACTGCCTATAATTTGTACAGCTTTTTAAGCAATATTTGTTTTGAGCTTGCTTGAAAAAATACAGTGATTTAATTAGATTTAGGTATCTTATTATAATCAGATTGGTATATTAGCTTAGGTTTGTTTTTCCTGCATTTCTTTTCCCCTAAAGTCCTGTTAAGCTCTTGCAATAATAAGCACAACAGAAAATAATAAAATGACATAACATTGTAAGATAAAAGGTAAACACTACCGTTTTTTGGAGACAGGAACTGCAGATATGGACTTTATTAAATTTTCTGGTGGCAGATCCAAAACCTTTGAAAGCTATATTTGAAATAAAGAACAAATTGTCTTAAGCAAAAAAGAGCCAGGAAAAATACTGCTCCCTGTTTAAATACTTGGGGGGCGGGGGAGAATACGCATCATTTATGTCTGAAAGCAAATTTCAACCCAAGTAAAAAAGCAAATACTTATTAACTATTATAAGCAATAAAAAAATATGCAATACAAACCCTAGAAATGTTAAAGAAGCCTTAGCAAGACAAAACACCACGTATAGCGTCTTTCCCCTCCCCAGAAGGATCCCATCAAACCCTGGCATGCCTCTATCGACTGACCTAGTCGCTACACCTCCCTTAAGCTTATCCCGAGGAGTCCCACACCACGCGAGGGCCTCTCTAATAAGCTGCGAAGGGCTGGCTTCTTGCCAAGATGAAGAGTCTCCCGATGTAACCGCTCACGGGCTTAAAGCCTGCGGGGAGGGAGGGGGGGAAGAAACCTGCAGGCCTGGTGCGGGGCTGGTGGTGTGAGGGACGGTGCGGGGCCCGCCGTCCTGTCAGACCTCCCTCACCGGCCGCCCCCGCCCGCGGCGGGGGGGGGGCCGCGGGAGACGCTCGAGCGCGCTCCCTTCCGGCCGCCAGAGAGGGGCGGGGCAGAGAAGCCCGCGCCGAGCCCCTTGGCAACGGGTCCGACCCACTGTAAGATGCCCGCGGGGGGGGGCGGGGGGCCGGTGTCTGGGTGAGGGAGCAAAGGGGACGTCTCAGTTATGGCGCGCCCCTCCTCCACGCAAGCTGCGGGAGGGAGCGCCGTACCTGGGAAGCGATGCTCCTCCGAAAGGAACAGGCTGCCATGGCTGCGCCGCCAGGCGGAAGGTCGCGGCTGCCCCTTCCCCCTCCCTCCTCCTATCTGCCCGCCCCCTGGGCGGGAGGGGTAGTACCATTCTCAGGACGGGGGTGGGAGAGCCCATTCACCCTCCCGTCTGCGCAGAGGAGGTGCGCAGAGGCAGAGGGCTGTCCCACTGTGCAGGGGAGGGGGGGAAGAGCGGCGAAGGGAGCGCGTCGGGCTGGAGCGTTTCACCGACAAGCAGGGGGCCGGAGCGGCGTTCCCCGGGGTGCGCGAGAGCCGGCTCGGTCGGCGGCGGTGGGGCGGTTCGTCCGGTACCGCTGGGGCCTGGGGCGCGAGAGAGGCGACATGAGCACGTGCTCCGTCTCCAAGGTGAGGGGGGAGGGGGCGCCCTCCAACCGCCGCTCCGGGCGGGCGGGACGGGACGGGTCGGGTCGGCCGCCGGGTTTCCCTCCCGCCTTGCCGAGACGGCGGGGGCGGCCTGAGGCCTCGTACCGTGGCCGGCGTGCCCAAAGCGCTGGCTGCTCCCCTTGCAAGCCTCGGCGGGACGGGGGGGGCTTCGTCCGAACTGAACGGTCGCTGCCGGGCCCCCCTGAGGAAAACAGCGCGGTTGCGCCGGTGCTGAAGGAACTGACCCGCAGAACGGGCCTGCCTCCCTGTCGCGTCCCGCCTCTGCTCCTCTTCCTCGCTTCATCCGCTGCCGTCTCCCTCATGCCCTGCGCCCAGGTTCCCAGTCGCCCTATTCTCCGGTCTCGTCCTTCCCTTCCGCGTCAAGCCTTGGTGGCTCTTCATCCTAGCCCCGACGCCCACTCCGTCCCGCTTTACCCAAGGCACTTTTCTCAACAGTCAGCCCTCCTGTCTTACTCCTCTGTCCTGTTAGCACGCAAAAAGCGCTCGTACTTGACATAAACCTCGCCTAGAACTGAGCAGTAGTGTTGTGGCTGTAGGTTTTGTCACTTGCAGCTAAAGTCTGTTGGCATCGCTTGCTGCCACTTTAAAACACTCACTGCGTCTTCCCCCAAAACTAAATTAGTGGAGAAATAAAAATAAAAGTGGTGTCACTCACACATAATGTTAAATATCTATTATCACCTTGATATTTCTGAGCTGGAAGCTTTTATCTGGCCTGTAGTCAGGGTTGGCAGCAGGGACAGCGCATTTATCAGAGTGTTAGTATGTAGCGAGACTTAAAATGCTGCATTTTAAGCTTAAACTTATTTCCTGTCTTGCTTGATCGTGTACTCAAAAATAGCAGTGGTCCACAGCAGGAAGGGATGTGTTTCATCATTGGAAGACTCTCGTCCCTTATATTGTTTTTCACTGAATTGTGATCCTTTGGTGTGGAAGTCACTGCAGGTTACTACTTTCAGGAATAAAGGGAAGTACTTTGAAACAAAGTTAAACTTTAATCCAAAACAAGTGCATCTCCTTTTCAGAAATGGCTGTTGCCTTTAAGTAGTTGTGGGGACATGTTTCACTACCCACCTTGCCTGCCGTGTCATGTATGTAATACTTCTTTGCCATTTTATGTTCTGGTCTCTGCTACATTCAGCGATGTAGGGAAATCCAATGCTTATAAAGCACTAAATAATACTTGTGTTTGATTTGATTAAGTATGCATTGTTTCTTCTTTTATATATATGATTTATAGTTATTTTGGCCGATTCCAGCTGTGCTCTCATGAATTACTGTTCTGACACGTTGTGTGTACTGCAGCATAAATAAGACTGTAGCATAGCTTTTTGTAGTGGAATTGTTCCAGGGTGGTTAGGGTCTGTAGAATAACTACAACTTTTGTCCAGCCGTTTTTAGATGGTTGTTAATATGCATGGTAAAATGGAAGGTATCTGAAGGCATCTGGAATTCATAAGGCTGTTTTTCAGAGGAGGCCAATATTGTTATCAGTGGTTTACTGCAATTTCTTATTTGTATAAGAAAGAAAATAACATGTCCGAAGTCACCCAACAGACTAGTGCCTGTGATCGAAATTGAACATACCTCTGGAGTTTTATTTTCACTGGATCATTCTTATGCTAGTGGCTGAACTGTCCTAGGTTGAATTCAGTAATCTTTGCTTGTATGAGAAATATAGGATTGAATCAGTCTTGTTTATCTATTTTGAACACGTGTATGTTTCCTTCTCCCTTGCTGTAGCACAAGAACCTCACAGTGAGAGTTGGGGAATTCATATGATTTCTGAAATATAGGAAATCATTATAACTCTTCAAAAGAAATGATTTTTTATTTGAGAGGATGGGGGAAGAAATTTCAGATTTTCTAGATGAAAATGAAAAAAGTCTTCCAGAATTCAAAGCTTAATACTTGTGTTTTATTTCCTTCTCCTTTGTGAAGGATCAGATCTAACTGGGAGATGACTTCTACCTGGAGGACTTCCTTGGAGCCAGGGTTTTTATTTATCTGAATCTTTTCCAAACCATTCTGCTTCTAACCATCTTTACTTTTTCAAGTTGGGATGTACTTGTCTTCTGTAGCTAGGGCATGTCATTGGCTTTTGTAAGTGACTTAATAATACTCATTGCATTATTCTGGATCACCTTTTCTATGCATCCCAGCCTCTTCCTTTTTTGTTTTGTTTTGTTTTTAACTGAAACTGTACTGAGAAAACTTTAATGATGTGTTCCTAGGGAATCGTTTCCTCTTAATTCTAAACCTGTTGGAGGTTATGAGACATTTAAAGAATCTGCTGCTGTTCTAGTTGATGGTTGAGTTGAAGAACATAGTGGAAAGATGGAAAAGTTCCTCCCAAATATGCTGGGATACTGCTTCCACTAGTTTTTCCAGCTTGAAACAGGGATATAAAGGGACAACATGCAAATTGATATCCTTAAGATGCTGGTAATTCAGTTCAAATTATTGGTTTAATGGAGCACTGAAACTGAAGGAGAATAAAGTGGCCTCAGGAGCCAGTCAGATTGATGTCTATATTGAAGTTTCTATTTTTTTGCTATTCTTTAGGGCTGCTTTGTTTTTAAACCAAGTCCCAAGAAGAGAAGGGTGTCTCAGAAAACAGGTTAGTGCATTTTGATATATATTTCTATGCTTGAAAAGGGTTAATCCTGGAAGGTTTACCACATCTAATTGAGTTCTGTCATAGCTGCATGAGTATTTTTGTTGCTCCTTGATGTAGATATTGCTGAAAACTCATTTCTTTGGAGGAACCCCAGCAAATTGTTGACTAGTGTAAATGTTTTTTTTTCATCTCCAGCAATCAAGACTGTATAGCTATCTTTGTCTTTGCACATTTTTTTTACAAGAGAACTCCTTTCCATGCTACCATAAATTGTTTACTGACTGACAAACTATTTACCTGAAGAGTCTGAGTGAGCCACTTTTAAGCTATGGGAGTCAGAAATGATATCCCATTCCTAAGTCTCGTCATATTCTGGGTAGTTTGCCGAAGTTTCTTGAGGAAAAGAAGAAAGAAAAGCCATTTGTGAAGATCCCATGGCTTTTGTCCACTAGTATTTGTTATATCTATCTATCTATCTTCTCCAGCCTGTGTGCTCTGTATACAGGTCTCTTGTCATTTGAGAAAGACTGAACAGGACTGACTCTTAACTGGAGCTACAAATAATGCTGCTTAAATAGTTGTTGTTTGAGACTCAGGAAACTTACTGTTCTTATTCCCAGGTGTATTGGTTTTGTGTGGCAAGGTTTTGGTAGTGGGGGGCAGTTACAGGGGTGGCTTCTGTGAGAAGCTGCTAGAACCTTCCCCTGTGTCTGACAGAGCCAATACCAGCCAGCTCTAAGACCAAGGCTGAGCCAGTCAGTGATAATGGTAGTGCCTCTGTGATAACATATTTAAGAAGGAAAAAAAGTTGCTGGGACAGACAGAAAACGGCAGCCGGAGAGAGGAGTGAGAACATGTGAGAGAAACAACCCTGCAGACACCAAGGTCAGTGAAGAAGGAGGGGGAGGAGGTGCTCCAGGTGCCAGAGCAGAGATTCCCCTGCAGCCAGTGGGGAAGACCATGGTGAGGCAGGTTGTCCGCCTGCTGTCCATGGAGGTCCACAGTGGAGCAGATATCCATCTGCAGCCCGTGGAGGACCCCACGCCGGAGCAGGTGGGTGCCCGAAGGAGGCTGTGACCCTGTGGGAAGCCCATGCTGGAGCAAGTTCCTGGCAGGACCTGCAGATCTGTGGAGAGAGGAGCCCACAGAGCAAGTTTTCTGGCAGGACTTGTGACCCCAAGGGGGACCCACGCTGGAGCAGTGTGCTCCTGAAGGACTGCATGCCGTGGAAGGGGGACCCATGCTGGAGCAGTTCGTGAAGAATTGCAGCCTGTGGGAAGGACCCATGTTGGAGAAGTTTGTGGATGACTGTCTCCTGTGGGAGGGACCCCACGCTGGAGCAGGGGAGGAGTGTGATGAGTCCTGCTCCTGAGGAGGATGGAGTGGCAGAAATAACGTGTGATGAACTGACCGTAAACCCTGTTCCCCGTCCCCCTGTGCCACTGGGGTGGAGGGTTGCTAGAGAATCCGGGAGCGAAGTTGTGCCCAGGAAGAAGGGAGGGGTGGAGGGAAGATGTTCTGAGATTTGTTTTTATTTCTCATTACCCTACTCTGGTTGATTGTTAATAAATTGAGTTAATTTTTCCCAAGCTGAGTCTGTTTTGCCCATGCCAGTAATTGGTGAGTGATCTCTCCTGTCCTTATCTCGACCCACAGGCCTTTGTTATATTTTCTCTCCCCTGTCCTGCTGAGGAGGGGGGAGTGATAGAACGGCTTTGGTGGGCACCTGGTGTTCAGCCAGGATCAACCTGCCACACCAGGTTAAACTGTTTTTTGGCATCACCAGAGCTGTCAAAAGGAGTGACAATTTGTATAACAGAAGTGGAGGGGAAAGTAATAAGGCCAGATTCTTGTGGAAATCACCACAGGCTCATTCATTTAAAGCAGGTGGTCCCTCTTTACCAGGGGGACTTACTGTAACACCTGCTTTAAAATTAATCCCAAGTTATTTTTTCCATGAGAGTTGGCACATCTGTAGTTCAGGGAATGAGAGGCAGGGAAATAGAATCCAGTCTGTCATTCAAGTCATTGCAAGATAAATAAATGAACAACCAAGACCTACGCACTTAAACCACATTGAAATTTTACCTTTACTGGATATTATGTTTTTGTTTTTGCAAGATTAGTAATCTAAGCTTGGATAAATCCTACTAAACATGTTGTTCTAGTTAGCAAATGCTTTGAGAAATAAAAATGAATTTGACTGAACTACCCCTAAAAGAGAGGCAGAGGTGAGCTAGTTTAGTTGCTCACAGCAGTTGGTTAGGATGGTGTTCTAATTAAAGAGTACTTTGATATGCATCCATCCAGTTTGGAAGCCCAAACCTGTCAAGTGTGTGAAACTTCACAGCATCAATACTTGATAATACTGTTGCACCCCACAAAAGGCCTTCTGTGCGCGTTTGCACCTATAGTTTATGAGTTTTGGTAGTATAAAAAGAATATTATTCTTTGGTATATTACCAATAATGTGGTGGCTGGATTTGCTTTAACTAAAAGCCTAAGACCTGTGTAATCAGAGTGGGTTATGTATTTTAAGTGATTTTTCATAGGGATACAAATGAGGTGTTAGTTTAGGGGAGACCATGAAAATGGAGGATGAGGCCTCTGTCATTTATAGAGCTTTTTTGGGTGTTTTTAATGCTTTGGGAGACTGAATGTATTCGCCAACTGGCTCTTTTCTAGAGGTGGACCACTGCTGATGCTGCATTGAATGGCCACCAAATGGACGTTAATGGCTAGCAAATTAAACTTTTAATATGCATATATTTAGAAAAAAATAAATTGCTGTGTTTAGTGTTGCCTTGTAGCAAAAGTTAACAGGCTGTTTACTTAACTTTCAGTCTTTGTGTTCTTCCAGGTGTTGTTGGTGAAGCCTTAAAGCTATACCAGGCCTGCTAAATGTATGCTGGGAGTAGGATGGTTCCAAGCCTATGCCTTTTTTTTTTTTTTTTTTTAAGGGAAATGTAGATTGTGTGAATGTGGGAGGAAAAACAATGAGAAAAATCTCACTCAGTTGTACTAGTTTTTATGTAGTCTCCCATTTTACTCCTAGCTCTGTCTTACCTTCTTAGTTGGAAGTTGGTGGAGAGTTTCTGTACTCACATCTGTGAGGCAGAGCAGCACCTGGGAAGCCAGATGTATTTGGAAAATGTGCCAAGACACTGTTTTACCAAAAAGGATCTGATTCTCCTTTTCTTTTTCATAAAGAGCATGTATAGAAGTGAGAGGTAGTTTAGAGGTGAGCCAGAAATGTAGGCCTGGTTTGCGCTTAAAAAGTTTTGCTGGCATAGTTGTGTCGGTTAAATGTATTTTAAAAGAATAAATAAATCTGTATTTCATGTAACCTGATAGTCCTTTCCCACTATACCATAATATTTTCAGGAAATTGGTGTTAGCTGTGTCTTCCCTGGGGAACAGAAAGGATTTTCATGTATCTGTTCTTGCAAGCCTTTATGGTTCATATCTGACTGTAATGGTGAAGGAGGATTGAATATTTATTAGGTGAAAGAGACCCACAAAACTTTCTGAAACAAGGGAAAGGTGTTTTTTTTTTTTTTAATTATTTTATTTTAATAATAAAGGCTGTTTGCTCTGATTTAGCCTTTAGCTCATCTGGGACTTGAGATGGAAGCCAGTTCTTTACCTTTTGCCTGCTTACCTGGGTAATAGATTCTGCTTTTTCCCTTGCTTATTCTACCAGATACCAGCAGTTAATTAACTGGTTAAGAGAAAAGTCATCTCCTTAGGTATATATATATTAAGATGTTCTTGTTTCAGTCGGGTGCTTTGTTTTCTTCTTAACAAAAAATGTTTTGTTTTAATAATCTTATTTGTGCTTGCCTTTGCTTTCTGTCTTCTAGCTAATGATTTCAGAATAAAAAACAATGATTCAGAGGATTCTGAGTTGCGGTTTGTTACTTGTCAGTCTTTATGGAATCAGATCAAATCGGAAACAGAGGTGAGTCTTGCACCTCACACTAAAGCGGTGCTTTGCATTTATAACGACGCTGCTTGCTTCTTTGTTTCTGGAGACCTTTTTTTCACACGCTTAAAAGAGCAATTAGTTAAAGCAATAAAAGGGTCAGAAGTATTGACTGAGACTGAAATCCCTGTCCAGAATATAAAATAGTAATAATAAATCCATCAATTACCCATTACTTTTAACCACAGAACTACATGCTTTTGATGCTTCAAGCTGCTGCTTCTAAGCTTCTCTTCTTACTAATTGTCTTTTTTATTAATTCCTGGCATACTGCTGTTTTCTACCTTCAATTCAGTTACGTGCTTGCCAGCCCTCTGAGGATTTTAGGCTGCTCTTTACCTCAGTGTTACAGAGTTCATAGCAGCCCAGGATTCGCAGTGGATTTATGTGAATACAACTGCATGGATGTCAAATACTGAATGACACAGCTGCAAGCATAGTCTATTGAATTAGCATGGACAGTGTCAATGGGGTTTTCTGGTGGGGATCAGAGTTAATTTCATACTGAACTGTGGCCTCCTAATTGTTGTGTGTTAGATGGCATGCTGTTGTTGTGTCCCTATAGCCAGGTGGCTTGCATTATGGTATGAATAATTGCTTCCGTACAGCAGGGATTTCCTCCTCTATTCAGTGTCAAGGATTCTGGGCAAGTATTCCATATTCCTCTGCCTGCTGTTGGGCTCTAGACATTATGAGAATTTTTTTTCCAAAGTTTGTTTTGGGATGTACAGTAGAAGCCAGCTGGATGTAGCTTACAATCTGGACCCTTGGGCTAAACTCATAAATTCCTCTAATTCTGTTCCTACTATTCCATGATCCAGCTCACTTTGACTAGTCAGCACCCTTTTCAAACCATAGCTAGCCAGGCTGTGCAAAGCAGTGCACTGCATCATGGTGCTGGTTATAGAGAACACACAGAAGTTTGTGGATGTATATTTGGTATCTTCCTGCCAACTGCTTCAGCTTGGCGTGTTAGCTACCAGCATTGGCAGTAATGTTGGCAGCTGCACCAGAAGCTGTCTTGTCAGCTACACAGTGGACTATAGGGAAGATGACGTTCTGTAGCTACTTCAAGACCTTTTCTTGGATCTTTTTTCTTTGGCACAGTGTTGTCAAGGCTTTTGAGACAATGGTTACATTGCCAATGGTAGCTACAGGATTTTTGGGTTGAAGAAGCGGTGGTGTTTTTCCTAGTGCTCTGTGGGATTTCTCCCAGAGCAGCAGGCACAGCCGATCATAGCAAAAGCCTTCCTTAACCACTCAGAAGCACAGAACTGTTGCCATCTGGAAAACCATCGTTCTTTCCTGTTCTAAATCTCCTACCCTTGTTTTTTTTGAGGCTGCTAGGAGTTTGCCAAATGCTTTCTTCTGTTCTTCTTGATGGAAGACAGTTCATCCTATATTGACAAATTGATATGGACTTTGCCTTAGAGTTTGATTTGCCCAAGGGCAGATTACCTACAGTTACTTTTGCTGCTATACGTAGAATTTTCTTTATCCATCTTCTGGGGTATCTGATGTTTTTTTTCTACTGAGTTTTGAATTACCATCCTTTTATCCCACTGTTGGCAAACTTGGAGGTGATCATTGTTCTTACATATAAAATTGTGAGATAATTCAGGTTGGAAGGGACCTTAGAAAGTCTCTAGTCTGAACTCCTGGTCAAAGCGGCATCATCCGTGAGGTCAGACCAGGTATGTGAGGGCTTTATCCAGTCAGGATTTTATTTCTTATATACTTTCAAACCCTGCTGTAGTAAACCTGATCCATGACAGAATACCTAGGAATTGCGTGGCTTGCTGGTTTGGACTTTTATTCTTGAAGTTCTAGTAGTGTGCTAAGGGAACCTAGCAGGATATTCTCCAAAGTTTTTTCCAGGGTACTGTTACCTGATGATTTGTTGGCAGGCCATGTGCTTGTGCTGGTGTTTTCCCAGTTCCTTGGTATCCCCTTGAGGTGTTGGAGAGTGAAGAGGATTTAGCTTCCAGGTGCTTTGTTGCAGAGCATTCTTGGTCCTTGTATGTCCATCATAAACTGTGCTGCAATTGTGGCAGCACCATCTGTCATCTGGTGATGACATCCTTTCAGCCTTCTCACAATATGAAAAGCTGGCAAAAGTACTGCAGGAACTGTCCTTCATTTTTGGAAGGTGAATTTTGGACCTTATTTGTTTCAATATTGCAAGGTACCCCAGTTTTGACCCCTGCTGTCAGGAGTCACCTTACAAATGTTCTTATTATGATACATCTCATCAAGGGCTTTCAGAAACATTCCCTTCCTGTAAGGTGAGAAATTCCAGTTGCACTGTCAGGATCCAGATTAGAAACAAAAAGCCTAAGTGCAGGGCTGTAATATGGTAACTTTAGCTCTAATGTGCAGATAATGGTTTTCAGACCACACAACAGATAGTCATGACCAAACCTAGTGTCATAGCAGGGACTGAACTTCCAGTTCATATGACTTTTCCAGAGTAAGCAGTGTCATGCAATTAAATGAGTTCGTCACTTGAAATGCAGAGCAGCTTAGTGTACTTTCTGGAACACTAGCAAAACAGTGCCAGTAACAAAGTTGTTTTGATGAGAAAAGACTGATGGATTTTAAGAAGGCTAAGTAAATGTGTAGCACTTCACAAGTGCTCTTTGGAAGAAATAATATATACTGTAACTATGCAAAGTAAGGATTCAGGTTCTTGTTAGGACAGCTTAGTGAAAACATGTACAGTAACAATCAGAAGAAGCTTAAGGTCTGATGGATTCTGAAGCAGAAGCTCAGAGGATTGTTAGGGGACATATGGTAATACAGGAGTTGTTACAACGCTGTTACAAAGCTGATGGCCTAAATTCTTTTTTTTTAAATGCCATGTTACAGTTTCTTCTGAATTGCCATAGAGTTTATGAGATGGGAGCTCAGAGGTGCACAGTCAACATCAGAAAGGCCAGAAGAATATTTTTTAGTAAGTAGAGGGTGAAAAGAGTAAGATTATTTTGTGTACAGTTTTATCAGTTGTTCAGGAGAGCAACAGGAACTCTTCTGTCTCATGGAAATGGAGCTCAGGTGTTTGAGCAGGCATCATATACAATCTCCTGGAGATGTGACCTTAACTCCTTTGATAGCTGCCTCATCAATGCTGCTAGGGACAGCCTTTGCAACTTTGTATAAAATCAAGTTCACTGCTGTATATGTCACTTCTTGTTGCTAATAAATCTTGATGATGATTTTATTGGGGGCAGAGGTTTAATCTTGTTTCTAACATCTATGTTCTAGAGTATATATTGATATCGTGAACTTCAGAGTACAGGGTTTTTTTGTCTGTTCTAGCAGAAGGCATATCTTGGAGTAGAGACAGATTTTTCAAAGGCACATACATAAAAAAAGAAATATAAAATGCTACCACTATATATCTGCCTTTAAAAGTTTTATCTTCCCCTGTTTTCTCTCACCTTTCCATATATTCATGCATATACATATTCTTGTATGAAAATCATCCTGAAGGGCAAAAGACAGTGTAGCAAATGTGGCAGTCATGTGGTTTAGTATTTTTTCCTATAAAACATACTTAGTGCTTTTCTTTATTTTTTTTTCTTTCATCCTGAATTAGATTTGGAGGAGCTGAATGTTTGATCTCATTTAGATCTCAAAAATGTTTACAGGTGTTTTGTAAGCCAAGAGGGAATAATAGGAATTTTCATGAACATTCTCCCAGAAACTAATTATATTGTTTTATTCCTCCTATGTCACTTACACTTTGTCAGTATGGGTTTTTTTTCCTCCGTCTTTAATGCCTGTGGTGTGACAGCACAGTTAAGCTCATTTGCTTTCCAAGTTATTGTTGAGGCATTTCACCAGAAGTTCCAAGATGGGAAATGTCTGTGTTTGCCATACAGTGAATAACTGAGCATGTTTATAGTTCACAGGAAAACTTAGTGTTACTTAAAATTTTACCCTGGAGTTTTAAGGATTAAAATTTATGCAGGAAAGAGTAGGAAAAGGAAGATATTCTGATGTTACCGCATTTTTATAAACAAAATCTCTCTGTGTTTGTTTACAGCAAATACAGGAAGACTTGAATAAGCAGTTATTTGATAATCTAGTAAGTTTTTTGAGGCAGTCTCATTCTGAGTTCCAAGAGAAGACAACAGAATGGACTTGTCGGATGAAGTCCAGAGAAATCCCTACTGCAGCTCTTGTCTTAGGTAATTTTTTAAAGATATATTTTGTTACATACATCTGCTTAAAACTGACACAGAGATCAAAGAAAAATATATTGCTGACTTCCAGCAATTTACTGTGAGCAATATCAGCTTCAGAAAAGTTAACAGAAGAGATTGGGCTGGGAGAAGGAAGCAGGATAACACCTTCTTCCCCTTTGTATGCATAATAGTCCAGCAAATTAACACCTTCCCTAAAGGTCTGTCTCAGGCAGCTGGTAGTGATTTGTTGTGGTTTTTTTTTCCTGAGGCACTGGAGATGCTTTGATTCTGTCCCTGTTTCTGCCACCAACATGCTTGGTGGTTTCTATGACTAACCATGGAATTACACAGCTTCTGTATTTCAGATATATGTTCTTGCAGTCCATCTTTACGTGTAGGAAAGCAGTGTCATTACCTTGGAAAAGGAGCAGAGGGTGAAGAAAATAGCTGAAGATCTTTTTACTGAAGATAGTGAAGTTCTGAAGTCTTTCTTTTTTTTTGTCCCCACTCCTTTCTTTCAAAGGGTAGTAACTGTAATCCTAAACCTGGTTCAAGGCAACCTGATTGCATTTTCAGTGGATCATTTTAGGGAACCTAAAATTAGGCCTGTGCTTCAAATTTACCATGTGAGTGCTAAGACTGGAAGGTAGTCTACTTTTGTAGGTAGTAGAAAGTGAGAAGTTCCTGCTCTGAATATTTTTCTGTGGAAGAAGCTGTGAATTTCCTTCTGGAGGGACTTGTTTGTGTTTTTTTTGTTTGTTTTTTTTTTTTTTACTAAAGGATGTTAACAAAGGCCGTTAATATTGAGTAGTTCACAGTCAATTCAGACTATAGGTCATACTAACTCATAGTAATTTTCCTGCTTACATAAGCCATGTGAGGATCCAGGTCTCAGGTATAGGCGCTGCTCTTCTAGAGAGGGTGAATTTCATCTTGTCTGCAGGCCTTAGATGACTGGGTTTGGCTTCTGAGGGTCTAAGTAGCAGGGAAGTTAGAAAACCAATCACACTCCTTGCAGGTTTGCACCCTTGACAAATCTTTCTTTAAAAAAAAAAAACAAACCACAAACTATATGAGGGGTCTTTGCAGTGATTCCCTGTTCCTTTTAATCAGCTAGTATTAACATGTATGTCTAATCTTGTGCTAGTTTTTCATCTTTCCTCATAGATGATGTGATGCTTTTCATGCCTTCCTTGAATATTTGAGGTATCTTCTGTTTTTTGTCTGCTGTTTGGTTTATTATTCAGTCATTGTGGTCACAAATCACAGGAAAAATGCCCTTAAAAACCTGTCTTTTTTCTAGGTGTAAATGTTACAGATCATGACTTGACTTTTAGAAGTGTCTCAGAAGTCCTTCAGAATAACATTACTCCTTATATAGCCTTGCTGGAAGCCAAAGATTGCCCAGGTAAATACTGCAATAGCTTTGCTGCTTCTTCTAAGTAAGCTATCAATTAATTAGAAATTCTAACTTTTCCCCCCAAATGTAAAAATAATGGGATGGAGGGATCTTGAAAATTTCTAAAGATTTGCTCAATCCCATGTTAATGTAGCAGTAATGCCTACTGTATTTTAAGAGCTATCCAGTTCTGTTTAAAACAATGAAGATTGAAATACTACTTAGTTGTAGCGTAAATGTCAAGAGCATGCTGCTTAGCGTATTGCATATTGATATTGTAGGTTGGCTTTCCCCTTGTTTAATAGGACAGTGTGTGCATGCATTCTACTTTTTAAATGCTTATAGTCATGTTATTACAATGAGGGAATGGTCAGAATAAAGTTTTGTGGCAGCATCTCCAGATCTGTGGATTGGCTGCCTTATTTATTTTTAGGTCACTCTTAATAGCATGTGGCTGGAGTTCAGGAAAGGTGCAGGGCCAACATCTTAACCTGAATTGTTGCTATCTAGGCAAATTATTAGGATAATTTTTATTGCATTAACAACATGCATATCATAAACACTTTCAAGCTTTCTGGAGCATGAGATGTGCATTCTGGAGAGAAAAGGAGAATAATTAGGAAAGTGAAAAATAGTAAGTGATAACTTGGGGTAATTTTTTAGAGTATGAGTTGGAGAAGTGTTACTGAATAACCAAATGTCTTTACTGTGTGTCTAAAAATGTTTTGTGAAGGCATAAAAAATCTGATGCAGAAGCTGATGGGGCAGCTGATGAACTGCCACATAGATGTGGACTCATTGGAAGACGAGGACTATGTGCAGGTTTCCCAGAATAGAATAAGTTGTTCAATGACTTCTCTTATCAACTGGTATGAGACTGTAACAAAGGTATGATTTTCTTTTTTTTTTTTTGTATCGCCAGTTTATAAAAATGCCTGACCTTTAGATGCTTTTAAAAAAGAAACAGAATAACTCAAATTTCTGTGCTGTAGTGAAAAAAATGTCAAAGGTTAGCTTTTAATTTAATACTAAGAAATAACTGAGATTGAGGTAATTTGAATATAAATCTGTAACATATATAAATGTGGAGTTAGTTTCTGATGAGGTATGAATGTCAAAATTCTGAAAAACAAGCAAAAAGTACGATTTTGTCATCTGTTTAATTGGGAACTAGAAGCTTAAAATGCAGTATCAACTTCATGCCAGATGCTTTTTTCCCAGGAGTGATGAGATGGTTTTTTTATTAAAACAAATCTTTAAGAAAGAACAGCCATCCAAGCAAAAGGCACCATATTGGTGCTAATGTGCCATTATGTCACCTGCAGCCTACACTACATTGACAAGCAGTGAGAAAATAACTTTCAAAATGTTTTTCTATCTTTGTATTTAATAAAGCTAATGAAGTTTTAAGATTTGTTTCTGTCATGAATAAAAGTTAGAACTGAGTTTGACGACTTCATCAGAGCACTGTGTTAAACAAAAGTTTAATGGGTACTTGCTCTTTTTAATATTGGGTAAAGATATAGGAAATGGGCAATGTCCGTTTACACAACTCAAATCTTCTCCCTTAATCCCAACAGAACTCCACCAGTTCTGTCCCACAGAGCTATTCTTTTCTTTGTTGTACTACAGGTTTTTAACATTCATTTATCTGTTGTACTTCATGCTGTGCCAAACAGAAGGAAGAAAAATTGCAATTCTGGATCCTAATAATAAATACAACTGTAGCAAAAAGTCAGTCATGTCACTTTGGAGCATTATAGTAGATGAGATGTGATTCAATCTTTTTATTTTACTGTCTTCTGTTTATTAATGTGTAATGAATGGCTTGAAAGAAAACAGATTCTGAAGCTCTGAGCAAAAAAAGAACTTCCTCTTCGAGACACTGGCAATCTCCTCCAGTTGTAGTTATATTCAAAGACATGGAAAGTTTCACCACAAAAGTACTTCAAGACTTCATAGTCATCAGCAGGTAACATGACCTGAAGTTTAGTTCTTTCACTCCTTTACCCATTTTCTATTTGCAGCTGTTTTGAAGTGTAACAATGAGGCCAGTGGAGAGTTGGAATCAAATATTGATGCTGCTTCTTTATAGCAGTGATTGAGCAAAAACCTATTTGCTAGGTTTTGAGGATAAATTACCCTAAAGCTAACTTGGGACTCTGAACCAGAGTGCCTACGGGCTGGGTTGAGATATATTGGGTGGCTGATTTAATTCTTCACATAAGAGGATTTATTGGTACTAGTTGTTACAGAATTCATGATTGTGAAACTGATTTTTAAGATGCCTAGATCTATCTTTCTTCTGTAGACTTTTAAAATTGTTTTCAGAGTATATTTTTTGTATGACTACTGATGTAATGCTGCTTAAAGGTCACTAGCTTACTAATAGGAGTATATAAAACTTACCCAGAGAATTTCTCAGTGTTGGCCAGGATCTGTAGTGAGTAGCTGACTACTTCAGGTGCTCCTGTGCTTCTGTCCTTCCTTAACCTGTCTTCCTTAATGTCATCTCATGCATTCTAATCAAAACCCCCTTCTGTTCTCCAAAAAGAGCATCTTATACTTAGTCCCCAGGTTGAAACTACAGCTGGAGCAGAATTGGGGCCGCAGTTGTACAATTCATTCAGCTGCAGCGTTCACACCTGACACTACCTCTAAACAAGGCTAGGCAATTTCACTTGCTGAGACACCAACAATAAAAATATTTTTCTACTTCAGATCTGGCAGATGGGGTCTCCAGGGAACATTTCAAGAAGTAAAATCAGAAATGCACAATTATCTGGAAATAATTAGGGTGTAAGGCAGGGAAAAATGAGGTTTTAATTGGTTTTTAAGTGTTGTGTTTTATTTTGCTTTTCATGGCAAGGATAAACACCTAATTATGAGCATATGGAATGTAGATGAAGTGTAGTTCAGGTCTCTCAGTCTACTATTTGCAAATACACTTTTTTAATAGACTGCATCTCTTCAGAAAAAAGGTTTAGAGGATTCAAATTATCTTGTAACTAAAGATTGTCTTGACTAAAGTAGAAGATGGGTAAAAGAGAAGCTTAGCGGAGTTGCATAATACTTTGAAAAAGATCTTTGGGATGATTGTAGAGAGTTGGTTTATTCTCTCCATTTCAGTCTTAAACACGCTTAATAATAAGGGTGAAGTGGATAAATGTGAGAGGTTATTATGATTTCTTAATCACAACATTCAATTTCTGTCCGATATTCTTTTAGGTTATCAGTGGTGGACGGTAATATATGAAGTTTATTGGTTTTATGTTCAAGTCTCTAGCAATGACTTTTGAGGAGTTAGAGAAATGAAATAATTGTGGGTAACAATTAAAACACCAAGGTCAAAAAGTTGCCATAGTGAAAACAGAGGAAAGGAATAGATTGTAAATTTTAACCTAGAAGATATTTAAGATAGCAGAACTTGTATCTCCTTGAAACTAATAAAAAAATGGAAAATAATGATGAATAATACTGAAAACACTATATTTTATGTAATTTGTATGCTGTTCACGAGCAATAGAGCATTGTCCTGGTTATCGGTTCTCAAAGCATATACTAAAAAATTATCTGAAGATGATGATTGAATCTGGAGAAGTTGGAATTCTTTTTCTTTTTTTTAAGTATAATGGGAACATAGAATGTTAGAGAGGTTTCATATTTATTTTAAATTTATTAAATGGTGTAAAATTTGTAAATTTTCTTGAGACTGTTAGCTGTTTAATGTCTCTTCTTATTTTTTCTCTATTTCTTTGGAAAAAAAAAAAAAGTTCATATTATAAGATCCAGTTCTCTGAATATAACTTTTTGGGAAGATAAGACCAGTACAATACTCTAATTGAAAAGATGCTTTTTATGCCACTTCCTGAAATTTTAATCCTAAAATATAATTTAATTTGCTTGTCTAATTTAGGGCTTTAAATAGCTTCCTTTCTTTTGCATTTTACTCCACATCAAAACTCTTTTGGTTTACTGGCAACAAATCTTTTAATTTACCCCTTTCTTCATCTAAGTTCAGTGCTGTTGTAGGAACATAATGCATTTTTTTCATGATTTTCTATAATGTAACTATTATGTTTTTTTTCCCCTCCCCCATGATCTAGTCAGCATATCCGTGAATTACCTCTAGTACTGATTTTTGGAATCGCTACATCTCCAATGATTATCCACAACTTACTTCCTCACTCTGTTTCCTCTCTGCTGTGCATAGAGCTTTTCCAGTCCCTTTCCTGTAAGGAGCACCTGTCTACTATAATTGACAAGGTAATTCCCTTTCTAAATAGGAGTATGTGTGTGTATTCAAGCACAGTGTACATGTGTGGCCTTTTAAAAGCAGGTTTGTCTGAAGCTTTGGGAATGGAATCTGTTCCTGAGAGCTGTGGATTTTGGATATTTCTACTCATAGCTGCAGCGTACCTTAATATTGAGAGCTTCCTTCTCACATTGAGACACGCTCACGCACCTGCTTTCATCTTACATTGGCATTGACATCTGTGCATACATACTTGGGCAATTACATTTTGACATTCCCACCTCTTCATTAAAGTAGTGCTTTGATTTGAGTTTTATTTTGTTCCAGAAAAAGATAGCTTTAAACATACAAAAATACAGTTCAGCCTGAATTTTGCCACCTGTCAAAAATTAGCAGAGTTATCCAAATTATCAAGCCACATAGACGCTGTGCCTGTGCGATTCTTTGTGCAGGATTTCCAAAGTCGCTCTTACATATGCTGAAAGTAGTGGTATCCCTGGTTGTTACAGCAATTTCTGTTCTGTTGTAGTTTTAAAAATAAATACATAAATAGTGTTAAGTCAAAATGACTTCAAATGCATATTAGTTAAAGGTACTTAAAAAATATGGTGAAATAATAAACTGAAAAACAATCTTTGCATGGATATTTTTGCATATTTTAGTAGAAGTATTGTGTTTAGAAGTTGGCAGTATTTAGTATCTCATTTAATTGAATGCTAACACATAGTGAGAGTTGTATCAAATTGTATATATAAGTTTTGCTGAGCTGAATACAGGAAAGAATTTCTGCTATGTCTGCTTTTCCTTTTTGTCTCCCTTAGCTGCTTCTGACAACCCAGTTTCCCTTTAAGCTGGGTGAGAAAGTTCTGCAGGTTCTCATCAACATATTCTTGTACCACGATTTTTCTGTCCAGAATTTTATCAAAGGATTTCAGGTGGGCAATGGTAACAAGAATTCAAATTATGGTTGTGAAAATAAAGCGTAATTACTAGGCACTGAAAGACTTCTTAGGCCCTAATCTTGCTGTCACTGAATTGGATGAAAAAATCTCCTTTGGAAACAGTTTGGATCTGTGAACAGGCAGGTGTTTTAAAGTTAAAACTTTAACTGCTAAGGTTTTAAGGGAAAACTTGTAGCACAGGTATGATGAAGCATGTAAAAGCTTATTCTGCCACAAAAAAAATGTATTTAAAGGTTACATTTAAAAGGGTTACCTGCCTTAGTGGGTAGAAAGATCTGTATTTTGCTATAGATTAACTTGTAGCTTCTAACACCCCTGGCAGAACTCTCCAGCTCTGATACTCTGTACTGGGTCCTTGTACTCTGGTTTGTCATGGTGTGAGTAGGCTTCAGCAGTGTCTCTTCCCTGCTTTAACTCCTCTGGCACAGTTTCTGGATGCACACTTCTTACCTTTTCAGGGAAACAGGAGCTGTAGTGTCACTTCACGCCTCAGAGTAGGTGGTGCTTGTGCTCCAAGCAGCTGTGCAGCAATGCGGGTGTTACATTTAGCCTCTCAGGAGACAAAGTGGAAGACTTCAAGGTTTCCAAAAATAGTCTATGCAGAGCATGATAATTGTATTTTTATTGGTTTATATAGAACTTTATATCTAGATGTATTTCCTTGTCTGAGTCTCCTTGTAGCTTTTGTGGGTTGCAGACGAGTTCTCCAAAGAATCTGTAGTCCCTGTAATCTGTTCTAATGCAGGATTGTGAAATAGTTTCTTTCTTGCCTGGTTCCATGTGTGTACTTCTTAGTAAAACTTGCACTTTTAGTGTCATATACCTTTAGAGTGTCTCAGGTTCTTTGATATCTAAGATTCAATGATTATACGGGCTAGGAGAAATATCCTGGCTGTAGTACCTCTTCTGCAGACAGACCTGCGTGGGCTTTCATAGGTTTCAACTCCTCTTATTTGAAAGAGTCACCAGGATTTAATGGTTCCCCATTGGCCTGATATGAAAATGCAAGTCCTAGCCTTGACAGCATAAGGCTGTGTGCTTGTGTGTTAAAAGTATTCAAGGATGAGGCAATTTCAGATCAGATTTCCTAAGTGATAGATACAAGGGATCACCATCATCTCATTATGTCTAGAGCAGTGTTAACTTTTCTGACAGGAAGCGTCTTTCCTCTTTCACAGTTTTTGTTTTAAAAATTTTTAGTGGGGTAGTCTGTCTGTGGTGTTTGTTTTGTTTTTTTAAGAATAGATGTGATGAGTATACGCTACTATTCTGCAAGGCCCTGATGCTACAAACATTTAGTGCAGCTGAAATGGGTGATAAAGCATGTTTGTATGTATACATAGTAAGAGCTTAGCAGTGTATTTTTGTGTACATGAAACACAAATTGAAATTAGAACATGTGATAAGTTTGCTTGTGTACAGTAGTTGCTCTTCACATCTTTAAATATATACTCTTTGTTATTTGTGAGCATTGGAGCTAAATATGTAACCTAAAAAATGCAGTAGTTCATGTAAGTGAATAGAAAATACTTGACAAGCTATAGTTACAGTTATGTAAGATGAGGGGAAAGATGAGGTACTGAAAATGAATAGCGCATACAGCAAAAAAGGTAACTATGTAACTGTATTTAAAACTGAATAATCAGTGTCCTGCAGTGACTTATGGAATATTTATGAATGGTAATGAATTATTTTTTTTTAAGGAATACCATTACTACCATTATAGTATATGCACTGTAGTAATAAGAAAGCATTAAAAGGTAGATATAACAGGATGAATTTTATTAACATCACTGGTTCTTGCTTTGTTTTCAGCTCTGTATCGTTGAGCACTTCTATTCCCAGCCTCTTAGTGTACTGTGTTGCCAACTGGTAGATGCCAAGAAGAGAATAAATTATTTATCACATGATCAGTGTGAAAACATTCGAAGACTGCCCTCTTTTAGAAGGTAAAAGGGGAATAAATTTTTGGGCAGTCTAGTATTTAGTCAGCTTTAAAAAAGATAAAAGGAATCTGTAAATGTAGTTCCATGAAAACTGTAGATCACTTGTGCATATGTTTCTATGGCAAAGGTAAATCAATCAAAAGGAGGACAGTTCTAAATTATTTCAGGAAGCCTTAATCTTCTGGTCTAGAGAGTACAGCTTCTGTGATGTGTAATCACTTGAACTTTTTTTTTCCTCTTGTTCTTAATACAGAAACAAGCTATTATGACAAATAACCATAAATCACTCTTGAACTTGTTAAGCTGACTTGGAGCATAATCTCTACGAGTTTGGAGTGGCCTTTCAGCTTGCTGGATTTGACTGTCCCTTTTTGAATCTTTCCAAAGAAATCCTTATAGCAGCATTAGCTTTTAATTTTTTAACCCTGTAATCTTTAATCATACTTTACATTATAATTTTTATGTTCTTCATTTTTTTGCCATCAGGTATGTAGAAGGTCAGGTATCAGAAAAACAGATTGCACTGCTGACAGAAGATGGTTGCTTAAAGGTAAAGTTTTAACAATGTCTTTGGAGAGCAAAAATAATTTTCCCAATGTATTAGTTTGCGGAGCATAATAAAATGCAAGACTAAGATGTATAGTTCTGTATAACATCTTTCATACAGTACATACTGTGCTTCGTGTCCAGTAATGGATAATTAGGATCAGCAGGTCAAAATTCTGAATCTCTAGGGTTGCCAGGTATACCTTTACACAAAGCTGCACAACTTTTCTTACATCAACTTTTAGCTATGTCTAGAAATATAACTGCTTAAAAAGAAGGTTACAAGGTTTATTTATGACCTGGTCTTTTAATGCTTACTCAAGACTGACTTTCTTGGAAAGTCAGTTAAGTGTTTGAAGAATGAGTAAGTAATCTTGGAGGTTATTTCATAAGCTCTTAATCCTCCATACCCTCTGTGTAGTTTCTGATTGAACTCAGTACGGCAGTCTGGGTCCCAAGGCACACATTCACACCAGATGTCATACAGGATTAAAACTTTAATTTACATTGCATGTTTATCTGAAGGTTTGTCAAGTGATTAAAGTCAGGCTACTACTATTGTGAGCCCCTTAGGAATTCACCGACAAAGATCTGTTGGTTCTTTTCACCAACTGAACTACTCCCAGTAGAAGCATTGCTCAGGGCAAAGGGTTTCTCCTAATTCTTCATCTCAAGTATAGGTAACCTGTCAGGCAAATGGTACCACTAGAGATAAAGCAATTAATTTATCCTAGCAGACCTTCCTGGTCCGTAAGGACCTTTCAAGCCTGAAGAGCAATGGTAATGGCTGGAAGAGAGGTTGGTAGCAGGCAAGTTTGCAAGTGCAGTGCAATTATAGTAATCAAGGCGAGACGTGATTTATACGTGATTTTATGATCCATAGTCTTCAGTGGCAAAAATAGCTTAAGCTACTGCTGTTCCCTTGCTGTTTATACACACCTCGAAAGATATGCCAGCACAAGTGCTTTTGTGGCTGTGTAATGAATACAATCAGAGAAACAGTCCAATTAAAGTAACCTGACAAAAAAAAAAGGCAAGATGTGGGATTTTTTTTGCTGTGTTGTTTCTGCAGAATTTCCCCAATGCAGTTCACTCTGCAGGTGCATAAATGCTTCTGTTGAAACAACAGGAGGGAAGGAGTGGGAATGAGCAGCTGAGACTCTTTATTTCTTTGTTTAAAGACCATGTAATGGGCTGCTACTTTGAAAGTTGAATACTCATCAACTTAACTTGTAAGTTTGGGAAAGAAGCCGGAATTCTTGTGCTTATGTGCATACGATGCTTCTGACAAACTTTAGCTGAAGATACTTGTTCTAATCTCTACAATGGGGTAGGACTATTATTGCATTGCCAAACTGGCAGTGTAGTCTACTTGAGAAGAAAAGGCCCTACTGCTGCATTAATGAGGTGCTGTTTATTCTGTATGTTGTACGAATCTACAATATCATTCTGAACTTTGGAAGCACTTTCAAAGTCACTATGGTACTACTTCATATAAATTTACTGTTCATGTTCAGAACCAGGTAAACTTGCTGTTCAAGCTTAGCACCTAAACCTTCAATACCCTTTGTCAGCTGCAATTTATATCCCATGTTGTCACCACTTTTTTTTAATAACTATGGGAAGAGTTCCACCTATTTAGAATAATAAGTTTTAAAAGCAATTTTACATCCTAATTACTTACAACTCTCTGAAAGTTTTCATAGCAAATATCATTTGAAATTATGTAAATGTGGTGATCTATATTTATGGAAATAACATTGCATAGTCTTCTAATAATGTTTTCAAACTCTTCTGAAACAGAATATGCTTTTTCACTCCGTTATTTGGCAAAATACATAGTCCTACTGCATTGCTATTTGTGGATATTAACTACATCAGTCTTGAGCTGGAAAACAAGATGAGGGAAATATAGATGCTATAATGCTCTGGGTTTGGGGGAATATGATTGATGTAGCAGCATTAAAGAGAACTTGTTTTCTTATCATCTTTTTTTGTGGTGGGGATAATTTTTTTTTAATGATCCTGCTTAGAATTAAAATACAAACTTGCGAGTGTCTACCCTAAGGTCTTGGAAGTCATTTAAACAATTGTTATATAAGTGACCCTTAAATTTTAATAGATAAAAAGTCTATGGGGAGAAATTACTTTAATGTTTTTAATCACCTCAAACTTCTTTAACATCAGAAAGCTCTTTGCAGCACTTTGTTACTTTCAGTTTTTGCAGTATGATACTTAATCTTTCCACGTGTCAGTACTTCCTTATATTGCCTGCAGATAAGGTTTTGCTTTTTTTTTTTGTTGTTTAATCGTTGTTACCCTTTGTTTCAGTTTAACTTCAGAGAACTTAAGTGGCTTGTTTTATTTTTCCCTTTCCATTTGGAATAGTGTGCTCAGGGTTGAGCAAAATGGCAATAAAATATGTAGAGAATATTGTGGTTTTTTTCCTCTTTATCTTTGACTGAAGACGGGTGAGAGATCTTCTGATTCACAACCTTAAATGTAAGGAGCCCAAAGTACTTTAATAGAGCTACCAGAAACTTTGAGTGCAGTTTTGCAGAAGTGTTACATACACTTCCATGGGAGGCTAGAGATAATGAGATGCCATCCAGTAAATTCAGTAGCCGCAGTTAATAATTTCTTTTTCCTAATATGTGACTTTTTTTTTTCTCTGCAGTTCTCAATCTATGAATAAACAGAAGTCAAGAGCACATAGGAGCAGGAACTGCATATTTCTTTATTTTCTGGGAACTGGTCTTTTTATGTCTACCTAATTAATAAAACCAGCAGCCACCCACAATATAAGAAATAAGTTTTTAAATGCATTTGTAATATAAAAATGCAAATAATAAGGATCAAATCTCCAGTGACATGGACGAAGAAAGTAAAGTTAATGATATGCAATGTGATTGCAGTGCACTGTGAAATATAGCTTTTTTTTCATAGTGGTGATTTCCAATCACAATGGTGATTTAAATCATAGCGCACCACAATGGCAAAACTTCAGAGTCATTTAAAGTACTATATGAGAGTTTTAAATAAATGGATGTCAGAATGACTTATAAAACAATTATTCTGTCACTGTAGGAAGTAACACTGAAGTTGCTGGAGGACTTGAATGTTTACCATGAAAATTATGTTTCAGTTCTGAGATGTCTTCATGTTTTCACATCTTCTCTTCCAAAGTATCCTTTGGGCAAGCAGGTGATGTACTGTTATTCCATTTTAGTGAAACACGGGTTTTTTGTTTCAGAGTATGACATCTGAAAAAGTATTTGTTCTTTCTCTTTGTTTACTATTCTGCTGCTTTGCCCCCTGCTTCTTAAAATGGCGACAGATGCTTTCTTGCTATGGGCAGAGGGTGGTTTCTTTAGCGGTGTGGATGATGCCGTGTCAGTCAACAGGAAGGAGTTTCCAGGAGGAGACAGGTGCACAGATCAGCAAAAGAATCCACACATTGACTTTCCCATATCTGGGATTATATGTATGCATTGCAGACAAATGTAAACTCTTCTACCACCTATTAGCTTGGTAGTCAATTTCAGATTAAGAGACTGAGTTTTAGCAACTTCTGTACAGAATAAAATGATAGTAAGGGAACAGTGATAATTGCTCTTAATAGCCATATTGCTCTAATGTCATTAAATCCACTTTCTCATACTAAGTGATTTCTTCTTCCACTAGAAGAGCATGCATATTCTGTGCATGCACACTTGTCTGTTGGTTCTCAATGTATTCCACACTGTCACTAGAATCTGTCTCTACAAAATCAGCATGGTTGTCCCAGTATTTGAGAATAAAAAGATGTTTGAGCTGGGGCATTTGATTGGAGGTCCTCTCTGTTCTCTGCAGTTATTTTAATCTGAATGTTAGTTGTTTGAAACCTGGTGAAAAGCAACACAAACTCCAGCAACAATAGGAGCTTAGTTCTGTAAGATAATAAATGCTCTCATTTCTTTTGCAATCATTCTGCATCTCTGGAAAACAAGTTCCAAAGAAATTATATATTGCTTTGAAAAGCTTGTTGCAAGAATTCCACGTTACTTTGTTTGTAAAACACTTTATCCTTTCTTCACCTTCTGCATAACAGATCAGGGAGCTGCACTGTGCATGTTTGGAAAACCGAGTGTGGGAGACAGAGGAGTATGAGTCATCTATTCAGCTAGCAAGGTGATTTTTTTTTTTTTTTCCATTTTGTTTTAATACCACTGTACACATGGAGGATATCAGTCATCGGTTATCCTGGAACTTAAAGCTGAGGATATTACCTGTTTGCAGCTAGTTGTAAGATTATTTGCAACTATAATTGACTGCTGTTTTCACTTTGTTTTTCTACCATTTTTCATGAAACTCAACCAGGTTCTAATATCTCTTATGCCCTGAGTAATTATGCTAAAACCACTGAGATTACTGTGTGTGAAATGAGAACATCAGTTGGGTTGTCTTTTAAAGTGTGATTGTGTTAGATATTATCAACAAAATTAGTTTTAGTTGGCCTAAATTTTAATCTGTTGTGAAAATTGGAATCTGTTCCAAATGAGTAGCTGAGGCCTTTTTTTTTTTTTTTTTTTTTTTTAAAATTGCTTTCCCCCTGTCTCCTTTGTCTAATAGTTTGTACAGGGAATGAGTTAATTTTTTGTGTTATTGTGAGCTCAGGACTGTAGAAGAGCCTACACTTGTGTTGTCTGTCAGCATTTAAAATGGAAAAGTCATCTAAGCCAATTTTCTTAATAGAAAACCCTTCAGTTGCGATGTTGCAGCTACAAACTTTTAAACGTGCTTTATCATGGCAGCTGGCTGTTTCCCGATGATAGCTGCATTCATTCAAATAATACATTGGTTCTGTCGCACAAGGAGCTGATGCAACACTGTTACTGCCTCTTCAAGAGCCTCTGAGCTTGTGAGGTTTGATATGTCTGACAGTAAAATTGCATAGAAAAACCATGTCAGTGGTGGGTGGAGGATAAGTTTCTGGGTTCATATACACACGGAAACATACTCTTCAAACTGTACCTTTGCCATACTGAGTGGTTCTTGTGCATTACCACTGTGCTGTGTTCTTTACCCTCATCACTTTGAAAGGATTACATGCTTGATTTGTCATTTCTACAGTCTTTCCTTCTTAATCCTTCTCTGACTCTCCTGAATCCTGACAACACTTATCAACTCTTGCCCACAAATGTGTCATTTTGCTTTCCTGTACTGTCTGTTCTATAATCTCTAATAACTCTTGGCCCTTTTTTCCTCTCCTTTTTCTCCTCCTATGTTTAATTTGCTTTCTTCCACGCTGAATTCATCTGCCTCTTCTCCTGTATGAAAGTCGATGCTGCCATGAGAATCTGGCTTGCTCCCCCTGTATTTCTTATCTGTTTATCTCCCTCCTGTTTTTCCTCTGGTCTTGGCTCCCACTGTGGGAGCTTCTGACACAGTGATCACAGTCATTCTTTTCAATAGATAATTCTTCTTTTTTTTATTTATTCAGGAATTCTGTCATTTTTCTAACAAAACTCCTTCAACACAATTCCTTCAAATACTTGGGATTCTAGCTGTACTGATTATTTTTTTCAGCTTTTAATTTTAACTCTGTTTTCCATTTTACACATACTTCCTCTTGTCTCTGCTTTTTCTGCATAGACTCTTGCTGCTATCTTTTAGAAGAAAATTATAAAACATTGTCTTTCCCCTTCTACTCACAATCTTCTTTTTTTCCCCTTTGCTCAGGTAAGGAAGTAATTCAGTGTTCTTTAATATCTCTGATTTCCCAGGGGCCACATCACCTGTTGATACGCTTATGTTCGCCCTTTCCCATGCCTTATTCTTCTTTTCAATGTTTTTCTGGAATCCAAATTTTTTCCTTGTATTTAGAAAGTAAAAAATAGAGAAGCTTTTGATGAGCTTATTTCTCGACTTCTAACAAAGTCTCTCTTTTGCCCTTCATGAATTATGTTTGAATGTGGGGGTTTCAGTTGTTGCATTGAGTTCCTTTTGTGGTTGGTTGGTTGTTTCCCTGTTGCAGCCTTTCCTTGGACTGGCTTTTATCCCTTCTGCTAAAAAGTGCTCTCCCCGAAGATGATGTTTCAGGTGATCTAACTTTAGCAATCTAGCCAATAGTTATTCTACTTTAATGTAGTTATCTAGAAATATCTAGTTCACATTGCATTAACCCAATCAGAAGAGAGATAAGATTAAGAGATGTTGGAGAGTGTCTCACTTGATTGGTTATTGGGAGCTAACTGGCTGGGACATTTGGTCAAGATTTTAGGTGGCAAAACTTTGAGGACTGTCTGACCTATTGTCTTCTGTCTAGATACTGGACTCTGGTTTTGTCTGCTAATCATTGATGCTATTCATCACATACTGTTTATTACAGTCCTGCCCTTCTGTGACTGACTGTTGTTGACCAATCTCTGTTATCACTTCTTCAGACGATTCCCCACTTCAGCATTCAGAAGGAGTTTCTATGGACCTCATCCTAGCTTCCTTTTTTCTCTTTCATAACTTGTCTCTGAATAATGAGACACAGATTTACTTACTGTCTTCAGATGAACTGAGATCTTCCTTTCTGCTTTAAGCCTGTCTCTTAACTGAATTAAAATCTTAATCCCACTCTCTGATACCTGGCATACCTTGTAGTAATCTCAAACCCAAAAGGTTGAAAAGGATCCTTTACTGTTTCCTGGTGTGTGACAACCATCCTCTTGCCTGTTCTTTGGGCCCTGTAATCCCATTGTTGTCATAAATAACTTTTTCTAGAACTTGCAGCTTCTTTTTGAATAACATTACTAAAGGAAATTTGTTCTTTCCCATTCACAGATCTCCAAATCTGATTATCCTCTCTCCATCTTAGGTGTTTAATTATTGCAGTGTTTTGTCTGGCCTGGAAGAAGGCTATCTTGTTTAACCATTATATTTTACATGACAGTTCAAAATGTTTTCTAGTGTTTTGTGTGGTCAAGGGTCACCCTTCCTGTTGTTAACTCCTGATGCTTTTCTTTAAAAAACAAGTGTATCTGAAGGCAACACCTGACTTGCAAAAATCCATAACCCTGAATCGGATAAACTGATGTTTCAAATTCTAGCCTTTACAAGCATTTAGCATCAACTGCTAGTTAGAATCTAGAGCTCAAATTTCAGTTGCCCCTCCAGACATCCATAAAGCTTCCCCAGCCTCTTCTAAATTCTTTTTTAAAACTCTCTTAGTCAATTTTTAGGTAGCTAATACGGAGACCCACTGCCTGACACACTGATTGATTGATTACGATCATTTCATTCTTTTGTCACGTTCCCTTTTTTGCATAGCTGTGTTTCTTATGTCTTCTAAAATCCTTAAACTATTAGCACCTTTGTTTTGTATAAGACAAAGCAAAAGCACAAGAATAGGCTGGGAAGGGCTCCTGGTAACAGTGGCTATGATTGTTCAGAACCAGAGTGTTTAGCAATGGGAACTTCTCCCACTGCATGAAGAAAGTTACATGCATGTGTGATGGTACTGGCTTGATGCAATGACTGTAATTCTGGATTTCATTTGTGGATATTTGCAAGGACTTGCTTTGATATCTTTTAAATGAAGGTTCTGAGGCTGAGCAGTGCTTGGTGACATTTATAAAATGCGCTAATACATAATTAAAAGTAAGTAAATGCTAGGCTGGAGGTTGGGCTAGATGATCTCAAGAGGTCCTTTCCAACCTAAATGATTCTGGGATTCTAGTGGTGGTTAGGTTTATAGCATAGGTTATAGGTTTTTATACAGAAAACAGCAATTTGGATTTTGTTTGAGAATCATTCTGAATCACAAAGAGTAATGGATTTTGTGGATGTGTGAATACATACTAATCTGATTTTTTTTTACCATTTCATTTATCATTTTTGGGAATGAGTTATGAACCCTAACATAGTTTTTTATTTCTGTTAATGACAGCAAGGAAAAAAACTTACTTTACTGCAAGACTGAATGCTTGAAATCTTGGAGGTTTGCTCTTTTAAAAGGAGTTTTTCAAATTATTTTTAAACTTCTTTTCAACTAAGAATGTTGAAAGCTGTTTCATCATTCTGTGGTTCAACTTCAGCCAACAATTGTGTCTTTTAGGATGTTGAATAAGTCTGATTTGGTAACCATGCTTCAACAATGTGTGGAAATTTTTGTGTCATCTTCTGGAAAGGAGTTTGATAAGACAGTAGAGAAGTTGAAGGATTTCTTGACCCAGTTTCAGAAACTAGAAGGTGGGTGTGTACCATCATACATTCCATTGCAGATTATACAAAAGCTGTTTTATAATCTGACCAATGGGGATAATTTTCCCTGGTAATATCCTGTCATTGTATCAAACCATCAGATTTTTCCGGATTGTTTTTTTAAATACATGCACAAAATCAGGAGATGTTTATATTCTTTATTGGTACGTGGTTCGTGGTTTTAGTAATACGGAAGAGTGGTGTAAGATAAGAAATTGGACAGATCAGCAAACATTACTCACTAAATCTGTCATACGTATATTTTGAGCATTTTACCAGATGTTGCAATCATTGAAAACATTTAACAAATAAAAACAGATATTAAATGATAAATAGGAGCAGACTTCCTTATGGCATGGTATTTAATCCAAATGTATATAAAGTTCTTTCACCTGCACCTTCAGTTAAATTCATATAAGAGCTAGGATACCAAGTGCCAGTTGTCAGGGCTCTGCTGACATGCTGTAACTTGTCAGGCCCGTATATTTGATTGTTCATGGTAGAGGACATATTTGAAAGTTCAGTAAGGCAAATGAGTAGCAGCCTTCCGTCTTTCAGAGGCAGGTTAACAGAAACTGCTATATTCCTTCTGTAATAGGAATATGACATACTCCAGTATTCTTCTGGAATAGGAATTCTGTTGCTTCCCCTGAACTACGGAGAAGTGCTCCCCTATGATTCCCTTTTGAAGATGAAGTGGTTATCATCTGGTCTGTTTTATGCATATTAAATTAAGTTCATTATCAGTGTGCTTGCCACCCAGCATTTGGACAAGTAGGCAATAAGCCACCGAATGCAATCTAATATTAATTAAAGTAGTCATGTAATGCTCTAGTGTTAACTGAGGTTTGTTTAGAAGAATTGGGTCTTGCCTGTACCATGCATTTTTGAATAGATGTAGTAATAGCAGGGCTGTGGTACAGGAAATAGGTGATCACTTTGAAAAAGCTGTATATGTCAGTGAAGATACCAGCGCTGAAGAATCTGAACTACGATGGAAAACCTAAAGGTTCATCTAGCTTGGAAAAAAAGAATTGAAGCAAAAGGCTTTTAAGTAGTTGGATTTTTACCTTGAGGGAATAAATAAAAAAAAGAACTTTGGGAATTCAGGGACATGCAGAACTATAAAACAAAAAAGGCGGTATTTATTTTCATTTAGTATTCGAAGATGTTTTTAAAGCAGAGAACGTCTAATGAATCCATGAATGATCTTAGTTTGTTTTCAAAGCGGATTTGAGCTATAATGAAAAAGTGAGAAGGGGAAGTTAAGATAAACTTTACACAAATAGGTTGCTGAGTTAGGTGACTTCTTCCTGTATGTTTCTGTGATTGCATTGTTAGCGGGAGTTTTCAGAAGTCTGCCAAAAATGTTATGTACCCAAATCTCCCACAGAGCCCGTCCAGTGAAAGGATAGTCCAAAATTTTTTTATTTTTTTTTTTAAAACAACAAATTCTATCTTCCTGACTGCCTTATGAACTGGAAAAAAATAAAAACATGAAGCTTAAAGAAACAAAATATCCTTATGTTCAGTGTATTTTGAACTGAAGGATTTCATTAAAAAATCTCTCAAAATATTATCAGTGTAGTAGTGGAGAGAGGAAGTTCTCTGTTTTGTTCAACACAAATACAAATGTCCACAGGGCACTGGAAAGTACCAACTCATTCTATGTAGGTCACCAAAAAGCTTTTATATATCATGATTGTCACTGCTGATTGGATATTTACATGTGATCCATAGGTGGAATCTCCATCTTGTTACCATCTTCATAAGTAAGGCAAGAAATCTAGTTACCTTTTGTTTTGATTTGATTATCATTCATACTGGCATTGATTGTGCTTTGGGAGTTTTTGCTTCTTTGTTTTTACCTAAAAATTACTAATTATTGGTGCAATTGATCAACAAGCTACATGGCTATGAAAACAAACTTCTGTTATAAATTAAGATAAGAATAAAACTGGGCAATGAAATACCTTAGCACACTTTTGGTTTGCTGCCCTGGTTGCAGTTTCTTGGTTAAGTATGGAGAACTCATTTCTTCTGTAGTTGTTTTTTTGCAGAAGAAGGAAAAAATATGCAGTGTATGGCTTTTTGAACACTCTTAAAAGCATCAGGAGTATCTAGTACTAATCTGTCCAGCTTAGAAATGTTGAGAGTATGACGTAAGTGGAATTCAAGTGATGTGCAAGGCTTGGGCTGGATCTTTGCTCAGGGCTGAATTGCTTCGGTTACTTAATTACTGTTGGTTAAGCTGTACTGCAGACTCCTTTTTTTAACAATCTTTTACAAGGTGCAAGACTCAAAAGCTACCTGTGTTTGGGTCTATGTGAACCAGTAACTGAACACTTCTTGGATTGCTTGGGTTAGGGGGTTTATATAGGTAGTCAGGAAAAGTTTACCCCACATATCAAACATTAGTTTTGTTCTAAAGCAGAAGCTTTCCAAGAACAAGATGTGTCCGTATCGTCACAAAAGGAGCTCCAGAAGAAGACAGACCTTTATCATCTTCAGAAGGTTAGGCCTACGTAGGCTTTACTGACTAGTTTCTTAACTGAATCTTTTAAGATGTAATTGTCCATGGTTAGTTCTTCCCAGCTTGCTGGAGCTCTGAGTAAAGGTTGTGTATAAGTAACTCTTCTCAAAAATGAATGAATAAGTACCAACTATGTATGTCAGGCCCAGCTGATGCATAGAAAATATCTGTTATAAACTAGGATTTTAAAATGCAAATTAGGGGGTTTCTTCTTACTTAACTTGTAAATTACACATTCTGCCTAACACGTATTTCTTTGAAATTCCCAAACTCCTACCAGTTTGAGAACTGAATACACTGGCCTAAATAAAAATAACTGCACGATCACACTTTCAAACATCATCAGTGAAGACATGCCAGCAAAAATTAATTATACATGTTAAACATATAGATTGTGTTCTCCAGAGAATAACTACCTCCCATGTAGTTTTATGCACCACTTTTTTTTAAAGACTTTGTTGGAGTTGAAGGAATCAAGGCGTTCTAAGAAACTGACGAAGTTTGAAATGCTTCGTTTTGAAGTTGTTGACTATATAGACAGTCTTGTAAGGTGAGCTTTCCTGTTTTATATTCCTGCATTAGTTTGCACCATAAGTTGCAAGAGAAATTTTGCTAATGTTAATCTTGTCAAAATTGTGTCTTGGTCCCTGCAATATGAAGCATACTTTTTTTTTTCCCTTCCTATTCTTTCTTTGATGGGGGCTCTAAAAATAATAATTAGAAAAAACCCCTCTTTTCCATAGATTAGTAGAGTAATTGGCCCATGAATTGACCAACTTATTTTGGCTACAGAAAAAAGTGAAGGGAGGACTGGGTATATGTAACAAAATAAAGTCAAGAGTTTTTACCCTAATCTTTGCTGATCTGTTCTACTTAGCAAACTGTATAGATGTCGAGTGTGATATCCTATCCATTTTGGGAACTGTTTTGGTGAGCAAAGCATAGAAGATTAGGGTTTTGGAGGCAGCTCTGCAGCAGAAAATGTGAAAGGCTTGGGGTGGGGGAAGAGATGAAGGCACTTGTTAATTTATAGAGCCTTGGCAGGGGGAGGCAGAGAAGCTAACAGAGGTATGACTGTGCCAAGAAAAAAAGCTTCAAATATGAAGACAAAGATGAGCAGAGACTCATCAGGAGGCCTCAAGATGGATAAGCAAGATCTGTGGAGTACATCACTCATGTTAGCATTTCACCTGCTGCCCTTATTTTTGAAATTGTCAGTGGCCCAGCTAGAGTTCTATGCTAAATCCATTAGATGTAGAGTTGATAATAACTGACTTCCCTGCTTAAAAGTTGATTTCAGCACTGTTCCTCTTGTTTTTTCAAAGATTTGTCAGTATTGGTTGGGAAACATACATTCTTGTCTACTGCGGTCAGAGACTGCAGTAGACTTCTGTTGTTTCCCTTAAGGTAAAGCTTGTATCTCCCTTCCTTCCCCCATACCTCGTGTTGCTTTTTCAGAAATTACCTTGTTCCTGCAGACCACAAGACTCTGCATGAGATAGTGTATTTCAACACAGCCAGTGTTCTCCGTGAGCACTTGAATGCTGCCCCGAGGATTGCACTTCATACAGCTTTAAATAACCCATACTGCTACCTGAAGGTAAGAAACAAGTAAGTTGTTTGTGGTGCTGGAGTAGGTTCTGAAGACTACACGTGAGGATGATGTGTAAGGCTTAGTTTTGCTGTTTCATGAAGCTTGGCACACATTCAGCTGTTTTGCAGAGAACCAGCAAGTTTGCGTTGATAAGCAACTGGGGACTTTGCAAAGAGCTAGGGAATTGGTCTGGCTGAAATAAAGCAGCTAATTATGGAAAGAGTTCTATATGGGGAATCCATTTTCCAGAGCCTAGTCATGCTCTTTTCTTTCTCCTGTAGATGTACGCTAAGAAAAGTCATTTTGTCCTCCATTACAAAAGGGATGACTGTCTATGGGGAAAAATACAGTGTGGCTCTTTCCAGAGACTTTCTTTACAGGGCTTGTGCTTAGTCCTCAGTGTGTAGACTTGCTGTAAGGTGAAGGCTGTGTTCAGGCGGAGTGATGACATTAACAACAGCTTAAATACAGGATATTTAAAGGAGTCCTTTGTTTTTCTTTTTACATTTATTTTAATGTGTGTTGTGTATTGACATCCTATCTTTTCCGAGTCCAAGAAAAGGATTGTCATTGATTCTTTTAGTTAACCCTGCCCTTTTCTAGAGAAGAAAAGCAGCCCCTTTTCTACTTCTTTCATAAATCAAATTCACAGGATGACTGAAAGAAAGAAATAGAGCAGGATTTGGAAAAGGAGTGAACATACTTTTTTTTTTCTCTCTTTTTTTTTTGTCCTTGATTATAGATGCTGCTTGGAGTTATCCTCATGCTCTAACATTTCCCTTAAAAATGTCATTACAGTTTTGAAGAAAACATGGTTGTAGCTGTATCTGAGTGATTATATGTTACTTGAGTCACAGCCAACATTTATCAGGAATCATACCTGATAAAATCCAGTCTTTGAAATCTACAACCCGATTCATATTGGGTTTGTTGGCACTGTGCCTCTATTTGAATGAGGGTTGTCAGTTTTGCTGTGTGCAGGAGTTATTTCTAAAACCACTTGAAGAGCTTATTTTTGAAAACAGTAGTTAGCAAGTGGGCTACCATTAAAGAGACCTAATATGAACCACATTAATTTATATTTTTAGAGAACCTGTAAAAATATAGATTAGCAGAGCTAGCAAAATCTACCCACTGATGTGTTTAATAAGTATTCTCTTTGATGAGTTGACAGGATTTAAAGCCCTCTGTCATCCTGCACTTTGTTCTTTCATAATTTAACATATTTCCGATGTTTTCTGAGTAGATTGTGAAGGTTTGGCATGGTTTCTAACAGCAGCAGTATTGGCTGAGTACCTTGCTTAGCATTTTAATCCATGTAAGTCAAATAAGTATTTTTTCTTAATTGTATCCATGACTTCTGCATGGCTTGTACTTTCCTGGGCCATGACCAGAGCAAAGTTCTCTAGAGCTGTTCCTTCCAGAAGGCTAGGACAGAAAGGATCTGCTTCAGTGGAGTACCAGCAAATTATTAATGTGTGATGCATTTCTTACAGGAATCCAGTCCAGTTATTTATTTAGCAAAATGCGAACCAAGAATCATATTTACCCTGAAAAAAATACCCACCAAAAAAAGTGTAATTCTGTTTTCACTGATCCCTTGAAAATTGAACAAGTTGTAACTTGGAATACCAGCAAGGCACTGCTTAGTATTGTGTCAGCACAAGGAAATCTGATCTTCAGTCTTCCTGGGGTTTAGATGGTCATGCAAGTTTTGTTCTTGACCTTGGGTAAGAAGGGCGATTTTTTTACATTGATCTCAAGAAATGAGCCCTATTACCGATGAAGATACTTTGATTGCTATGAAACGAAAATCCTTGAGCTGCAATTAAGCTCCCATATCGGGGGAAGGGGATACTAGTATTTGGTCCTTGGGAAAGGCAGCAACATTGATTCCAGGGCAAGGTACAAGTCTGTCCTCAGTCTAGCCTCTGGGGGCGGGGTCAAGCAAGAGAAACATCATCAGCATTCTGGGTTGTTCCCACTCCCATACTCTTCTCTTTCTGAAAGAGCACCTCTGTGCTGTGCAGCTGGTTTCACAACTGGCTGCTCGTTCTAGGGCAGCTTCCTGCTTCTCAGTCTGGTTATTTCCTCTCCGGGACAACGCGTGCGCTGCTGCCTCAGGAAGCTGAGGTTTCCCTGCATGCAGCTGCAGCTCCCTCCCGCTATGCTGTAAAGACTTGGCCTAGTTATCACAAGCGAGGCTGAATTCTTTAGGTACTGGCAGAAACTCTGCACTGCCAATCAGTAACACCTTCCCTGGATCATTCTTGGCATTTGCCTGTGGTCCAGCTAGATATTAATTCTACAGATGAACCTGTTCCAGGAGAGTGCAGTTGCTCTAGAAGTTGCATCTTCTCTTGGCTGTGCTAACTGTTCTGACCTTAAGATTAGAAAATCAAAGCAAAGCGTAGGAAGCCACAGAGTTAGGAGAAGTAGCCGAGGGGAAAAGAAAAACGCGTAGGGTTATCCCTGTGGGCAGTAGCAAGCCACTACATCAGCCAGAAGGTGTAACTTCACCTGTGCCAGTTAGTAACACAGTAGTATTTGAAACTATTACGGTATGTTCCTGAATTATAGTCTGGAGTGTAACATTTTGAGGGTTTAGCCATGTTACTCTGAATTTATCTGGAGACCATCTGAACTGAACTGACAGACATTAACATAAGGGCTACAGCTTTTGTGTTCCATGTACAGAATAAATAAACTTGAAAATTGTTAGGCTTTCTGGAAATTGTGAAATGTCTCATAAGTGCTAGAGTCCAAACTGAATCTGAGCCTCAGAAATTGCAGGGATTGAGATCTATGAAAGGCAAGCTAGAGATTCTCGAGCAAAGTTACATTCTTTGCCCAACCTTCTTTCCTATCTTGAAAAGCATTTATTTATGAAGGTATTCTTTCTAGGGCTTTACAGACTTCCCAAAAGTAACTGGCACATTTTAGTAGCATGTAAAAGTTATTTTAGCAAAAATTTCTATGCACTGAAAGGAACGATCAGTGGTTGTTTTCATGTTAAGAGAGCTGGCTTCTTTGAGTGCATGGAACTGAAAAAAAAATTATGAACTGTTATGAAATGTAAATTTCTGTAGCTCTACAGAGACTTTTGCTTCTGGTTCAAGTGGCTTTTTTACTTCTCAAGTAAATGGTTCAGTGCTGATGACCTGAATTTCCTGACATATAGAATAGTTTGTGAGAAATCAGACTTTTGCCTTTATAGGTGCTGAGTTTCAAGCCAGAGAGAAACAATTGTTACATTTCAAAGATAAAACTCTGAGATTAGAGAAGCAATTCTGCTTTTTACTACATCTGGTAGATCTATACTAAGACTTCCTCTTTCCTTTTGGGGGTGTGGGGGGGGAGGGATACTTTTCTGTTTTCTACACACTACAGTGTGAGGCAAATCATGACTAGTTTCTTTTCCTGAATCCACAGAACACAGTATCTCTCTCTGATTATGTAAATAGAACTAGCAAAAAAATTGGGGAAAAGCCTAATCACATAATCACTCATTAGAGACTGCCTAAGTGTACAAAATTGTAGAAGGAACACCAGGAGTGAATTAGCTAGGTGTTTTTTTGTTGTGGGTGTTTTGTTTGTGTTTTTTTTAATGGTGTTTTCTTATTTCCTGGTTTTTTTCCTTTGTACCACTACTTGCCATTAAACACACATCCAGTAAACATTTGGTTAAAATACCTACTATGTGAAATAGTGTTATATGTAGCCCTAGAGATTGTTCAAGATTAAAAACTGATCGAAGTTACTGCTTTCATTTTTTTTTTTTCATCAGAATCAAGCTTTGAAAAGTGGTGGAGGAAGCATTTCTAATAAAGCTCCTGACATATGCATAGTGTATAAACTTCATTTGGAGTGTGGCAGATTGATTAATCTCGTTGATTGGTTAGAGGTATGTTGACAATGCAAACAGTGCCTTTACCTGCTTTCAGTATTCTGATTTATCTTTATGCTGCATGTCTGCTTTTCTTTAGTGCCCCTTTTCACAGCTTAAATCATGGCATTCCTTAGTTGCTCCTGTGCAAGAACACACAGTAACTCTAATGACCAGCCCATAGCGTCTTCCTCTGACTACTGTGAATCATTTATTTTCAGCATTATTACTCCATGATTAAAATCTTTTGCTTCTGCTTCTATTTTATGCTTGGCACAGATCAGATATTATTCTTCACAAAGCTACCTTTAAGTTTTCTGTGACACTTTTATGGAAACAGGCAAGTGCTGCTGCTTGGCAAGTGTGGGGCTCTTCGAGAGAATGCTTGTGCTAGGGCAGAACAAAGGTCCTTCTAGCCTGATATCCTGTCTCATACTGTGACCAAAAGCAGAGAGAATGTAACAAGAGAACCTACATTAATATGATACATTCTCCAAATACTCCCTAGCTAACAATGATGTTTTAGCTCTAGAGTTTCTTTAACTGGAATGGTTTCTCTGTATTTTGTAAGCCCACCTGGATTACATTACCAATATAACTTTTTAGCAGCCACAGCATCCTCTGGCAAGACATTCCATAGCATAACTACATGCAGTGCAGAGGACGTGCCTTTCACTTGTTCTATTTGCTGCTGCCTTGTTTGTGTATTGGAAATAAAAGTGGACAGAAGATTCATAACCAGCCTCTTGCTGTCCCTCAACTTCATAATTTCTTAACAGCCAACTTAGCTCCTTCATTTTTCCAGAATGTTTAAGCAGTTGTGCTTTCAGAACACTTTTCAGTTCTGTATTTTTTCTGAGTCAGGGACCAGAACTATATTGGGATTTAAAATGCAGGCACACAAGTTCATGGAGTGATGTCTTTTCATTCTATATTCCTGCCATGGTAATATGTAACTTTGCTTGCTCTTGATTGCTGCTGAACTGACATTCTCATGGAGTTACTGTTCCAAGATCTCATTCCTCCTGAGTGATAGTCATCAGCTCAGAGCTCTTTTTTTTTTTTTTTATATATGCAGCTCTCTCTATGAAATGTGTTAAATCTGTGCTGCTTTTCCCCTTCTAGGCTTTCTCAACTGTGGTGATGGCAGCTGAGGGACCAAATGCAGATGCACCTTCCTCAGACCAGGTGGATGATATTATCCAGTATCCTTTCTTCATTTCTCTCAAGTTTGACATTCAAATGCTTACAGGATTAATGAACCAGGATTTTTAAAATACAGCTTAATGTGCACAGATAACTAATTCCAGAAAAATTAAAACTAGTTGTCTTAACAGCCTTAATGTACTGAAAATGTCACAGAAATAGATCAGCTGAAATAGTTGGGCTGAGGGCAGTGAGGTAAGAGAGCAGCTTTTCTCCATAGGAGGTGTTTGGATCTGAAACAGAACCAACAGTCCTTAAAACCAGTTGAACTATTCTAATTGGTTAAATCATCTGAGAGTTGGTACAGCTGCTGTATAGGGGGAGAGCATTACTGGGGAACAGATGATAGGATAGCTGTGACCTAGAGAGCAGATGGAGAAATAGAGACAGGTTATTATGAGGAAGATAGAAGCATTAGCAGAGGAAATGATTACAAAAGTAGTGTCTCTGTAGAAGTCATGAGTTCTAGTACCTTAGAGTTGAGAATTTTAGTTCCCACAAAACATCCATTCTGCTTCTCACTTTGTCCTGATTCTTAACTGAGGTCTGCAAAATATTTAAAGGATGAGCATTGGAACCAACTCATGGCTACAACAGTAGTGCTGCCACAGAAAAAAGATGAATAGTTGTACAAAAGGAGGCTTAACTACAGGAAGAATATTTATATGGTCTAATACTTTTATTATAAAGCCCTTCTGTTTTTACAAGCTCCACTGGTAATTAATACAAAACTAAATTCTCTATTTAACTCAAGGATATATAGCTGTGTGTCAGGAAGGCAGCAAGAAAGGTATAGTGAATAGCAAGTAACAAAAAGGTGGTGCTGTTTAATGAAACCTCAAAAAAAAATCTCTACAATTATCTATCTTCCCTTTTTTTGTCAAGGGCCGTGGAAGTATAAATTCTTTCTTCTTAGACACTACAAAAATAATATCTTTGTAGGCTCTAAGCTTCTCTTAGCAGTGGGGAAAGGAAGTCTTCCTTTGTTGCCACATTGTATGCATGTAGCAAAAGAAATACTGATTAGATTGAAGATTTGTGCTTCTGTAGGCAGATGATGCTCTGCCCTTATTTCCAACAATTTTAGTGTGCAACACATTTTGTGTAATCTGTGCTTACCATGACTTGGAAATCTTCACCTCCTAGAGAGAATAGTGTCTCTCTATCAATATGTGTCATAAAAAAGTGTACTCCCTTTCCTTTACTGAAATGTCCAGTGCTCGTTTTATTCGAGCCGTTTCTGAACTAGAACTCTTAGGCTTCATAAAGCCTAGCAAGCAGAAAACTGACCACGTGGCAAGGTTGACATGGGGAGGCTGTTAATGTGCCACCAAGGTCTTAATAAACCTGTTCTTTCTAACATTGTGCAATGGCTGTGTTCCCACTAAACTAGTCCTTGCTAACTTTGCATACTGAGTCAAAGTCAACGATGACTGAATGTTGTGAGATACATTCCGAGTGCCTGGATAGGCTTGAATAGCAATATTGTTGTTTTAACACTCAGCCTCCCTGTGTAATGTACTGCTCTATTAATGCTCATGTTCCAAATATGGTATTGTTGTGCCAGTTTTAATCTTCTTTGATGTGTGATATTTAACACTATACTGATACAATTCAGGCTAGCAAGCCAAAAGGACAACACTGGCTGTGTAAGCTACAGAAGTGATGAAGCAGTATTATTAACTTGCTTATAAGCTGACAGGATTTGAGTCATCATTATGAAATGCCTTCCAGATCCTTTAACTACAGATTTAAAAATAAATAAAGCCAGTATGCTAAAAAAGACAATAAGCTTCCATGTTCAGCCTCTGCGGCATGTTTTTCAAACCAAAACTGGTCATAACTCCCTGAAAACTCCTTCATGAGGAAGAGAAAGGGACAGAATAATTTTGAAGATACAGATTTTTGCTCTTTGAGAAAAGCAAAAGCAAACTGTTTAAATCATTCCCTTTTTCTAGCAAACTTGACTAATACTAGCTGATGTTTGCTGGCAGGGGAACTTGTGTCAGCATAGACTAAATGAGAACATGGAACTCACACACATTAGACAACGGTAGTAAAATCCACACCTGAAGTACACACTGTAACTTTTCTCTTTGCTGAGGAAAGGAAGCAAACGAAGGAAACAGCTGTGTGAAAATAACAACTGTTGGCCAAGAATGTTAAAAGCACTGCTCAGCTGACAGCTCTTCAGTCAAAGAACCTTCTCAGTGAACCACTTAGCCCTCTGCACTAAGCAAGCCCAGGATGCACTCTGACCTTCTGCCAGGATGGAGCAGTGCCTACACCTCAGTACAGGTTACCAGTGCTGTCCCCTTTGTACGAACTGGACTGGAATGGCTCACAGCTGCTGCCTTATACTGTAACAACAGCCACAAATAAAGTGCTGTGCCAAAGTGCTGGAAAACCACGGTCATTGCCAGTGTTCTGGTCCCCAAGGAAGATGAGGTTGTTAAGAAAAACCCACACCCGATTCCAGATACCAGAGTAACATGGGTATGTCCTAACCAGCCCCATCTTTTTTTTCACACTCACTCAAAAGCTACACTGCAGCACTTACTGCATTAAGCTTCAACTTCCCTCAGACCAGGGTTGGGGAGCAAGTGTGTTTATGCTGATGTCAGCATCCAACATTTTCCAAACATGGAAAAAAGCCTTAGAAACCAAAGGGTAAAAGCTGTGTTTCCCTCCAGAACAGCATATATGTCTGCCATACACTGATGAGCTGTCCTGAGGGCTGTGACACATGCACCTCAGTGGTATGGGTGGAGACTTCAGGTCAGTCTTATCACCTAGGAAAGGGCTGCAGTTAAGAGAAAAGTGTTTGGACTTTGTCTCTCCCCACCTACTTAAAAGCTGAATGGCGATTATTGTAAAAGACTATATTTACCTCCAAAAAACTCCCAGACTTCCTCAGCTGACTGAGAAAGGATGACAGACTTCACTTTCCTTCTACTTGAGGCATTTAAGTGCTGCTCTTAGTGCATGTGTTCAGCTGTCACTAGAATCCAGGTGCTCCCACTTGGTTGCACTGGCACTTCAGCCTACCCAAAACAGCTGAAAATGATAGCCTGGAGCATGAAAGACTGAATCACTTGCACAAACCAGATCTGTACTGCAGGAGGTGGGGGGGAAGTCCTATGACAAGAACCTGTGACTTACCAGGCTGTTTAGCCAGGAATGTATGGAAGATAAATTAGGCTTGTTTTAAATACCCTCAGAGAAGGTAGGAGTCATTTATTTCCCCACTGCTCTAATTGCACAGACACACCAACACTTCCTGCTGTATTAAAGGGAGGGCCCAGTTCTAAATGTTGCCAGACAAATTAAGAGGCTGAGGAGGATGAGGAGTTTATCAGCCTTTATACTGGCTAAACATACAACTTGGGAAACATAATGATGAAAACTCAGAGCAAGAATTTTTAGGATCTTAGTGGAGCAGTTGCAAAATTCCTCTTTTCCATCAAGACACAGGGCAAACAAGTTCCACTGTCTTTCACTCCAGAGACCAGGCTAGGGGACCTGCATCGTAGTGGTCTTTGTATGTAAGGCTTCCAAGCAGCAGCGAGGGAAGGGAGAAATTTTAGTAGGAGCAGAATGTTGAATAGCTCTCTTCTGCCCTGAACCTCACCTATTTATCTTGCCACTACACTTGACAAATGAAAGGGAGCAGCAAAACAGCCGAATGTCTCTCTGATCTGCAGGAGGACACAGAGCCAAGTGCTCTGCGCAGCTGTCCTCTGCCACCTGCCTGCAGCCTCCCCAACCCTAACCACCCAATGCAAGATAAGCACATACCATCTGACTTTCACACCTTCGGAGGGTAAAACACTTGGAAATAAAGGGAAGCAAGCCTCAACAGCGTGTGGCTTTTAATTGCCAAATATGCAGGCAACATGACCTTGGAACAGAAAAATCAATAGGTAATGGCCATTTCTTCAACTAGTAACAAATTTTGAAGCTTAAAGTCACATGATTGCTATGCTATATATGGTTTCTCGGGATCAAATTTTTAATTCAGTACTTGGCACTTCAGACTGTAAAATGTATAAAGGGGAAATAATTGATTAAAATTATGCAGGAAGTGCTGTGTAATTTCATTTTCTTCAGCAAGGAGGGTAGGAAGGTTGGACAGTTAAAAACACAAACTAAACACAACTAGTCATAAATTTCATTTAGTTTCCCTTTCTTCAGAGGCTGGACTGTGTAGTCAGAGTCCTAGCTACCTGGAAAGAGCCTAATATCACTAAATTCTGAACCAACATCAGTAACAGCAGAGACACTACAGCTATGAAAAAGCAGCTTGTGCTTTTCCTCCTTCAATGGAATTCTGGTACTAGGAGTCTAGTAACACCAGGCTTTCTGTTTGCAGATAATCTGGCTATATAGTATGAATTTTACATTTGGTTCCTCTAACTTATTTTACTACTTTTTGTTGTAAATATACCAAACTCACCCTCATATTCATATACCTTAGCTGAAATACACATTCAGGAGATTTCAACTGCCTATACATATTTATATATGTATAATTTTAAAATCTTAGTTTCTACAACTGTCTGCATAGTAATACCATGTTCTGCAGATACTCCAGGAAACCTTCTCTGTCTGCAATGTTCATCAAAAGCAAACATGACTTCCCCCTCCCCCCAAAAGCCTATGTTTGTATTGTGGTGCTAGCTCTGATACTGTAACAATGTAAACTCTCATCTCTGAACTGATAACTGTATTGTATTCTTCAGTAGCCACATCTTTCAAGAAAACTACTGCCAAAAATCAGACCTGAAAGTAAATTAACTCATTTGAATAGTTTACCATTTTTCCCTACTGTTACAGATGCTGTTCTTTGATGCCTCTTTACACTACTGCACTACTGGTTGCAAACACAAACTTGGTAATTTTTCTTTTATCTTGGAGCCTGCAACACCAGTAAAATACAAGAATAAGCCAGGTGCCTGTAAAAGCCAAACATTCACCCTCACATGTTTCATCTCAGAGAATGGCTTGCCATACGAAGGTCACGAGCACTGGTTCACAACAAGAGCATAAACTCTCAATACTTTACCAGCCTTGTTCTTTTCCTCCCCACTGTGGAATCATAGAACTAAATCCTTCCCAATTCCCAACTCGGGAACGGAGAGAGCTTTCACAAAACACAGTTTCTAACCAGAATCTGCTAATGGTCTTGCTGTTCAAGAGTACACAGGCAGACGTCAAGCATCAGCACACAAGATTGCTTGAATCTCCTTCCTTTTCAGCCTTGAAAAATGCTGAATAACCTTATGGTTATATGCTTTCACATCTAGACACAAAAATCAACACGCAGTCAGGACATACCTACTGCTTTTTAAGTACACACTCTGCTTGAAAAGAACTGACACATCACTACCTTAAAAACGGGTTAACCAAGATCTTTGGTTTCGCTCTGTTAAGCTTAGTTTGCCTTTGGACAGACTGCAGTTACACAAAAACTGCAAAAACACTCTAAATGTGGCCACCACAAAATGTAGTGCCAAGAACTGAGTAGTTATTGAATCTTACCCATTTCTACTTGACTCGAAAGCCTTTCAAAAGGCTCTCCAAAGCAGGTTTGGTTTTAAGCACCAGCCTGCTCCTCACAGCACCCCAATTTTCGTAATTTTTTCATCAGCAATCAAGCAGCCAACCATTTGCCTACTAAAGAATAAGTTAGAACAAGCCTTTCAAGTGAAATTCATCACATCAGATACTGGCACTGAGATTAGAAAAGGGAGCCAGTTTAAAGTCCAAGACAGAACAAGCAGCAGGTTAAAAAATGAAAAATTTCAAAGAATGCAACCTCCTTTTCAAAACGAGCACAAATTAAGCATACCAGAGCTGTGATGCATAAGCACCCATGGTGGCATTATATTTAATCTGCCAGAAGACTGCTTATTATGCATTAATTTGGAGCAACACAGGAGTGGCTGGGTGCTAACATGACATCACTTCCTATTTATAATAACTCTTAATATCCCAAAGGAAAAGATAAGCTGAGATGCAGAGTCGATCACAATAGCTGCTATCTTAATTCTACTCTCCTATCTCAAATTATCAGTTAGGTATACATACATTTCTATCAAGTCAGAACAAGGATCTTCTAGAACACAGCAGATACAGGAGACGTATCAGGATGCTGGAATTTGGGTAGTGGTCTGTCTAAAAGCAGTGGTTTTCCTACACTGGGCAAGTTAACAATAAAAGGAAGTCAAAAAATGAGGAGCAGGAAGGAGAGGGACCGAGAACCCTGAGGCAGACAACAGAAGTTACAGCCCTTGATAGTTTTATCTTCAGTAACAGAAGACCCGAGAGGGGAGTCTAGCACAGACTTCCCATTTGTGAGACTCTGAAAATATAGTAAAGACAATCCAAGCATTAAGGTAAGACAGGTTTCAGGAAAGTGAGCAGCAAACACTCTGATACTGTGGCGATGAGCCTAATTCTGAACCTGTAATCTCAATACTAAGTGAATAAAAGTTCACTAAGAACTAGAGCTCATCACACAGCTTCTCTGGTATCATAAGCATCAGCACAAGCCAATTAATGTATCTACCAGCTGAAGTTTCAATTACATTTCAACCAAAACTCATCCGTTAATTTGAAATGGTACAAAGGTCTATTACACAACAGACTTCCACTTAACCAGAAGTTGATAGTAAGTTAGAGAAGACAACAGTTTATAATCAAAGGATTACTTTGAAACTGCTTTGAGGTCCCCAAAGCAGATAACCCAAGTAATTCAGTAAGCAATACTTCTACCCCACAGCACACAGATCTGGACTTGCCATGCAGTAACTTTTCAGTAATTCACACCGAGACTCAGAATCACACAGACAGCAGCAGCCAGCACTGATACAGCAGTCTGGAAACAGCTGAATGCATCCAACAACAAACTCCTCGACCCTGAACACAAAGATCACACACCTTTAGCTCTTCCAACACCTACGTAGTTCCAGCTTGTGGTGCAAGCGCCTGCTCTATCTTATGAACAGATTTCCTCTGATGTGTCACTTAAATCTGAAGGAAGACAAGACAAGCGCAGCTGTTTGAGTCAGCTGCAGAAAGTTAAATCAACAGTTCCTTGCCAGTTCTGTACCAAACATGCTTCCACAACAGGAAACAATATAGCCAATTTAAGGAAGATTTCTTTGCCTCTGAAGAATTACCTGAGATTTTCATCCACCTCATTCTCCTGATTGAAAATTCTGACCCACCCACTATTGCTAGTAAATAAAGTTTTCATTTAAACACTCAGATTTAAGTTTATTCATACACAGCAAAAGTTCCACCTGCATATTAAAAACAAACAGATTAGAAGTAAATGTTTTATTCTTCCAACTAAATTCCAGTACTACAAGGGCAGTAAAACAATGATACACTGAAAAATTGCAGCAATAAACATTTGTTAAAGACTGATAGAATAAATAAAAACTACAAAAATGAGAAATCATATAAACCCATTCTTAACCCCCAAAAAAGTCATGGAATACAGAAATGCCCTCCTTCACTATTTCACAGGCAGTACTGTGGGCTATTTGCTTAAAATTGTCCTGGGATTACATTCTAACTTAACTGTGATTACAGCTTTGTTGTAGTGCACAGTTATGAAAACCACACTAACTTCAGTCAGAAGTGTCATTCTACATTTTTTATTTACACAACCAGTGAAGGGCAACTTCTAGAACACCAGCTTTAATCCTTTACTTTTTAAAACTTATTAACATAAGAAGCCAAATTGTAATGATACAGCAAATGAGGCCACTGGTATTATTACAGGTAGCAAAGGTCCACATCCAGGTGGTACTGACATCAGGGAGCACTCCAAAACCAGTTGCTGCATAAGAGTGGTTGCCACTGACAAAAGCTTGAAATAACCTGTGTTCACAGGGGGAAAAAATATGGCATTGCTGCAAGTCTTTACTGGGACAGCTTGCAACAATAAAACAGGGTGTATAGGGCAGCCCACATATGCAGAAAGTGTGATTCATGAAACGTCTGGAAAGAGACAAAAAACAACAGTTAATGATGGAGTTAACAAATGCGAGCTCTATCACAAACCTGCTATGGCAATATCAAAACCTGCTTTCAAAAACAAAAAACCAGCATGTTATGGGAGACAGTTCCAGATGTTTTAAACAAAAGCTGCATTTTTATCTCACGTATTCCTTTCAACCTTGGTCTTCCATATTACCAATTTAAAGTATAGTAACCTGGGGCCTAGCTGAAGCTTAACAACGAACAATGGCCATTTAAATTATTGAACATTTGGTAATTTAACACTGCTATAGGAACCAGAAGAAATAGATACTCACAACTGGCAGGCTGTTCTCCATATCGTCGCATGATTTGATCATGCGTGAACTTCACAAATGCGTCATATTGTTCTGCAAGCATGAAGCATTAGAAGTGTGAGTATACCAAGTTTAACTCAAGCTGAAAATATTCAAGGCTACATTTTTGTACATAGAAATCATGTAAGTTAAACACACATCCACTAACAATAGTTTTAAGTGACTTTACACAGTTCATAGCTGCTATGTCCTTTCCAACCCCAAGAACAATGCAGCACACGTCCCCTTAATTAAAACACTTTCCCTGACAAACTTCTGTAACGGGAAAGACAGTAATACGTTCAAAAAGAATTATGCTGCACATACACAAAGACCTCAATATACCTAACACCTGCTAAGTGTCAGACACTGTACTTTGAAGTAATCAGGTGTGCCCATTTCAGAGTTCCATAATGGGGGCAGAGTAGTTAAGCAAACACAGCATTAAGGTCAGTGCTAGGGTTGGAAATGTAACTCCTCTCTGCTCCTATCACTACCAGATATAAGAATATTAATTTGATGAAATGGAAACACAGAAGTACAGGAAAGGGACTTGCTACGGAGTTAGAAATTCTTTTTGGTGACCACCAGAAAATCAAAAGCAAACAACAAACTAAAAGGATGAAATGCTAAGTGACTAACACTTGACTAACTCCAATCATAAAAGTAGCCACAATAGGAGACATATAGTTGACTGTGGACTTCATGAAACCAGTTACTGTGTAATCTGAAATTTAGATATCAAACATACTAATTTGTCTTTGAACTAAGCAGTTATTTCCCAGAAAGATTATTCTTTCTATACATGCATACATACAAATACATTCGCAGTATTTTATTCAGTTTTAATATTGCACTCATCAGCAGGATATCACCTTTCAGAATTAGGAAATTGAACAAGGAGAGTAATATCTACCAGATGCCGCTCCTCTCCATTCCCCTTCCTCCCTTGTGGAAAAATACATGTGCAGCAATGTGGGGTGTTCTGAGAAAAGGGCAAGGTCAAAGAAGGCAATCTTCAACCAAAAATGCAGTTAGATTTGTAGTGGTTCCTAGTCCCACAGGTTTGCCCCATTAAAGTCCCCATCCTCTTGCAGGGATGAGCTTCACCTTTGAAGTAAACAGGGTATCAGTAATCAGCAAGTAGAGCAGCAGCAGCCCAAAGTACGGACCTGACCCAAGGATCTAAGGGCATTCATCCCTGACGGAAGGGGCCCAGGGTCACAGCAGCCAGTTCCCCTCTGCCCACAAGCAGGACTTCTGTTCACTGTAGTTCTGACTGATGGCTTTTCAGCAGCCACGTGATGATCTTAGCCAAACAACAGAATATCACAAAGAGCAGATTGAAGGATCTCTTCCCCAGAAACCATTTCCAAAAATAACAGCAACTGGAACTTTTCCTACACGTATGTATTAAAGGCCAGAAACCAACATGCAAGCTTTCTTCTTTAAAGGTTTAAGTCAACATACACCACTGCATCATCTTTGTGAAAACTAGGGCTTTGGAAATTTAAAGAATCCATGGTTACTAAAAATCCCCTCTTGTGGCATTTGGATTCAGAAAGTTAAGCAATCCAAAGGTAAGAGCAACCTACAGTGAATTGCTTGAAAATTTAAGTGAACGCTTGTAAAGATATTTACATCACTGGCATCCCTTATCATGTTGTAACTATTTTAAGTCAAAAGGAGGCTAAATGACATGAATACAAATATGATTACCATACTCTACAATCTGACCTTTAGTATAAAAAGCTGTTTTTCACAAACAGGTTCTAGAAAACCTTTCAAACTGAAGTCTAACTTAACCCTTATACTCCTTCTCTGGTTTTAAAATCTGCAAAGGGTCTTGCAAACCCAAGTTTATGCTAACACAGCAGTTTCAGATAACAGACACAGGAGGGAAAATCAGGGCATTACGGTGATCTGAGTTCTCCACTTATCAAACATTCACTCTGCATGAAATGCAACTCTGCTCACAAAGAACATGGGAGAAGAAAAAAAAAGGCAGTATCTGGCTAACTACCTAGAAGAAAATCATGATTCAGAAATGAACAAGGAAAATATCTGAGATCAAAACATTCAGTTAAGTCACCTGAAAGCAGCTATTCAATTGAGATTTATTACAGAATTTCCAGTTGCATTTCCATTGACTTCACTAGTTTGCAAGAATGAGTATCACCTTATTGTACAAAGTTTAGAAAGGGATATAATCATTCTGTCAGCAGAAAAACATAACTGGCCTTCTATGTAAGGCATTTCTAAATTCCTTGGGCAATCTCTCTTTCTAAATTCCCATAATGCTGAAAAAGATTTATTGGCTTGATAAATGGGATGCAGTAACACAATCTTTCTAATAGCTCTTTTGGTGACGACCATCACAAGAACAAGTAAACCTAACTCATCTCACTGTAAACTACACCCCCCCAAACAGAAACCATCCCCCTTCCTTTCCCAAAAATCAAAAAAGAAAATGTTCCCTTTGGGACTGACAGATGGAGCTCATGTAAGGAACTTGCCAGAGGGGCTCCTGCTTGTAAAGAACTACAAGTTTGCACTCAGAAAGCGTCTGGAACAAATGTGAATATATCTAGTCTTCAAACGGTTATTATGATCACTGCTAACTGAAATGCATTTAAGAGAATGCAAGAAATGACCCAATTCCTAACATAAATAAATTAGAAGAAAAAAGCTCTATGGAGTCCTAATTCATCAGTCTGAAGCAGGTTAAAAAGAAAAACATAGAAATGGAACATTAGGCCCAAAGCAATAGAAGTGTTTAGAGCTCTAGTTACAGTTGTAAATAGATGTAGATTTAAGAAGGACTTAGAACTATAGCAACTTCTTACATAGCAATGGCAGATCAGCAAGCACAGAACATGAACACAGGCTCAGGTGCAGAGACAGTACTGTCACAGGCCACCCACAAGCCTGACACAAGTATGGCGACTTTCTGCATGGGCATGCCTGCAGAAGGTCTTATTCCCACACCTGAAGAGATCTGCAAACTTTAATTCTGATGTGTTTTCAGGTGGGAAGCAGAACAGCCATGGGTATTCAAAAGCAGGTTTGCCGCCAAAGAATGCAGTCAGATGTTCATTATCATCACACTAAATATTAAATTAGATGCCAAATCATACTGTGAAGGCACCTACCTCTGAATGCACCAGAATCTAGGTGCTCAAATGCTAGCAAGATGAAGTAGAGGACTTCCACAACTAAAGAAAGGTCATATTTACAATGCTGACATTAACAGGATTCTTATGGAAAGGTAAGTTGGCATCAGGCGCCAAAAATAGCAGCTGAATGGTGCAAAATACAACAATTCAACACAGAGCATCAGAAATGCAGCTGAACTACTGACGCTCAGGCAGATACCAAACACCACTGGCAGCAGTGTAATGGTCAGTACTGGGAAGAAAAAAAGGAAACCTTAGGTACTGTCATCTTGCCAAATTCCAGAAAAAGGAAGTCAGTTCCCAAGCAGGAAGAAAAAAAGTCCTTCACAAAGAGCTCTTAAGCCAGCAGAATAGAAAGTCTTTCTGGCAAAAAAAAATGAGGAAATGATCAATTCAGACATTATAGCAAGAGAAAGTTCTATGTGAAATAAAACCACTGTCTCCATTGATTAGTAATACCCAGGAGTCATAGTTTCTGTCCAAGGCAGCATAGAAAAAAAAAACCTATCAAAGAGACTACACATCATTTTTTTTCTGTCCTGTATGCAAAGTCATTCCTTAATCAGATTAGGTCAGAAAAAAAAAAAACCAGCGTAACAAAAATCAGAAAGAGTTTTAAGCTTTCCAACTCAATGCATTATTTTGAACTATAATATACCTGCAAGTTTTGTGGTCAAAATTTCTTCATACTCTTCACGGATTTTCTCTTCGCGTTCTTTCAGCAAACGTTCACAGATCATTCCAACTTGTCTGAGAGTAAACAGAGGCTGTTCTTTTTTCAATGGTGATGATGCTGCAGATGAAGTACCTGAGATTAAATATTTGGGCATACCAATTTATATTTACGAGTAGTTCGGAACCATTTTTTATCAGTTTTCTTCACATCTTTTACATTAAAGAACTTTACAAAACATTTGGAGAAGTCTTTCTCTGCTATTTGAACACTTCTAATTACTACTAAAGTAAAACTGGACACTCAAAGGGAAGACAGGTAACAATGGATAATACGCACGGGTATCAAAACACCAAGAGTGTTACACAAACACTGTGAACGCCACTTAGATGGCAGTTGTCATTTACAAATTTAAGCTTCTATTTTATGTAAAAAAATTACAGTATAGTGTATTTGTGCAAAGACAGCTGCTTTGCAAAAGCCTATTACAATATCAGTGGCAGAGTATGCAGGATGGTCTCTTGAGAACAACGCAAGCTTTGTGTCCTACTGATTTTTAAAATGAGAAGCTTCAATCTCCCAGATTAATGCTAGTATTGCCAAAAAAAACCAACAGTAACTCATGAGAAGGTGCCATAAACCACCAGATAACTAGGGAGAATTATTTACACAAACAAGAGTCTAAAAACACATAGCGGAATTACACAGAATTTTCTGGGTACCTGGCAAAGCTGGTCCAGTAAGGAGAAATGCATGTGGCTGTGCATCAGTAGAACAACAAGGATCTGTCTGCTGGAAGCTATTTTCTAAGTGTCTCCTCTTCTGCATGCGTTTGTACTCCTGTTTTATGTTGTACAGAATTTGTTCTAAAAAAAAATTAAAAAAAATTAAGCCTAAAATAATTACATTTCAGCATTTCACTTAACTTTTTCCACTCAAACACCAAACACTGTAGATAATTAACAGATAATAAAAGCTAGACTCCTAAAACATGGCCTGCAAACCCCACGTTTTACCGAAGACACAAACAATGAAACTAACTAAAAGAATGGTAACTCTAGACTGTTTTCACCAGGAGAACACTAGCAAAAATGTTGTTAGTTAAGGTCAGGTATTGGTGCCAGAGTACTGTTAACAAAAATAAATGGCATAAGGTTAAAATTTAGGAACTATCAATTATACAATATACACAGATGAAAATCAGGCTATAGAACTTCTACTGGTATTCATCATCTTCCCCTCATACATTGAATTTGCAGTCATCTTTCTCCCCCAGACAGTGTTTTATCATTCATACAGTTAAGGGTAACAAAAGACTCCAGTATAAAACATGTACATGAAACATCATTCCTCTCTGTACAGTTACTGGCATACAGACAGCAAAGTGAACAGGAAAACACAATTTTGACAGAACATGCATAAAGCAGCTACTGCTTAAAATCTCAAAGAATTGGAAACCGACGTGTAAAATACAAAAGCCTTCCACAACATTTTTGACAGCCTCAGATCTATCCAAATAAACACAATGGATGGATCAGTAGTCTCTTTTAAATGAGTATGGCAATACATAGTTCAGCATTTGATTGCACTGAATAAAATACAGCAAGTGCTTTTAATCATTTAATCTCTGTTGTAGAATTACAGGTAAAAAAGTAATCCTTGCAATAAAACTATCAACCAATTCTGCGTGCCTTCTCTCTGAAATTCCATGTACCAAAAGGCTCTCAGGTGCATCAGTGCCCTAACTGCATAGCCTCTGGCAATGTAAAATATTAAAGAAAAAAAACAACAAACAAAAAGCCATTTTCTATTTTTCACAGGAGACCTTCACAGAAAGAGACTTCTGAAGACTCTCTCTTTATGAGAATTCTTCAAATGCCCGAATGCATTTTTTAAAGTTTCCCTACAGGATCGGCTTCCACTGAGACTTCTAGACTTTTGGCAAAGACAGCTTTCCAAAACTCAGACATACAAATCCATGTGATCATGTCAGAGTTGCAAAGGACTCCATTCAGTACCTTCCCGATTCTGTTTGGCATTTTGCCAATACAATACCATGAAAACTTCTTGACTAATTTTCAGGTTTGTGAACAGTACACTATTGAGGTTCCATATTTGAACAACCATGCGAAGCAAGTAACTTCACTACCAGCTTATTCACTCAGTGGCTGAAGCCTATGCTAGACCAAGCAGAAGCAAACATTTGCCAATTCCTAGTTCAGAGGTTTAACTATTATGGCAGTTCTAAGTCAGTCTGGGGGCTTTCAATTTGTAAAAAGAGAGGCAACTGTTTCCAGTCAACAGGAATACCAGTATTTTCTGCAAAGAAGCATCTTGTTTGGATTTTGACCACTGATGAAGGCCTTGCAGTTTATATCTTTTCAGTCCCATGCCTACAGTGCTTGTACAATTTTCAACTCCATAAAGGGAGATCAATAACTTGGTTCAAAGAAGCAGCAAATGCAGAGGACATAATAAAGAAGCACAGCAGGGAAATGAATAGAAGGAAACTATGAGAAAGTGGGGAAAAAAGTACTCAAGGGTGGCTAGAGGATTCATACTTTTTATAGGGCAAGATACATACTACACTCCAGCGTGGTACAGAAATACATAAACCAGGTTAAACCAAGATGCAGTCAGGCTTCCAAAATTAAACAGAATCCCATGTAGAATTTGTCACGTGCATACACACTGCATCAGTCGGAGAATGGCCCTGCAACATTTTTACTCAACAGCATTATGGTAGTAAAATAATACTTTCCCTCAGAATCAAGTGCTGTTCTAGCTAAAGCAATACTGCATAATTTTGAGTGGGAACCAAATTAGCCCTTAAGATAACATCTGTCCTAAAGCATGTCTATGCTATGAGAAACATGACTGCAAACATTCACACTGTATTTACATTAACTGAAGAATGTACTAGACCATGTGCATCCTTCACTACGACTGCTTGGTCTTGGGCATACTTTCCAAATTCCATACGAACTGCAAAAACATCAGCCAAATTTCAGGAGTAACAACTTTGATAAAAATCTTCTCTACAGCTCTTCTTTATATTATGTTTTTGCAGAAACATTCTCAAACCACATTAACCACCAAAATCATTAAGAAAAAAAAAAAAAACCACTAAACAGCCTCTGGTCAATGGATAAAACTGCAAGAGTTGAAACAACAATTATCGACCAGGTTTCCTCCCTAACAACCCCTGCAAATTACATAGGAATGATTCAGAGAAAATGTTAAAATACCAGCCAGAATAGAAGGAGCAAAAGCAACAGGGGGTGGGGAACAGGGAGGGGAGGCAGAGAAATCAGGTACTGACTTTGGGAAAACAGTAACAACTGGGATAGAAAATTAAGATCTGTGCACCAAGGATAAATAATTCTATTCCAAATTATACTGAACTGTAGACACAGAAGTCTCAATGGTATTACAGTAATTTCATCTACTTCTAATCTGGCAACACTTTTTAACTTTCGGTCTTCAAATCTTGCTCTGAAAATCAAAAATCTCAAGAAATACCACCAGCGGATGTATTGGGAGATCCCCGTCCTGACAAAACCACTTCTGACAGTTTGCATTACTATAACTTCAGGTAAACGTATAAAACTAAGCAAAGCCGGTGGAGGAGGGGACTATTTAAACATGACAATACACTGTCTACATTGCAAACAGCTACCAGGAGAAAAAAGCCTGAAATCTGAAGTCCTTACTGAACACTTGTTGAGCGTGTACCTAAGCTGGTATTCCTCTATTTAGTCTAACTTACGAGATTTAAGGCATTACTGCTCAGCACAGAGAACTGGACTACAAGCTCTACTCAGTAGTGTGCTGCTAGTAGGCAAGATGACTGTGAGAAAGTTTCATACGTCCCCATTTCCACCATTTGTAAAATGGAGATTAATAGTCAAGAAACACAAGTTTAATGTAGCACTGAACTGTTCAATGACTTCTCACATGAATGATCAGACTAGTAATGCTTCAAATTAAGCAGGCACATTTTTGCAGCAGCAAAGACTGAGTAGACATTTTTATTAACATACAGTGGCATAAAAACTTTGCCTTTAAACAAAACTACTTCATTGTGAAGTGAAATGTAAGCTTACAAATATTTGTGACTGATTTTAAATGAAAATCTGAATAGCAAATTGAATTATTTTGTCCTTTTTTTTTTAAGCAACCTAGAAGAGTAAGAAAAGTTGTTTAAACGCACCGAGTTACTTCTGGCATTTACAGTTTTGCTTAATAAATCCACAAAAGTATGTTTGATGAACAAACAGATCCTGTTCAGAATAGTTTTTACAGCATCTCAGCACTTGAAAGAAGCCATGAAATATTAAAGCAGTGCAAACCAGACAACTTTTGCACAACACCTATATGGCAGACATCTAACTGTAAAGCCCTTTAAAACTCCGGCCTAGTTAAACAAAGCTTAGAGTTAGCAGATCTCATTCTCCAACCTAGCTTTGCTTCCAGAAAACCTTCCTGCCTTTTCAAGTTCAGTTTCTTAACCTCCCTTACTTCCAATTAGCTCTGACTATTCTCTCTGCAGTTGACAACTGCATTAAAATGTGCATTTAACTAGTGTCAAACACAGGACGGGGTTTTTATGTGTTCTGCAATGTGGAGGCCCAAATTGCCTTCTTCAGCAATGACATGCATTTAATTAACAAATTATTTTATACATATAAAAAAATCTACAATCTGAAAGTACACTCATTAAAGAAAATCTAATCTAAGTGAGCTTCTCTATAGAACTGAAGTGAGAACTTGCCTCATATGTATTAGAGCTCATTAGATGTTTTAAATAAAGACTTGCATCCACCTTATAGGTGCTTAAGTTCAAATCAGACATTGTACGTCAGGCAGTAATTTCATTTATGAGATGACAAAAGGAATATATTTAATATGATCAAACATACACCACTGTGGCCTATCCTCAGTTTCTTTTTAACTTCACTTTATCCCTTGTGCTCAGTGTTTCCTACTGGTTATTGGTACCTCTGAAGGCACAGAGCTAGCTAACAGGAAACACCAGGCAGAGGCACTGAACATGAGAATTAGGCTTGCTGCACCTAGGGTGGTAGCAAGAAAAAGCCACACTCCTAACACACTGAAATGAATTAGTACTTCATAACTGACATTTCAAAAGATGACTCTGAATCCCAGCCAGTTACACAAGCCTGTATTAAATGCCCCCCTCTCCTTCAGGTTCAAGGCTGAGATGAAGAATGACAGAGACTGCTACGGTCTCACCATGACCACTAAAGGCATAGGGGATTCAGTCAAATACACCTGAATATAATGAAATGCACAGATACTCTCTTTTTATCTGGAGCTCTGTGTACTAAGAGCATGAAGTTGAGTACATATGTTCATGAAATATTGCATTAAGATGAAGGACAGCATTCACACCAGTCTTCTTTCAGAACCTGAGATATGACTCAGGGAACCAAGATTTCATGGTTCAGCTGCTTTCACACCCAATGAAGAGAAGATGAAATGCCAAGGGGACAAATCAGAATTCAAGTTTGACATCTGAAATATGATCTGTCACACTAATGGATTACAAAGCCAAATACTCATTTCCAAGGAGTGATGTCTTCTTCTTACTTCCTTTAATTCATGATAAAAAGGCAAGTTATTCTTTTTCAAAGTTCTGTCATCTAATTACTTCATCCTGACCTGTAATTACCTAGAAATTATGTACAAGAGAAACAGCAGTTCAACTTGAAAAGGTAACAAGGCAAACAATTATTTTCTCCATTTTAATAACTGCTTATCGACTATGAAGGTGCCGATTGCTTCCCCTGAAGGATTACCCCCCCCCCCTTTTTTTTTGGCTTGATTTTTAAACTAGCAATCT